ACCCCCCAGCCGCTGGACGAGGTTCGCGTGGGGGTCCTAGAGCGAAGAGACGCAAGGCGCTTCCGGACTCTAGCGAAGATGAACTTACAAGTGGGATGGACATTGACGATCCGAACCATTGGGATCCTTCGGACAATTCCGATAACGAGAGTGCTCTAGATTCGTGTAAGTACGAAGTATACTTATGGTATCGCAATGCTATTAACACATTCTTAGCCGATAACTTCCTCATCCATGAGGCGGCTTCCAAGCAGCTCTTGCGATTGCGCAAAGAACAGCTTGTTGAGCTTTACGTGGCTGCAGGCTTATCAGAAGACGCAGAGCTTCTCACGAAGCCTGAGATTGTCGATTGCATCATCGCCGCGCGAGACGACGTGGCAGAGCTGCCCCCTTCATCTCCCGGCGTTGCTGACAGCAATTCCAGCGATTATTCTTCCGATGGTGGCAACGTGGCTGGAGGAGAAGAGACTGATTTTGTTGGGCGATTCAAGAATGGTTTACGGAGACGGGTGACTGTACAAGACTTCAGCCGTGCCTCTCGCGTTCGTACAACAGAAAGGTGTCTTTCTCTAGGTCAGCTTGATCATCAGCGCGGCGATACAAGCAAGAAAGTCCGATTAGAGTCCGTTGGACTGCCGCAAGTGAATGGGTTGTCGCGCAAGTAAATGCATTTGCTTCCATCATCTATAGCTACTGATAAGCTTTGTCGCAGACGAGGCCCCAGTAATGCGAGTTCCGTTAAGTCTCCGCCAGTCTCATCCGTAGCGGCATCGTCATTACCATCTCCTCCGGCGACACGTCTGCGAAGTCGCAAAGCCTCCAATGAGCCGCCCGTTGCCCCAGCATCCTCAGAGACTTGGAAGGGGAAAGGAAAAGGGAAGCAAGTAGAGTTCAGCGACGATATCCAAATCAGCGACGCAAATACCCTTCCTTCGTTAAGTGATGAGGAGAGTGACTTGACTGACCTTACTGAAATTGAGGCATCGATAAAGGCTACAGCTTCTCCTAGCCCCAGGCGACTACGTAGCAAAGGTGACAAGGGGAAGATCGCAAGTCAGAAGGACAAGCAGAGGGTGGAAGGCGACTGTGCCGAAGCTGCAAGGCGTGTGATCCCAATGCGGAAGGCAAAGGAAAACGTGGGAAGTTTGCGGGAAGACGATGACGAGGAGGATGAACTCGAGGAAAGTGACCGTGATCAAGAAGGGGAAGTAGATGAATTAGCCTCCCCATCCCCAACGGCGACACCTAAAGCTTCTGCTAAACGGACGCCCGTTAGGCGGAGATTAAGATCACGACGACTACAAACACATACACCCCCTAGTGACGGTGATGATGAGGGAAGTGATGGAGAGCTGCACTCCAGGCAGAGTGTGGAGGAGAATGAGGAGGAGAATGAAGGAGATGACGAGAGGAGTGTCGCAGACAATGAAGACGAGGATGCACACCTCATATTGCCCCCACGAAGACTCCGGAGTGGCAAGATTGTTACGGAAGACGATACTGAGTCCATCGGCGATGAGGACGAGGAGAATGAATCTATAGGAGAGGACGTCGACGTAGAGGTAGATTTGGAAGACGAGACTGAAGGAAGTGAGGAAACTGACGAGCCTATGGACGATGATGACGGTAATTTATTTCTCATTCATCAATGAATTCAGTCTGACATGTTCGTTCAGTCGATCTCGCCATCGCTACAACAAAGAGCCTTGTACGCCTCCGCCGTGATGATCTCGTACGTCTATGTGAGACCCGCGATCTTGATGCAACAGGTACCAAGCCTCAGCTCGCTGAAGCACTGTTGCAATGGCGGGATCGACACTATAGTTCGCCTTCCTCAACCGGAACGGCACGTCCACCTTCAACTACGAAAGGCCGTCCAAATGGCAGGCGGAAAACTCGTAGCAACAGCGGCAGTGGTACGCCTCCTGTTTTGCTGCGCGAGGAACGTGTGCATATGGACGAACCGAGGACACCTCCGCCATCTGGTAGACAGAAGGAGCCCGACCCCGAACTCGAGCTTGACTTAGAAAGCCTAGGGCTAGATGACAGAGAAATACCTCCAGACAAGCTGACAAAATTGGAGAAAATTGGCAGTGGTGGATTCAAAGATGTCTTCATTGCCAAGTTCAAGGGTCGGAAGGTAGCCATTGCAGAGTTCCGCGATCAACTTAGTGCAAGTGAGTGTCCGGCTACTACTCGCATTGCTTGTCGTTCTGAAGTGCTCTAGTGGACATCAAGGAACTCAAGCTGTTGGGAGATTTTAGCCATCCCAACATCGTTCGCTTCGTATGTGTATATATGTTATTGCATTTTTTGCGCGATCTAACGCAGTTTCTGCTCAGCTTGGGGTCAGCATTCCGGAAAACACTCGAGAGACGCCCGTCATGATTGTCAGTGAACTCTGCTCAAACGGCGATCTCTTCGATTATGTCCGGAATGTCAACCCTCCCTCATTGTACAGAGTTGTAAGCGGTTATATTTTTTGTCGCATGTACTGATATAGATCGTCCATGCCTGTAGCTATGCATCATGCTTGACATAGCTAGAGGTCTTGAATATTTACATACTCGCAAACCTTCCGTCATCCACAGGGATTGTAAATCGTCGAACATTCTGATCACTTCGAGAGGCGTCGCAAAGATTACGGATTTTGGTCTGGCGAAAGTAAAACAATCCACGCGTTCAATGGTCCGGAGCTTGGTCGGGACAGTTAACTGGCAGGCTCCAGAGTTATGGCACGCCCACCCTAAATATAACCACAAGGTTGATGTATTTTCTTGTGCACTGGTCTACTGGGAAATTCTACAGTGGCATGTTCCGAACAAGAAGTTTCCGTGGGAGGTGAGTTTGTCAACACGTCAGTCCGTCCTTGCTTGTCTGACAGATATCAAGGGCATGAACGAACACGCCATCTACGACCTTGTAGGCAGCAAACGCCAGAGGTGATTTTCATATTCCACATTTCGATGCCATATTCTCATGTGCAATCCTTAGACCATCAGTCAGTGGGCTGCGCAAGCATTGGTGTCCGGAGATTGTAGATCTGATGGATCGCATGTGGCAACACGATCACCAAGAGCGGCCGACTATGAGCGAGGTCGTCGAGGAAGTGGAACGCCTTGTCCAAAAATATCGATAGGACCATTATACTCATCGACGATTGACTTCATTCGTGCTTCTCTCCTGCATTCTTATCTTGCGGACAACATCTTCCTCCATTTGCTTTGGACCCACTTGTGATCTGCACACGTTTGTTAATTGGTTGTCGTTGCCGTATCTATGGGCGAGAATGTAATCATTCTTGGCTTTGTATAATGTCTGGCCCGTACTATTACTACACCTCATACCTTACTCATCGCAATGTGTTTTTATGCATCTTGTATCATACGCATCATATCAATTGGCAGTGCATTCTATTAATCATCTAGACTAGACGCTAATCTCTTGCCGCGCAAATTTTGCTTGAATGCTAACGGCCGGAAAGAGGAATAATAATTTAAGGTGATCGAGCCCTGCAATTGGTCTAGACTATCTAGGCTGAGCTTCGGATTCGCCGCGGCGGCGTGTGCCATGGAGCGTAGCTGGTCATGATGAACTGACTCGCCCTACCTTGGAAGTTCAACGTTCAACACTTACAGTCTTAGTCCTTGAGACATCTTCCTACTGGTATAGCAAATATTTTTCGGGTGTTGGTGAAGCTATCGAATCCTACGCCGACTCGATCTCGCTTCACAAGTCGGGACGGCAACCGTCAAGTCTTCCGAGAGTCTCTAGCAGCCGGCTAATTCTGCTAAAAGCTTCGTCGTCCCTTTGCGGTCCTGCGCTCACGTGTTTATAACATGCCCTGTACACACAATGCGCTGGAATACTCCCAATATGAATTCGTTATTTATTGCTTTCGTGTTCATGATTCTCTCCCGTAAGGTTCTCCGAGCCGTATCAGTGCGCACTCTTCCTCACCCGGGTTGTTACGTTCAACACGCACTTTATATGACCTCGGAGTTACTCTTCATACGCGTTTTGCGCGTGGGTGAGATCTGGACAAGTCTGTGGTCTTGCATGGAAATACCCTCAGTCTTGGTCGTTTCCATCACCTAGACCGCGCCTCGCTAACAGGCCGGCCAACTGCTATATAAGTGACGTAGGTGACAAGTGGGAGATAATCAGCGTTGAGTCCACACCCTCCAGAGCCACATTCAGAGCGTTCAGTCTCTGTTCACGAGCTGAGACTCGTTCACAATGCGCTGCTCCGTGTGCGATGCAGCAGGCAGTTTATCGGATTTGGACATACTAATCGAGTATTGAACACAACAGCAATAACATCTGCGCAGCGACTAACGTAGCTAATCAATCGACACAAAGCACGTGATGTCCTTACCGATGCGGACACTGATACCAGGGACGCTATGGAAAGCTATTTTGCATACACAGCCCCGCTCGCATCTCGTTCAGCTGCACCACAATCTCAACGACTTAGTTATGAGCTTAAGGAACATAAGATGAAACAAACTCGTGTTCACGGTCTTAGAATGCGCTTCGTTGGATTACTGGGATTAGAATAGTGTCCCAGGCTTCTTGAGGCTTACGAGGGGCTTGCCTTGAAGCGCGGTCCCTATCGAAGGGCGACGGCTGAGGGATATGTGATAGATCAACATATTCTGTCGAGAGGAACACTTTCAAGAACCCGACATCGAGCTTTTGTCCCTCTCGAAGGTAGAAATCGCGCGGATTTGTCCCTGAATTACCGTAGCCTATGGTGAAGAAGCTTTTCCCTCGAAGAGGTGGGTCGACAGTGCCGCTGGCGGTCGGCGGCTCATACCACGAGTCTGGAACAACACACTGAGCGTCGTCGAGATCCAATATTCATCAGCGCACTCACCGATGCTCAAGTCGCTGCTATCGAAAAAAAATACCGACAGGTATAGTGGCACTTTCGAGTTATTGATAATCTTGAGACCATATTGTGCGGTGTCATCGACTTGCAGATCGATCACACTGGAACGAATCAGATTTGGACCGTCCTCAAGGAGGACGTTGTAGCCATCATGGTCGACCTCTCGTAATTTTTTAAGCCGCTTGAACTCGATGTTGACAAAGTTTTGCAGACTACCACTCGTACTCTTGCGGTCGAGGTGCCAGTAGAAGTTGGCGGCGGCATAGATGACAAGTTGGACAGCGTTGAAGGATGGCTTGATAGTGCAAGGCATACGTGTCAGCCCATACTGTGAAGTCACAGAGTGGAGGATATTGAAGACGACGCTTCCGTCCTCAAGCGCGATGTCAAGCTTAGCGGCTTCCTTTTTTTCGACCGGAATGATGGTTCTGCGCGCGGGATCGGTCCTTTGCATCTCCTTAGCGAGTGCTTGAAAGATGAAAGTAAGCTTTTCATCCAGTGCAACATGAACCTTCAGATCTTCCTCGTCTCCTGCACGAGTCTGAAGCGCAAATCCCTCCGTCTCAAGCGTGAAGTTGGATCCCTCAGCATATACGTCCGTCTTGAAAGGCTCTGGAGGGTGAGCGATGACGGTGCCTAGGGGATCTTGCTTTAGAGATGAGTCTTGGTCTGGGTAAATTGCGAAGCGGGCATTGGCAGTGATGCCATGGGCTGCCCCCGCGCTTATCACATATTTGTCACCATCTTTGTGTATTTTGTAGAGCACGCGTCGCCGGGCTGCGCTCTTTGCATTGAACAGGATTCGTTTCTGATTGACGCCCTCGCATTGTGGATTCTGTCTATCGACGGATAGTTTCAAATGCCACTGACTGTTGGTGCATCGATAGATTGGACTTACGTTGGCAGAGGTGACATTCGCTTAATAACATCAGCGTATGTGAGCTTATCCGTTCCATAGCTAATAAGTGCGTCAATCAGTGCCTTCGTGAAGAGGCCTCTTGCTCTTTCTTCTCTGGCACGCTCTTCCGCGCCACATGCCGCGAGAAGTACGTGGGATCGAAGACCGCTGTGAGCGAAACCGGCAGAGATTGCTATTGCACGCTCTTCGGATGACGAGGATGGAGAATTCCAAATCTCCTGGTCTAGATCAGCTGGGAGACTCGTCTTAACTTCGATGCCTCTATCCAAGCGGGTAGGCTCGGCAACATCTGCACGCGTGCCAGAACCAGAGTGGCAGCAGTCAAAAATGACAGACTGGTGCTCAACCAATCAATACGATTCAGGAGAACATGAGAGGAGAACGAACAATATTATCCCCCTTCTTGTCTGCGATTTGGGTAAGCAGAGCCCCAAGTGTACGATCTGGGATTCCGTGGACCAAGTGGCCACTGCAATCGATGCAAGACTGGTCGTGTGGAACTAGCAGCTGGATATGAGACCCTCCAGCCTCCCAGTTCGGGGGTGCGTGCGCGCTTGCACCGTGCCCGGCATAATAAATAAGGATTGGATCTCCCTTCTGGATCCGGTCATCATTCATAAACGCATGGATTTCGTGGAGAATTGCAGCCCGCGTGGCTTGACTGTCTCGGAGATTTATGATTTGGGAGCTTGGGACTCCGAGTTGTTCTTGTAAGTAATCTCGAACGGCATCGGCATCGGGGACCGCTCCAAGCAAATTGGGAGTACTGGGATATTTGTAATCATTAATCCCGATAATGAGTGCGAAGAGATGGGGATCCGGTCTGGTACAATATAGCGAATGAGATACAACAATGTTCTCGCACACAGGAAAATGCTCACCTTGACAATCGAATCTCGGTGCTGAACGTTGAGTGATTTAGAACAAGGGGTCGGGAATAATCAGTATTTCACAAATATGCGTATGATTTTCACATACCCGAGGTCTTCGCCTTGGCTAGGGACATTTAATTGCTGTTGTGGCACAGGAGTGACTGATGTAGGTGGAAGAGGGTCTGCCCCTGAGGTAGCGGAACCGACCACTGTGCCTATTAGGCCGGGGCCTCCAGGCTTCGGGGAATCGGGTGTTGCAGGCTGCGCCCCAGTGGATGATAACGGGGGATAGCCACTGGATAAGTAGAGATCAGCGCACCGAGTACCAATTAGAGCGGGAAACAGAGAACTTTAAGAGGGCCCAGAGAAGCTCTGGGATACTGTTGACGATTATGTTCAAGAAAGAGAGGAACATTATTTGTGCGGAATGTCGAGGTACTCAATATTGAACTCCTATCCTACACTCCCTCAAAACCCTTATTTATGCGGCTGCATGATCCATTGCATGGTTGCCTCGTTGTGTCTGGAGGGGACTATCAGTACAGATCATACACGATAGGCTGACAAAAATTAATACGCCGCGCGCCAGTGAGATGAAATACACGCTGTCAAAGCAGAGTTCGCGGTACGTGGATTCGCAGAACCACTGAGTGACCAGCCATTGCATCTTCATCTTTCGTCTTATGTAGTACAAACAGCACAGAATATTCAACTCCAGTAGTATTGTGATCAAGATGTAACTTTGATAAGAGCCTTTGCAGACCACTTTTTGATCACATCACTCGATTTCCACTGGCAGTCCAGATAGTCATGCGCACCACTTACTTGAAATAAAGTTCTCCGCATTGTCACGCGACGACTGGATAATCATGAGAGACGAACTTCGAAGCCAGGGACCTCGAAGTTTGAATGAGCTAGCCTAGAGTCTGGACAGCCCTTGATTATGGCATGAAAACTATTCCTATTCCTGTACTATTTTATGAGAGGAAAGCCACCGAATTGAGGTACCACGGTACAGCCTATGTCATGGGAGTCGGTGGAGCCTGAGCGCCAGCGACGCCACCTGAGAATCCCGAAAAGACAACCATCTAAGCTCACACTGCTACACACAACCATCGATAATACTGATCAGTACTCAGCAGTTCAGTACTCAGCTTTAACCAAATAATCCACATTTCGATTTCAGGACTAGAAAGCTCGGCATGCTAGAATGAGGTCGCTGCGAAAGGTGCGTCTGAGCACCCCACACTTAGTATCGGGCAATCACAGTAACGCACGTCCCTCGCGCGCCCTGATAGTATATGAGTCGATGGCCTGTTTGTGGTGGTAGACACGCACGCGACGGACAAAGCTGAACTCATGGAATCACCGCTGCGGCTTTGCCGCTCACTGCCTCGACAGGACGCCAGTCAGGGCTGTCTTCTGACTATTGAGTATAAGATTATGCAGGAGTCTAAAAACTATGAGTCCGTTCGTCTAGGAACATTAGGAGTATCACATGACATCCCGAGTCCCGTCGCCTCATGAAATGCAGCCACGTACAATGAGCATCGAGTCATTCCGCCAAACCAGTCAGTATGGCAATCACTTTCGTCGCTGTATGACAGGAATCAGAATTGCCCCCCAGGCATCCACGTCAACACGCTGGCCTGATGGACTGGGGGTGTCGCGCCCCGCCAGGAAGGGTGATGTCTGCGGAATCATCGACATGTCGACTGGGCGCGTCGTGAGGAATATCTTGATAAGCCCAACGTCTATGTCCTGCTCCGGTCGTAAGAAGTACGAAATAGCAGGTACCCCGCTCGTTCCATAACCTATCGTGAGGATTCCGCCATCTTTAGTCAGCGGCGAATCCAGCTGGTATTGTCCCGCCGTTGAAGGAGTATAGTATGACTCTGCTGGTGGTCAGCTGCATGGAAGCAGACCGAGTGTGAACCACTCACGGATGCTAAGATCGCTGTTATCAAAGAAGAACACATTAGGATACAAATCCATCGACGTGTTATTCGTTATCTTCACGCCATGCCTCGCATCTTCGTCAACCACAAAGTCAATAATGCCATTTTGGCAGAGACTCGGCCCAATCGGATAAAGCGTAGGTTGAAGATCTTCATCAAAATCACTATCCGACTCTTCTAGTGGATAGAAGTCGACTTTGATATCAGCTCCGCTCCGAATCAGGTCTTTGTCGTGCGAACGATTCAGATGCCAGTAATAATGAGCTGCTGCGCGAAAAATGGGATAGATGTCTTCAACGACAGGGGTAATCTTGAAGGGAATTCGGGTCAGGCCGCACGATGCTACAAGTGGATCTAAGATCTTAAAGATGATGAAACCATCTTCTCTTGTGACTTCCAGCTTCGCGTTGTCACTGACTTGAGGTATACTGACGAGAGAGACCTTCGGGAGGTCAGGGCCGATGGCCTGCATCTGCTCAAGCACGCGATCCAAAACTTGGCGGAGGCTCGAGTCAGGGACGTACAAAACAAGTCCTTCTTCTCCGATCTTCGTCTGCAGCGCGACAGAGAATTCCGGCAGGCTAAGAAACTTCCCATCCTTGGGAGTTAATATGGACTGGTAGGGCAATATCTTCGCTTCAGTGTCCGCAACTAAAACTATGAGAGGTTTGGTCAGCTCCTTGTCTCTGTATATTGTAAACTCGGCGCCCTCGGAAACTCCATGCGCCGAACCAGCTTCAATTCTATACTGATTTTCTTGTGCATATACGGGAAAATGTGCATGCCCTCTTGTTGGGACTTTTGCATTGAACATGATCCGATTCTGATGGTGTCCCTCACACTGAGGATTTTGGCTAATGGAAGATCAGATACGTCTTTCGTGTATATGGCGGACATACCCTCCAATCTTTTCCATCTTGTTCAAGACATCAGTATACGTTACTTTGTCTGCTCCAACACCCTCCAGGAAGAGCAAGAGCGCTTTGGTGAATCTACCTCTGCCACGTTCCTCTGTGGCGCGTTCGTTTTTGCTGCAAGCACTTAACAGGACGTGCGACCGAAGGCCAACATGAGCGAAACCGGCAGCTATTTTCGCCCCTCGCTGGCCCGTACTTCCCCAGATGACCCGATCGAGGTCTAGGGGTACGTTGTTCACCAGCTCGACAGCACGCGTCAGGATTGTTCCACGATCATCTCTGGTTCCGGAAGCCGAATGACAGCAGTCAAAAATCACAGTCTAGGGCTCAACGTCAATGAGGGCTTGTATCCCAGTCATTGACTTACAATATTATCTCCTTTCTCTCGAGCAATCTCTTCAATAAGCGCACCAACGGTGCGGTCCGGTATTCCTTGAACCTCATTTACTCTAGGGCTGTAATCCTGAGGGACAATGAATTGAATCTTGCTCCCGAGACCGTCAGCTTCCCAGCCTGGCGGAGGCGGAAGTTCGGATCCATGTCCAGCAAAATAGATGAGAATGGGGTCTCCAGACTTGATGCGGGCGTCATTGCGGATATCGCGAAACGCCTGGATGATAGCTGACCGCGTCGCTTCTTTATCACGAAGGTTGCGTATCTGATCTCCAGGGACGTTTAAGTATTTTTCAAGATAATCCTTCACCGCATCCGCATCCAGCACTGCACCACGAAGCTTGCTGACCGCTGCATAGTTGTTTATTCCAATGACAAGCGCAAACAGACGCGGTTGGAATCTGTCATGACATGATGTATGGATAAATCAAAAGGATAAATGAGACTAAATTTACGAACGATTGAGCGTCGGGAAAGGGTTTCTGCTCTTGTGGACATTCGTTCGCTATCAACGTCGACTGCTGTCGTGACTTGCGACTAGTATTCGCTAGCATCAATAATGACGAAACACTGAGGCAATTAGGACGGACTGACAATATGCGATTGAGGGTGCCAGAGAGCCAACGCGACATTTCAGTTTACAAGAAGAAAGCGAGAGTGAACCCTGATCGTAAAGAGAGGATAAATGATGTACTCTCTTTTTACCGCAAAAAGTCGAGCTGAGGAAAGGCGACGTGCACACAGCACACAGCCTTTCTTATATCGACGACATTTGGTCGCCTATGGTGAATACGTGTCGACAACCGAGTGACCCAACACGCGATCAGCACGAAAGGTCGAGCGTTCAATTGAACTCTCATCCTCGCCGCATTCTTTGTGTTCCGTAGGCAGTCTTCTTAATAGGGCCTATAGAGAGGAGGACGGTCTCAATGAAGAAAGGTCTGCTTCAAATCCCACCCCCAAGTCACACCGTACTCGTGGAGAATTAAGGCCACACTTTGTGTGTCCGTGATGGCCGGGATGATGCCGAACGATGGCCGAACGGCTGCATTGGGGCAGAGCCACGCCACGCCCACAGCAGAGCGCGAACTCGAGGCAGTCAAGTTTCAAGTCTGGACCGACAGTTGGCGGACGGCTGCGACAATGGTTCATGAAGGATATGAATTGAAGTTATGCAATGAAAAGCTGGAGCACATTGTCTAATTTGCCCCCAAATATGTATTTGTTCATCTGATTCCTGCCTCAACTTCACAGCACTATGTGCAGTAGCAGCTGGACACAGTGCTCTGAGTTGACGGTGGCTGTGATATGTCTAAAACACTGATCCATATTTTTTTGCACCATCTGAAGTCATTTCAAGTTAAGGGTGCTATTGAAGTTGTCAATGAGAATTATGAATTAAATACGGAGACAAAGTACATTACCAGTCGTGTGGCTCCGGAGTCGATTGCCGACACGCGTTTGGAGATCAAAACGCTTATGTAACTTCGAGAGGCCTTACGGTTCGGCCCTCTCTGACAATGTATGTATGTCGAACGCTTCGTCTCACTCCTCTAGCAATGTCTTGTATTGCTGGCACTGTAGCAACGATCAAAAAACTTATTCCCATCACCGGGACGCTCACGCTCCTCCGCTGAGTATAAGGGGAAGGGCGTGTCGCCGTCCCGTGTTCAGCTCCCGTCGTTGATGCCTAGAACAGACAAGTCCATCAACGTGCTTATGCGGTTCGTCCAATATTCCCTATCGTATTTCACATGACCTGTCAACACGACCCTAAGTAGCCATTGTGATTAAACGTGTACCGGTAATAGACAGTTCGTCACAGATGCTCAACGGAGATGCTTACGCGGGGCCTGGCCTGCGACACGTTCTCCTACATGCGGTGGACCTTCGTTCCCATCGCGTTGGCCGCAAGGCTAGTAGAAACCACTCGCGAACTCGCGGTAGCTTTTTGAAGGCAATCCCCCATGTTGGACAACGAGCGTCTCTACGTGGATCTCCTCTTCCGTGCGTCAAAGAAATATGCCAATTGGGACCCCGAGGTCGTAGTCGAGGTGGGAGACTGGGGAAGGATTACCAAGGGACGACCGGGACTCGCATTCTGGCGCCGGAAAAGGGGTACGTTTCTCAAGGAGGGAAATATCTACAAAGACGGGAAAGCGGAGAAATATGGCATTCCTCCTCCACAAGAACATGGTGGCGACGCTTCTGAGGGCGAAACTTGGATTTCCTCTCAAAACGCGCATCAGATTGACGTATCTGTGACCGGCGTAGGGTGAGTGCCTTCCTTACGTTTTCCTTCTCCTGCTCGATTCTTGTTCTTATATTGCAAACGTAGCCAAACCCCTGTACTCGCGCAGTGCAGCGTCAAATCTGCTTTTAAATTCTCGTCTGGTCGCGGAGCTGTCCTAGTTATGCAGAAGGACACTATTTTCACTCTCGACCCTCCCGGGAGCCTTAGGCAACTCCTTGAGGACGAGAGTATGCGCGGCCTTGTCGTTGTGTCCGAAGTACATCGCTGCTCGTCGTATGCCCGGTTGCTCACTGCTGGAGCGAACGAAAGCGTTGCCATTGGTCTTAGCGTCTCTTCGCCCATTTCCACAGCTGCATCGGCTGATGCTGAGGTCAAATGGATTCGGAACACCAACACCGGGAACTTCAAGTCGCGCATCAACAAGAGTGGCGAACGCCAATATTATCCGTTGTTCAGGCTTGTCTCGATCAAGGAGGAAGACGTGTCGACCGGCTTGCGCGGAGAACTAGATATCCCGCCTCTCCCTGATGCGATGCCGCCTTGGATGACTGAGAACGACGCATCTGATTCGCAAGCAGATGCCTGACGGTAGGTTCGTTTTGCTTATTGCTGCATGCATTCGTTGTTTATTCATCTTTGATGTCCTGACGGCAGGGGGTGACGACGTCTGATTGTGAGTACTATGCTCAACGTGATGTTAAAAAAATCTCCATTGATGAGGATGCAGTTTTGAGCTTGAAATTTCTTGTGTGTGCGCTGTCGTTTGGCATCTGCTTGTATTTATACGAGTCTATTTTCGCATGCTTCGTCTTTTTGTGCTAAAACTGTAGTAACATTCATTGGTACATGTGCGAGCATCACCAAATTTTTCAAGCTCGTGGAACTGAGACTGATGGATTATTAGTGAACTTTAAGATATTGTATGTTAGAACACTGGTCAACTACACACTCGCGGCGGGGTATTAAGGGTACTTGACAGCGAATACAGTATTTACGGTACCTAATGGAGGGCTGTTGACACAACCAAGGTATGGTAGATTTTCCGAGTCAAGGTCGCGATTGGCATAGTTGACGAAAGAAGATGGGTTGCACGTTGGCGGCGTATCTGCTAAATGGATCGCCGTGGAGGTGATCATCGCAATACATTCGGGATGAGTCTGTCGTTCATGTGGCCCGGCTTTGATGTTCGCTGCAATGATTATCCAGTTGCTTCGATGTCTTTGTGTGACAATGTGGAGGATGTCATGGGGAGTGAAGGTGTGTCACGGTGTGCTTCTGGACTGGGAAGTCGACTGATAATTAAAAGGCGGTTTTGACCAAATTGCGAAAGCTCCCAATCAGACTTCCATCTTGTCCACGATGAGGCTATGATCCCAGATAGTGCCACGAAAGGGACTCGTTGGATGCCTGCTCTGCTGAAGACCAAGTTCCAGATACTTCTCGGCCAACCGACTCAGTTATTCATTCAGCTTCGGAGGGACTTTTCTGCCTGGCAGATTGTAGAAATCCGCGCATCGCGATCACTCGTCCGTTTCTTCCACGTCCGCTTTAACAGCGTTTTTATCTCTCTTCATGTCAATGCTAGTGCACGGCGCATTGACCCATCGTGTACAATCTGTGCTGATTTTCCCTATCAGAGACAACGAGGCAGCCATGCGGCGGATCGTCCAGCTATGCAAACCAGATTTTAAAAGGAGCATGGGATGAAAGTTCCAACGTTCAAACGTTCATTCTCCAGTGCTTAGACATACCGCCCCAGCGATGTTCCTCCCATTCTTAAACATCACCGTTTATGATATCCCACAGCTTCTCTGGGCCCTCTTGAAGTTCGCTCTCTCTCGTTCAGACTGACACTTAGCGTGCTGAACTATTGCTTATATAGCGGTCGTCCCCCGTCAACACCCATTGGACCTCAGCCTGAGACACCTAGCGCCCCAGGGCCGGGAGTTCCAGCGAGCACAGAGCCCGATTCCGCCACCCCAGGCGCGGAGCCCCTTCCACCTACGTCAGTCCTTCCCGCACCATTGTTTTTTGATTTCCTTAACAATAGTCCAGTGGACAGCAACCAAACGTCCCTAGCCAGGGCGAAGACCTCGGGTATGTGACAAGCATACGCGTCTTTGGGTAATACTGATTATCTCCTACCTCTTGTTTTGATCCTACTTTGTTCAGCACTGAGGTTCCATTGCCAAGGTCAGTCTTCCAATATTTGCAAAAGCGTTGTTGTATCTCACTAACCATATTGCACTAGACCGGATCCCCGTCTCTTCGCACTCATTATTGGGATTAATAACTACAAATATCCCGGTGTTCACAATTTGCTCGGGGCGGTTCCCGATGCTGATGCCGTTCGAGATTACTTGCAAGAGCAACTCGGAGTCCCAAACTCCCAAATAATAAATCTCCGAGACAGTCAAGCTACGCGGGCCGCGATTCTCCACGAAATCAACGCGCTCATGAATGACAAACGGATCCAGAAGGGAGATCCAATCCTCATATATTATTCCGGGCACGGTGCAAGCGCCCTAGCACCGCCGAACTGGGAAGCAGGGGGGTCTCATATCCAGCTGCTAGTTCCACACGACCAATCTTGCATCGATCGCAGTGGCCGCCAAGTTCTAGGAATCCCGGACCGAACGCTAGGCGTTCTACTGGCACGTCTTGCGCACGAGAAGGGCGATAATATTGTTCGTTGACATATCAATCGATCTGTGCCTAGTCACTAACTGAACGATAGTCCGTCATCCTTGATTGTTGTCACTCTGGCTCCGGCACGCGAACTGACGAAATTGAGCCTACTCGTCTAGTCCGGGGCATCAAAGTCGAACATATTCCCGTCGACCTCGACGAAGAGATTTGGGCAACCTTTCAGCCGTCTTCATCTCATGATCGCGCCACCGCCATCGCTGCGGGCTTCACCCATAGCGGCCTCGCATCCCACGTGCTCCTGGCTGCATGCGGTGCAGAGGAATTCTCCTATGAGGAAGAGGGAAGGGGTCTCTTCACAAAAGCGTTGGTCGACGCGCTCGTTAGCTATGGGGCCGATAAGCTCACGTATGCCGATGTAGTTCAGCGGATGGCGAGTCTACCCAAGTAAGTTAAATCCTCTCGGACGTAAACCGTCAATAACCCCTTGCAAATCGTTACTAGACAAAATCCGCAATGCGAAGGCGTTAACCAGAGCCGAATTCTGTTCAACGCCAGAGCTGCAGACCAGCGACCTCTCCTTTATAAAATACGTAAAGATGGTAATCAATACCTGATGAGCGCAGGGGCAGCTCATGGTGTCGCTGCCGAAGCTCAATTTGCAGTGTACCGGGACTGGAACTCGTCTCTGAAGGGGGAATCCTTGGGCACCGTCACCGCTCGCCTTCCAGGACCTTTTCACACAATATTAGACGCCTTTCCCAAGGGATCCGACTTCGCTCTCGAGACTGAAGGACTTGCGCTTCAGACTCGCGCAGGAGCTGAGGAAGATCTCAGACTCCACATTGTAATGGATGAGATGCTCGTCACCGTCTTCGAAGCGCTAGGAAAGGAGATGCAGAGGACTGATCCTGCACGCAGGAGCATAATGCTGGTCGAGAAAGAGAAGGCCGAACTCGATATCGCGCTCGAGAATGGAAGCGTCGTTTTCAACATCCTCAATCCTCTGGTTACCCAGTATGGATTGACTCGCATGCCCTTCGTGGTCGAGCCAACCGTCGATGCCGTGCAACCTGTGATCCGCGCCGCTGCCCACTTCTACTGGCACCTTCGCCGAAAGAGCGCCAAAGGCGTTTTGCAAAAGTGGGTCGACATTGAGTTCACGCAACTCATCGATTCGGAAGAAGAGTATGACGACGAGCTCCAGCCTGTCCTCCGTCCGTACGGCCCAAACTTGAATCGCGACAACGTTATCGACCTGCGAGTCAAGGACAGCGCAAGATACGGCCTCAAAATTACGAATAGATCAAACGTGGCACTGTATCCGGCGCTATTCTACTTCGACAACAGCGATTTGAGCATCGGTGCGTGCGCTAGAATTCACTCTTGTCAATGATTATGCTCAAACATTATCCCAGAATCGTACTATCAGCCGCCGACTGCCAACGGCATCGTCGATCCACCTCTTCGAGGAAAGGATTCTCTTACCATAGGCTATGGAGATTCTGGGTCGCCCCCGCAGCGATTCTTCCTCCGAGACGGACAGAAGCTCGACGTTGGGTTGCTAAAGCTGTTCCTCTCGACAGAATATGTGGATTTGTCACATATCCCCCAACCATCGCCGTTCGGTGAGGGTCGTGGCTCAACGCCAGATCCAGTAAAACCCCACCACATCTGGGACACTATACTAGTTCCTCTAATCCAACGAAGTGTACTCTAAGAGTGATAGCGATCGCGGCATTTCCTTATCCCTCATTCTTCACGAGCTGATACCTATGTTGAAATCACATTGCTGCTGAAAAAGATGTAAACGGCGCTGCAGATACAATGCAATAATATCTGTGCTAGTGCAGACAAATCGAGCAGGTATGGACTGCTTAGCATTGACCAGCGGATGAGAAGCCTGTCGTAGTCTCAGGAATCCCCATTCAGTTAGTACTCAATAGTGACACTGTCTTGGGTTCTCAAGCGGGGTATAATACATCTGGTCAGCCTTAGCGCACGTGAACGATACCCGGCGCTATGATTATGTATCATGAGCCATAACTTGAACCTGCCCACGACTCTACCTCGATCACTAAGTCTAGAGCATCCCCAATGTCCAGATGCCCGAAAAGACGAGGCTTCAGATTTCCTACTACTGTTACTGATCGGGAGGCCTGGACTCCTCGTTCTTCTAGTGTCGTAGCTTTTGAATTTGTGAACCACAGCTCTCGATTTCTTTGCGAGCTCTATGATTACCACGGAAATGAAGCAACATGGGCTTGTCTGGACTTTGACTGTCTTCCATGAGGCTGCGACCATTGGTTGACGTTTTGAAGTTGCATCTGCCAGATCCATTGGTACGAACTCCGAGTTGATTGAGACTGAATTATTCCTTTACATTGTTCTTGTTTTTAGCGTTGATTTAAGCGAGTATTCGGACGGGCTCCGAATGTTTTATGTCACTGTACTTAGGTACCAGACTCCAGTGAGACGAAGGTGCGCCTGCTAATTATCAACGCCTGTACATTATGGGCTCACGCCGATTTGTTCCAATCTATATGAAAATCACTTTGGCTAGTGCGGTTTCTTTCGCATGTTTTGTACTGCCATCATTCGTTCAGAGAACTTAGAGAAGTCCATGTTCTTCTAGTTTCATAGGCTTTCAATTTGTGAACAATAGCTGTCGACTTCTTTTCCCTACGGACATGAAGAAACGTGTGCTGTTCTGGACTTTGTCGGACTATATTTCATAAGGCCGATAAGCCGCCTTTGTGATCATCGGTCGACTTTTCGAGGTTGCATCTGGATCCACTGGTAAGTGCGAACTGCAGGTAACTGAAAGATATCCTTCATTACCTGTTCTGGTGTCCTATGATTTTTCGCAGAGTCTCATGCTCAGCTTTACAATTTCGGGCATGGGTCGAGTCTTCAGATCGGTTTGAGATGTTTTATACTAGTTGCACTCGGATACCAGTGAGACGAAAGTGCGTGCTCATCGTCAGAACGTGTACTTTATGGGCTCACGCAGATCTCCATCGACCTTTTTGAAACCGCTTTCACTAGTGCGCAAGGTCTTCTGGACCTATCGCAATGCATGATCTGTGCTCATTGGTCTCCTGATTTCTGTATGTATACAATGAGGAGTCCACAATCCTGTATATAAAGTGCTCTCATTAAATCAGGTGCAGGTCTTCATTCCCATATGCTTATAGTTTCGACCGCACAATGTTCCTCTCGTTTTTATGCATCAATGTGACCACTATTCAAGAATTGCTCTGGGCACTCTTATAGTTCGATATCAGTGAATTTCAGCTAAACTTGCCTATCCAGCGGAACCATCCCTAGTGTCTCCGAATCTAATGCTCCAGATTCTCATACCTCCGCCCAAGACAACAAACTTGGGTAGGTAATTTGCACACTTGCACAATGTTGTTGCTTATGCAAGTCGACTTGCTTAGCCTTGACGTTTCATCGCCCAAGTCAGTATTTCTGCTTATGAGGAAGCTGTGTTATATCTCATCAGTAATTGAATAGACCGGCCCCACGCTTCTTTGCACTCATTATAGGAATCAACACTTACAAAGCTGACTCTATCTCCAACCTGCTTGGTGCAGTTCCTGATGCCGATGCTGTTCGAGATTTGCTGGAGCAGCTGGAAGCTCCAAGATCCCAGATTAAGGATCTTCGTGACAAAAGGGCTACGCGACATAGGATTCTCCGCGAAATCAGTGCGTTCTCGAATGACGACCGAATTCAGAGAGGAGATCCCATTTTGATATACTTTGCTGGACATGGTTCGAGTACGAAGGCACCAGACGCTTGGGCAGTCGGAGGGGCTGAAATCCAGCTTCTGATTCCGTATGATGGTCAATCGACTGATGCGAATGGTCGCGAAATCCACAGCATCCCAGATCGTACATTGGGTGCTCTACTGACGCAAATAGCAGATAAGAAGGGTAATAATATCGTTCGTCCACTTTCCATATTGCCCGAACCTGTTTGTTGATTGTGCACTAGTCAGTCATTTTTAATTGCTGCCACTCTGGTTCTGGCACGCGTATTGATCGTGTCGACCTTGACTGCATGGAAAGAGGCATTGAAGTAAAGACGAGTCTTCCGGCCGACCTTGACAAACAAATTTGGAACCATCCATCCAAATCATCTAAAGAGCGTGCAATAGCAATACCCGCCGGTTTCGCTCACGGCGGTCTTCAATCCCACGTACTTCTTGCTGCATGTGGCACGGACGAGCGTGCTAGAGAGGAAAGAGAAAGGGGGCTCTTCACGAAGGCATTGATAGAGGCCCTTATGAGCTATGGGACGGATAAACTCACATATGCTGATGTTATCCGGCGAATGTCGCGTTTGCCGAGGTGAGTCCAAACTATCGACATACCAACCACCAGTAACGTTTAAACCATCCGTTGGTAGACAGAATCCACAATGTGAGGGCGTGAACCAGAAACGAGTCCTCTTCAATGCGAGGTGCACAGCCCGGCGACGTATGCTCTACGAAATACGTAAAAACGGTGACAAATATGTGATGAATGTGGGAGCAGCTCATGGTATCACTGTCAATACCCGTTTCGCAGTTTATCTGGACAAGGATTCATCCCTGAAAAGGAATCCACTCGGCACCGTCATTGCTCGCCGTACGAAATCTTTCAAGACAGAATTGGAAGCATTCCCTAAGAGATTTAATTTCACGCTCGAGGGAGAGGGATTTGCACTTCAGACTCGTGCAGGAGACGAGGAAGATCTGAAGGTTCATGTTGCACTGGATGAAAAGCTTACTTTCATCTTTCAAGCACTCGCTAAGGAGATGCAAAGGACCGATCCCGCGCGCAGAACCATCATTCCGGTCGAAAAAAAGGAAGCCGCTAAGCTTGACATCGCGCTTGAGGACGGAAATGTCGCCTTTTATATCCTCCATTCTGCAACTTTACGGTGTGGGCTGACACGTATGCCTCACACTGTCGAGCCATCCGTCAACGCTGTACAATCTGTCTTATATGCTGCCGCCAACTTCTACTGGCACCTCGACCGCAAGAATACGAGTGGTAGTCTGCAAAACTTTGTCAACATCGAGTTTAAGCGGCTTAAAAAGTCACAAAAAGTCGATCGTTATGGTTATGATGTCCTCCTCGCAGACGGTCCAAATCTGATTCGTTCCGACGTGATGGATTTGAAAAATGTGATGGATTTGCAAGTCGATGACACCGCACAATACGGTCTCAAGATCACCAATAACTCGGCAATTCCGCTGTACCTGTCGGTGTTTTTTTCGATAGCAGCGATTTGAGCATCGGTGCGTGCGGTGAAGAATGTTTGATCTCAGAGATGCTCAATACATTATTCCAGACTCGTGGTATGAGCCCCCGGCTGCCAATGGCATTGTAGACCCACCTCTTAAAGGCAACAGCTTCTTCACCATAGGCTACGGTAATTCAGGGACGAATCCGCGCGATTTCTACCTTCGAGAGGGACAGAAGCTTGATGTCGGGTTCTTCAAGCTGTTCCTCTCGACAGAATATGTTGATTTATCGCATATTCCTCAGCCGTCGCCCTTCGATAGGGACCGCGCTTCGAAGCGAACCGCCCGTAAGCCTCAAGAAGCCTGGGACACCATTCTATTACCAGTAATCCAGCGAGGCGCATTCTAAGGCTACGGGTTTGTTTCACTCCATGTTTCTTAGGTTAATAACTACGTTGAGATCGCGATGCAATTAAAAGATACGCAAACGGTGCTGTGTATGTAAAACAGGATCTAATAACACTCTCCCTAGGAATATCACCTTGTAGAGACTTATGGATAATCACATTCAAAGTGAGTTATTGTGTCCATGGTTACTTCACAAGCGTAGGCGGATGGTATAAATTCAACATCTAACGCATGACAGAACACCACTCAACGCGAAGCATCTCGATGGCGTGATGGAGAACGGAAGTTGCTGGTCGAGACAGCCCACTTAGAGACCAAGATGAATGAAAGGAACCCAGCGCATCAAAGAACACCCCTCAGCGCAAAGCACCTTGATGGCGCAATGAAGGGCATGAGCTGCCGAGGTATAATCAGGAGTATTCTGAGTGTGAGGGTTTCGGCTTGCTAGGAGATTATGATAAAAAGCGTCTGCAACACGGGGACCATCTTCGTCATGGATCGACCTGTTCTCGATTTGAATTTCAGGACCAATATCGAAGAGACGTGGTGTACGCACCACATAGTGGCAACTGCCTCCCGGAACCCAGTGAACAGCAGAGTCGCAGCAAGATGCATTGGTTCATCTGGCAACTGCTCATCGCCTGCTGCTGTCTGACATGCGCTGAGAAACACTAGCGACGCATTCCGCATGTCGAGTTCCATCAGCTTGGATACTCTGAGTCGATCGTCCAACAAAAGCGCACTGTTGAGAGGATTTCGCGCGTCTTGGACTCCATGGCATGCGAAATGGGCAATTGAGACAGCAGGCATGTCGCGCAGAATGTTTTGCACTAGAGTAGGCTTTCCGGGAGTGCTACCGTATGTGATCAGACATTTAGCAGGTATATGCTTCTCGATCATGCGCAGCTCCTCCGTAGTAAATTTCAATGATTGCTGTCCTGGAGTCGTAGGCTGTATAGCGACAAGCATCTTGAACTCTTCTGTAGTAGGGGGACGCTCGGCGAGAAGAGCATTCAAAGTAGGTGTATAGGATGACACGACATAGTCGTTCACACACAGCGTGTCTCCATTAGGATCGTACACCCCAGCAGCATGAATCGGCAAAGATGCAAAAGGACCAGTGGCCATCCACCACAAACGAGGGGGAGAGTTGGACTTCTACATCCGTAGAAAATCGATGAGATCAATCACAATACAAGCCTACATGTCAAAATGCTTGCCTTCAGCCTTAAGCTTTCAAAGATTGGTCGCGTCAGCAATTTCCACAAGATGCCAAGCACGTCGCGCAGGACAGAGTCAGCGTCCTTGGCCTTATGGGGCAGGATGATAACGCCTCGGCTTTGAGGAACGGAGGGGAAGGAGGTGCCACAAATCATTCGTATGTGTTTGGCGAGTAGCTCTACTTGTCGATATGTGAGATTTTTAAGGGGGATGTGAACGACCTCAGAACCAACTAGCGCTAGCGCATCACACTCCGCTCTAAAGCTGCTTGCATTCAAGATGACAACAATGCCATTTGCTGCTGCAGCGGATAGGGTGTCAAACCTCCTGTGCTCAAGGAAGTTGTGAAATCCATCTTGGGCCCGAATCTGCTCAATGAGCTCCATCCAATCTGCCTCCAGCTGGCGATATCGGGTGTTTTCCTTCTCCGAGGACACATTGGAGCCCTCAGATCCGGATGTCGTTCCAGACATGTCCCGAAGCGCGCCTTGCTCCAGCGAATGCGATATATCCAAAAATCTTCGTGCAAGCTGAGGATGGGCCGCCTCAAGGTCATGGAGGGGCGTACGAAGTTGCAGCGCGAGGGACCAGAACACCGCTCGCCCTGCTTCGAGGAGTTCGACTGCTTCGGGGTATTTCTGCTGACGAATTGCACAGGCCGCCGCCTCGCGAGCGAGGCCGTCCGTGCCCAGTGTCAGCGCGCGTTGGCGGGACTGCACATCTACACCAGCCCCGGCCAAGAGCGGAAGCAGCTCAATCGTAATTCGGTATTGCTGCAAAGCGAGCCCGTGTCCGTCGTCCATCGCATCTGAGAGCCGTGCCCACATCCGTGCGGCAGGAAATCGCTGCGAGAGCGGAGTAGAGTAGGAATCGACAATTGCTTGGTAGGCATCAGCGGCATCCATGAGATCTTGTCCAGAATTCCCGACCTCATCTGCCCGCAAGAACCTGGCAACAAGAGCGCGACCGAAGGGCTCCAGGATGAGAGACTGAACAGGATTGTCACGGTCGTGGCGATGAAAGCCTTGGAGCGTCTCGCGGCACAACTCAATGGCGATGTCCAGATCCTTCGCCCTGCCGATTTCTTCGAATCGGAGGATGAGAACATTGGCGAGATTTATCAGACACGGTATGCGGTCGTAATGGCCTTCTGGGAGCAAAAGGAGGGCTTCGCGATGCAGCCCAAGTGCGTCGTCTAAGTCCTTCAACTCGCGCATCCTTTGGTATCGACTACGTAGCGCAACGGCGAGATCACTAAGGGAAGACGGGCGACCTGGGTGCATGTCAGATTGCAGCGCGAGTCCGCCACGATAATACGCAATTGATACGTCTAAGTCCGATAAACTGCGCTGTACGCAAAACAGTGCATGGTGAGCGAGTCCCAACTTATGAAGAGAGACTGGACGCTCCGGGTGTGGCTCAGGGCGTAAGTCCAACGCCGCGTCGTGCAAAGTAATTGCCTCTCGAAGATCTTGCGGTTGGCGGGTCTGCACTGAGCGGGTCTGAAGTGCTGCCGCCAAGTTGGTGAGAGTCGATGCGCGGTCTGGATGATGGAAAGGACAAAGATCGAGAGCTTCTCTGTGCAGCATGATAGATTCATCTAGGTCTAAACGTTTTCCCCCATGCTCAAAGCGTGTGTGGAGTGCAACCCCAAGACCATTCAAGGTGGATGAACGATCCGGGTGAGGAAGAGGACGCAATAGAAGAGCTTCGCGGAAGAGAGACACGGATGTATCGAGCAATGAATCCATACTGGGAGTATTGTAGCGTGTCATATACAGGGCATGATACGCGAGAGCAAGATTGTGAAGGGAAGACGCACGTTCCGGATGAGGCGCGCACCGCAGCTTCAGGGCTTCGTCATGAAGTTCGATTGACTCTGATATGGTGCTGTCATCGCGGAATTTGTCTGTCTGCCTGGTGAATCGAGAATAAAGGGCCACAGCAAGCTTGTCGAGCAAAACAGCCCGATCATCGGCCTGAGAAGCAAGATCTCTGCGGCAGGATTCGATGGCTTCATCAAGGTCCGAAAGATCTTCGCTGTTGGAAACCGCGCCAGAATCAGAGACGGTACCTCTGACGAGCGACTCTACCGAATTCCACGCTCCGTAATCTGGTAGCTCTGTGTCGGAGACACACGGGGTCCGTCTCATCGGTGAGAACCTGGAGCGAAGGACCGGCTCCAAGACATTGAAAGAATAGGAATGACCTAGGCGTCGTCGAGCCGGCAAGAGAAGAGCAGCATGATGTGTGGACATTGCCTCCAGTAAGTCATCATGCTGCCTAATGTTCTCGTATCGCGCGTGCAAGGCCACAACGAGATTGGTGAGAAGTTCGGATTCATCGGGGCTTTGACCGGGAAGGAGTTGAATTGCCTTCCTATGCAAAGCGATAGCCTCTTCTAAGTCCTTCTCGAGACGCGTTGCAGCAAATCGGGTCTGAAGGGCTAGCGCAAGATGACTGAACAGCGCAGGAGAGTGATCCGAGTTGCTTATGCTGGAATTGCTCTCCTCGATCTCCTCGAGGGCGTCGCGATGAATCTGAATTGCTTCGTCCAAAATGGGGAGGTTAGGAAGGATGAGTGCATCATTTTGAGCGGAGGACTGCAAGTATTGGAACCGTAGTGCTCGAGCGAGTTGATGCAGAAAGATTCGCCCGTCTACGTGGAGTTCAGGCTGTAAGGCCGAGGCCTCTCGGAGCAAATTGATAGCTTCGACCATGTCTGCACTATCCCATCGACCATTATGCCACTTGTTGCGATTAAGAAGGGCAATAGCAAGGTCGCGAAGAGCTGCCGGGCGGTCGAGGTCAGCTCCAGACATCAAAAGCAGAGCTTCCCGAAGCATAGCGATAGGATCTGTCAAATCTGGAAGTCTCCCAGTCTGTTGAAATCGTGTGGACAATGCGGAAGCGAGGCCTTGAAGTACATGTAATCGATGGGGATTTGAAGCAGGTAAAAGAGGCAGTGCCTGGCGGAGTAGTAGTATAGCTTCTTCCAAGTCAGGTAGCAAGCCGTCCAAGATGAATCGAACGTGGAGAGCAATACCGAGATTCAGCAGTATTTGTGAGCGTTCCAAGCTGGCCGCCGGCGCAAGATTGAGTTCTTCTCGACGCATCGCCACGATCTGTTGAATGTCTGCTATATTGTGCGTTTTGTTGAACTGGGCAAGAATAGCCCTTTGAGACAAACTATTATCCATAGCTGGAAGAACAATCTAGTCGGGAAAGCGTTTCCCGTCTTTCGTTCGACTTGAGCGGATTACTCTGTAAATGACTCAATGAGTGGAATGCACCAGGATGTACCCCTACCTGACGATTTGGGAGACTTCAGTGAAAGTTTTAGTAATCACCCTACGGAGTGCTTCGGAAACCGATTTCATATGTATGCAGAGGCGAGTTGGCATATATGCTGAGAGACTTAAGACAAGAGCAGTAACTTCATAAGCAATTTCTACATGAGCACAAGCTCAGAGTCGATAGCGTAGACCTATCGGTCGAGTTGTGAGGCTGAACTATGATCGGATGGCCACGATAGCCGCCCAGTACTAGTAATGGGCTGAACGGCTGTTATTATTCAACGTGCTCCCTGGAGTGGCTCCGACAAGTTTGAAGGAGCGAGCTAAGTCTGTACCTCACCTGCTCTACATCAAATTACATTGCATGATGATAGCTGATAATCATAATCAAATATTCAAGCCTTCTATCATCCCACATTCAAATGTCACAGCTCAGTCAACAACAGATTTTGTTTAACAAGTAGAGCCCGACGGGTCTTTTGTGTTATTTAATTTGTTTCCTACGGGACGTCAACAAATGTAGATAGTACAAACCAGTCTTGTGAAGACTGCAACACAATGGCGCGTCAAGGACAACATATGGATGAATCGTGTGCAAATCAGAATGCATGTTATATGTAGACCGCACGCGTTGATAAACTTCAAAAAACAGTTTAGGCCTGGTACCTCGCATATCGGGCTTTCAACAGGGCATTATGATGATTGCTCACCGGGAAAGTCAGCGCATACTGTCGTATATATCAGCAAACCGATCTAGCCCTTCCTGCTTGAAACGCTCCTCAGTTGACGGTGCATTCATCGTACAGACGCTAGGCGGCAGCCAGGAAAGTCGCTCGGTGATCTTTGCTTGTAGGAGTGCATCTGTGGCCTTGACATATTTCTGAATGGAATACGCTCCTCGCACATAGCCTGCCGCACACATTGCCGCCCAAGCAACGTCCTGAATCAGCTGTATACCGGATCGGTTGGGTTGTGCGTCCAAAATGAGGAGGTATTTGACCTTGAAGCGATCCTTCTTGAGCCAAAAGAGCCAGCCTTCGTTCCTCTCTGTCTCGAGTTTCCTCAAGTATCCTGTTATATCCATCTCACCCGCTTGGCCGGTACTGTAGAGCACGTCTCTGCCCATTCGAATGTTGTCCCATGCACCATGACCTACTGGTCGGTTATTGAAAGAAGCCATCGGCGCCTCGAACATACGGCTTCTCATCTGATAGAAAGTCTCGTCTTGGTCTCCCCCAAATAACTCCAACCATTGACCCGCATCGGTCTCCGAACGTGAGACGACGACGAATTTATCGGGACGAAGGCGAAGTTGTTTTATAAACGCATCTGTGAATTCATTACGTTCATTGCGGATGGCGCCAAACACATACGCTCTGAAGTCAAGCTCTGCCCAGCTTATTAGACCCCGTCGAGAGGCAGGTGTCATGCTAGGCACAGGGCCCGGAGGACGTGGAACGCTAGTGCTCACGAGGTCGCCGACGACAACACCACACAAGCTTAAATGTGAACGAAAGCCCTCAATGCCCCTCTTCTTGCAGAAAGTTGGAGGAGGAACCAGACCCAGAGCAGCAAAAGACATGAACGAGATCAGGTCGTCAAAGTCATCGCATCGCACAGATACATGAAGCGGTTCTCGATGTCAGCACATGGCTTAAGCATGTCCAAAATATACTTCTCGATGCGGTTAACAATTCATCGAAGAGACAAAGACTGTGAGGTCACTCACCCACCAGGCCTCATTAGTTATCTTGCGAGTATGTCGAGTCTTGAATACCCAGCCCCCAACTAATTTGAAGCGATCATCTGGGTTTTGGGATGAATCATCTGCCCCCAACATGTGATATACCAGAAACCGCTCACCGAGTTTGCCAACGTTGGCTGTGGTCCTAATCTGCTCTTTTGAGTTCTTTGGCCAGAGCGAGAGAGCTTCCAAAGTCGCATCCCTCCACCAGATCATACCTTCCATCAGCGCCTTCATCTGACCCCGTTCAACCCGTTTGAAATCCTCAGCTGTGAAATTGGGATCGAGGAACAGATCGTTGAATGATACTTTTTTGTCTGCCTTCAATACAAGAATGGGGTCGTGAAGCAGAACGCGTCGCGTGTATTGCAAGATAATGTCGCGTTGGATGTTGACGTGACGAACATAGTCCTGGTCTCTGCGGTCTTCTTTCGAAAGACTTCGCTCTATAAAATCTTCTCTGCTCTCTCTAATAAATCTATACTTCTTCAAGTATTCGCGTTTCTCCCTAATGAAGGAAATTAGAGACGTGGACATGAACTGAGTGACCGGACCCATACGCTCGCATGACAAGTTCGATTGGATCGTCCTCTTCACTTTCTTCGGCCGACACCGTAACCCTAGCGTCTTTCGAGGTAAGGTCTGACTTGGCTAGAATTGCGGCAAGCAGAAGGGAATCAAGCTTCTCTGAGGATTCCATCTCCGCCGAACTTTGCTCCTGAAAGTCTTTGACCCAAGAGTAGGCGGGATCCTTTGCATACTGGAGATCAAACACACGCTCTTCCAGCGCGTCCATAATATCTATACGTGTTATCATGTCCCTTTCAAGTTTTTTCAGCCGCATCTTGTGCCCGTTGTCAATTGAGTCAAGAGGCTGCGCATTAACATCGCGGTAAACTGATTTTGGTGCACTCACTCTTCAGAAAAAATCGCTTGTGATGGGTTTCGCGACCGATCCGCTCCACCCTTACGGCTTCTACAAATTGCCTCATCAATTTAGCTTTCTTCTTTGCGACGTCAAGATCGTCATAGCTTGCGATCTGCTTGAGCAATGGGATACCCGCGGTTTGCATCTCGTCGACGATCTTGGCAGCCTCCTTGTAACGCTTGCACATCGTTCGATGTTGTTTTTGATGTGTGCGGCAGCGATCGCCGTCGGCGGGCTCCTTGGGGCATCGAGTCTTTCCGTCTGTCTCGATTGTGAGGCAAGACCCGCGCTCGGTTGCTTTCTTGCGCATAGTGGTGGGAGGTGGTGGAGAGCGTCAAAGTCACACCCAGCTCGAAGCGGATTACCGCCAGCTTCTCCAATAGCACCTGCCCAAGCTGAGCTGCCCGTCCCAGTGAAACATCAAACTTTAAAGTGCACCTGTATCCAATTGTTTGGGAAGCGCGCGCGTTCTGTGAGAACACTTCAAACAACAGTCAAGCTACTCACACCACGGGCACCATGAGACACGACATCAACTAGACAAACGTGTTCACTTGAAGGACAAGTCTGACAGCCTAGACCCAGGGGTCCTCTAGATGTGCTGCCGTTCATGAAAAACTGCGAACTCAATCACAAACGCCAGTCGCGGCGAGAGCGCACAGTGAGCAGATGTCTGGAAGAGGGTACTGGCGACTGGACCATCCCAGAGCAAGGGCCCAGGAACACGCATTACCATTCTCATGGTGCCTGCCTTTGACGCAAGCTCACTAGTCCAAGAAAAGCAAAACGTGTGGTCATTGCATCCGGGCAGTCTATCTTTGCATTCTACACCACTATGACACGCGCCGCCTACACTCGCAGAGCCGATCTCGTTACTTCTCCTGGGGCGGGTTCAAATGCACCTAGTACGGGCATTAGCCTACGCACTCGCGACTAGGAGAGTAGAATAGGCGCACCTGCTGGCCACCCTGGCCATTCTCCCACTGCTGATATCTAAGGGCCGTGAGCCCTCGCTTTTCGGCTGTAACACGCTCGCTCTCCTTCAGCGATTGGCGGACAGCCCGCGCGGCGATTTGGGTGTACTTGTTGTACCTGTGTGGAGAACGGCTGTTGAGAAATACAGTGGAGAAACATGAGGAGACCTACGTGAAAACGTTGCGCCAGGTAACGCTGCTCATGGTGGTGGACGATCGGAATGCGTTTGCCAGTGGTGCGTTGTCGGCCAGGAAGTCGCGCCCGGCCAGCTCCGGGATGATCACGTGCGGTGCTACCAATGCGTCTGGAGTCGGCGTCATGGGAGTCGGCGCGGGGGAGGGTGGCTACGACCTGTTGACTACCGCGGTTGCCGTCGTACACCCCTTCCAGCTCGCGGTCCCTGCTCTCGTCCGTGCATTCTGTGTAGTCCTGTGCTACCGTAACATTACCATGGCAGGCGTCGCTTGGCACTATGTTTTGAAGTTCATCATTACAGGCAAGTCATGTTCAGAGAGACCTATAGTGCCTCTTCCATGACACGCTAACACGGTGTGCACTGCTCACCCACAGGCGACTCTGCCGTCGGCAAATCCTCCCTGTTAGTCCGTCTTACAGACCAACGGTTCTTGGCAAATCCTGACCCAACAGTGCGTTGTCTGCGGTTGTGCCCTATCTTCCCACATGCATTAATTCTACCGCCTCTCCACGCCCCCTGCTCGCCAGCTAGGAGTAGAATTCGGTTCGAAACTTATCTCCCTCCCAGAGGAGAACAAAGTTGTCAAACTCCAATGTACGTCCGGTCCCGTGTGGCATTACTGCGGCGGTCTGTCATGCTGACGGAGGCAGGTCAGGCTGGGACACTGCCGGCACGGAATCGTTCAGGTCCATAACGCGTTCGTACTACCGCGGCGCCGCAGGCTGCCTCCTTGTCTACGATGTGACCGCGCGGCAAAGTGAGTGCGCTCCGGACATTGCCTCCGCCGCACCCTTACATGTGTTTCTCTGCATTCCTGTCCCCCGGCGATTGCTGACCGTTGGCCACCAGCTTTCGTGAGCGCGCGATCGTGGCTGGCCGACGTGCGGGAACACGCTGACCCACACTTGACTTGCATTCTGGTCGGAAACAAGATTGACCTGTGTTCCGATGACGGTCCTCCGGGTCCCGGCAAGCGCGCGCGGGAGGTCTCCACGGAAGAAGCAGAGCTATGGGCTCAGGAAGAGGGCCTGCTGTTCGTGGAGGCCAGCGCGAAATCAGGCCACAACGTCGAGGCTGCATTTGAACAGGCCACCCGGGATATCCTCGATAAGATCCGAAGAGGAGTATTCGATGATGCCAGGGTAAGCGTCCTTTGCACTGCCCGGTCGAGGCCCTCTTTAATATGTTACATGCGGTGTGCATCTTACCCTTACCCTTACAGTCACCTGGCGTTAAGTTATCAAAGCCGTCAGATACGAATTTGACATTAGACGCGGACACTTCCGAGGGACGCTGTTGCTAATTTCCTTTGCGCCAGAAGCTACATGTTATATTTCCTTGTACAGTGATGTATGTATACCTATGTATTTCAACACTTGTTGTTCGGTGCCTACGGCGAGAAGATTTTTGGGTGGGAGAGTGCTCGTAATGATGATTAAACTTAACAGTATGCGTGAGTATGGACGAGGCGAGTGCGGTATACATGTGTGAACAGCGAGGCGAGATGTCTAGATATTACGGTGGGCGTAGAATAGATAATACGTGCGGGGACATATGCTGCAAGTGTAGCCGCGGACGGCCGCCTTGATTAGATCCTTGAAACACGAGGTATCGACAACGCAAGAAAGCGAAGATGTGCAGCTGAGAAACGAACAGCCCTGATGCTGGTTGATGTCCACGAATCATTGTCCTGCCCCTTGCAACGAGCGTGCATACTCGCCCAGCTGCATGACAAAACCTGGATTTGGATCCGCCTGGCTGTACTTGGATTTGACATATTGCAATGCCTGCTCGGGCGACCAGCCGTACTTGGCGATGAGATAGGCGCAAACGACGCTGGAGCTCCGACTGACGCCCTGTGCGCAGTGCACGAGGACACGAGCGTTTGGATCGCGCAGGGCGTTGGAGACGAAGGACGTCGAGGAGGGGAGGAAGTTGGCGAGCTCGGAGAACGGGCTGTCCTGGAGGGGTATTTGGAGGCGTTCGAGGGGCAGGGCGGGTGGCAGGATGACGCGCCCGCACATCGCGCTGAGGACGTGGGTGATTCCGAGGGAGACGAGCGTGTGTGCGCTCTCTGCAGCGCAGATGTCGGAGATGAAGAGACGCGGGACGATCTCGGTCGGGAGGGACGCCTGTGCCGAGGACTGGGCGGATCGCCAGGAGGCGGAGGGGGATGGCGATGCGGGGGAGTAGCGCAGGGCGGTGGCAGGCATGGTTAGGGATATCTGCGATTTTTGTTTGCGAGACATGGCTGATGGTCAGAGGAGGGATCATAAGAGGGAGGGGGACGGAACCGACCATATATAATAATTATAAAGCAAGTAGAGCTTTGGCCGGGAGACACGGGTCTGCAGACAGGCACGCCACCGTGCGGCCTAAACAAAATATGTGGCGGGGTGTCGCTGCGTGATGGGAGATCTGGGTGGCCGGAGATGAAGGGGGGAAGAAAAGACGGGGAGGAGCATGGCTGGGGCGGGGGCGGGGGCTTTATAGGGGCGGATGGCAGCGGCTAGGAGAACAGGCGAGCGAGTCGTAGCACGCTGAGTGGTCGAGGACGGGCCGTGCCTCGAGATCGACGCGTCGGGCACTCGCCCAGGCGGCATTCCCACGACCCCGACCACCGCCTCTCCCCGGCTCGGCCAGCACAGCCCTCTGCACCTGCGCACGTGGCGGACGTCGGTAAGGCTGTGACCGGAGTCTCACCTGCCCCGGCAACGTCCCGGTGTCCACCTCATTTGCGCCGCGCATCAGCCAGAGTGAGACAAGGATATGAGATCGACAGCCAGTCGGGCAATACATGGCGTATACTACGGAATCGATGCACCAGCTATTACAGTACAACAGACAATGCAGAGACTCGATCCCAACGTAGCGTGCAGAGGGCGACAAAGAGACGACAGCAGAAAAAGGCGGCGTACGAGCACAAATGGGGTCGGAAAAAAATTCTGATCTCAGGATCAGTCAACGCGTCGGGTTCCTGTGATGGTGAGGGTCGTGGTGATAAAATAATGTGGCGTGACGTATCGTTCATCTAGATGAGGTCGCTAGAGTTGAAACAGTGTGAATACCTGCTCGACAGCCTCAAACAATCAAGATAGACGTACGCGACGTTCAGGGGCATTTCATCAATTTGAGTGTTGTAGAACTCTGTGGACATTTCCATTTGAGATCGATATCACATATGAATCCCAGTCCACTTACGTTCAATGTCACGAAGCATCCGCACATCCTCCGTTGTCACAAAGTTAATGGCCACACCCTTACGCCCAAATCGACCGCCACGACCAATACGGTGGATGTAATTCTCGCGGTTCGTCGGCAGGTCGTAATTGATGACAAGGGAGACTTGCTGGACATCAATGCCACGCGCAAGTAGATCGGTCGTAATCAGCACACGGGATGAGCCTGAGCGGAACTCCTTCATCAGCACTTCACGTTGTTTCTGCTCCATATCGCCATGCTTCGAATCAAATCACATCAGCACTTCGGATAGTCGATCTTTGATGGACACGACGCTCACCATGGCGGAAACCGTGAACTCTCTTGAATGCATCTTCTCAGTCAACCAGTCGACTTTCCGTCGAGTGTTGCAGAAGATGACAGCCTGGGTAATCGTCACCGTCTCGTATAAATCGCAAAGCGTGTCCAGTTTCCACTCTTCCTTCTCCACAGCAATGTAAAATTGTTTGATACCTTCGAGCGTCAACTCGTCACGCTTGACTAGGATACGGACTGGGTCACGCATGAATTTCTTCGTGACCTCGAGCACGTCTGCTGGCATGGTTGCTGAGAGGAGAACAACCTGCGTGTCCTGGGGAAGCAGTTGGAAAACTTCGTAAATCTGGTCCTTGAATCCACGGGACAACATCTCATCAGCCTCGTCCAAACAGAAAATCTTAATCGTATCGGTCCTCAACGCCCGACGGTTGATCATATCGAAGACACGTCCAGGGGTACCAACGACGACGTGCGCGCCTTCCTGCAGTTTTGCCATGTCCTCGCGGACGTTGGTACCACCGACACACGCGTGACACTCAATGTTCATGTAGTCGCCCAGAGCAATGACGACCTTTTGGATTTGCTGAGCGAGCTCGCGAGTAGGAGCCAGGATGAGTGCCTGGGTCCCCTTGATGCTAAGATCAAGCTTTTGGAGAATCGAGATGGAGAAAGTAGCGGTCTTGCCGGTACCGGATTGCGCCTGAGCAATAACATCGTGGCCCTTAATGACGGGCACGATAGCGCGTTGTTGGATTGCAGAAGGACGCTCAAAACTAGGGAGTCTCAGCCAGAATCGCAAAAAGTAACAGTTTATGAACTTACCCGTAGGCGTAGATACCACGAAGGAGTTCGGCTTTCAGGTCCATATTATCGAAGCTGTAGCACTATTCAGCACTCCGGGATTCCCAGTCTTTTCAGCCAGATGCTCACTTGTCAACTATCTGATCCCAGTTGGACTCAATCTCCCCCTCCTGGACATCCTGTAGCGTGTCTCTGCGCGCATAGATTCAGTATGGCACAGCATTCCGGAGGTTATCTACCACTTACGACGACATATTGCTGTTCCTTGTACTTTTTTCTTGGCAGCCGACTTCCTTGTCGACTGAAAATGTGGGTGGTGAGGGATGGGATGAGTATCTGCAAGATCTCTTTGCTTGATGGTCTCGAAAGACTTTCGATGCAAGCAAATTTCGCCCTCTGCACGATGACTGACGGTTCGGGCCCTGCCGAAGAGTTGAATCTCCGCAGTTCTGATTTGGAAGTGTCGAGCTCTATGTATTACGTCAGCGACTGTGTCTTCACGCCTGGGACCTGGACAATCGTCAAGTCGACTCTCCGTCGGTTGGCCACTCTCTATCTAGTCAAATTATTGTTCTGGTCTCGCAGATGACTACTCAGGTTGATTCTATGATTAATGGTCAGAATGGTATCAAAGCAAATGGCAAGATCAAGTCGAAGAACCAACTACGTCGCTTGAAAGCTAAGCAGAAGAAACTCGACGAGCGTTCGGCAACACCGGTTCGTTCCCGCTTCTATGCTGCGTACTTTCATGTGTTCAATTATTATTTAGCAGAGCAATGGCGAGTCCATGCAGCTGGATGTTAAAATGGAGGATGTGCAGCCTACGAATGTTGAGTACGTACCAGAGCAATTGGATGTCAAAGGTCGTGCTCTCGAAGAGTTCTCCGACGTATTTGCTCGTTTTCAGTTGCCCCCAGACTCCTCAGCAGTACGTTTGGGACATTTGTTGATAGCAATCATTATTTAATGCCCGACATTTGCAGCAATATCGCGACCAGGAGCCATCCAAAGGGGAGGTCATCTACTCCGACGATGATATGGCATCCGAGGGTGATTCGGATGCAGAAGAGAAGAAGCCTCTGTCAAAGAAAAAAGCTCGCAAAATGAACCGGCTTACGGTAGCAGAACTCAAACAACTTGTGAAGAAACCCGAAGTTGTTGAATGGACGGATGTTACTGCTGCAGACCCTCGTCTTCTCCTCCATTTGAAAAGCTACAGGAATACTATTCCTATTCCTGGTCATTGGAGTGCTAAACGGGACTATCTCCAGGGCAAGAGAGGTATCGAGAAGCCTCCGTTCCAGCTGCCTTCCTATATTGCAGATACGGGTATCGCTACGATGCGAGACGCTGTCAAAGAGAAGGAGGCAAACATGTCCCTGAAAGCCAAGACACGTGAGCGTGTACAGCCAAAAATGGGAAAAGTAGACATCGACTACCAGAAGCTTCACGACGCGTTCTTCAAATTCATGACGAAGCCTAATGTCACGGGCTTTGGCGAGATGTGAGCATGCAGGTTGGTCTCGATTATATTCAGCTAACAGCTTCTGATGCGACCAGGTACTATGAAGGCAAGGAATTTGAGACGCAGTTGAAACACAAACGTCCTGGTGATCTCTCTCCTGAGCTCGTAGAAGCTCTGTCTATTCCTCCACTGGCTCCTCCCCCATGGTTAATTAGCATGCAACGATTTGGCCCCCCTCCGAGTTATCCGACACTTCGGATACCCGGTCTCAATGCTCCGATACCTGAAGGGTGCGTTCATTTGATAGTTCACAGCTTGAAAGCCACGACTGATGCGTAATAGGGCTCAATGGGGTTTCCATCCAGGCGGCTGGGGTAAGCCCCCTCTTGACGAGTACAATCGTCCGCTGTATGGTGACGTTTTCGGCGTCATGCCAAAGAACACCGACCCTGATGTGATTACTGTTATACCAAATTCATTAATAGAGATGCTGATGTCTTGCATGCGTAGATGGGTGAGCCTGTTGATCGCAATTTATGGGGCGAGCTCGAACCCGAAGAAGGTGCGTTTCAGAATCATATGGCTTTTAATCTGTATCTCACATTGTCCCCAGAGGAGGAGGAGGAAGAAAGCGAGGAGGAAAGCGAGGAGGAAGACGTTGCCGAACCTGCCCCACAAGATGGTCTTCAGACGCCATCAGGTCTCGAAACACCGTCAGGTATGGCGAGCGTCGTTTCAACGGTTGCGGGGGGTCTCGAGACACCGGACTTCCTGGAATTGCGCAAGAACGCGGCCCGTCCACAGTCAGAAGCTGCGGAAACAGGGCCGCGGTCGTTGTACCAGGTTGTGCCCGAGAAACAGACGTCTGTCAGAGGCCTCATGGGCAGCGAGCGTGGATACGATGTCAGTGCTGTCACAGGGGGTGGTGCTATTCCTATTCTCGGCGACGAGAGAGGTTCAAAGGTTTGTAACGTGTCCTCCTTTAGGTACAGACGCTGATTATTCTCGATTAATAGCGCAGGGCGAATGGAGTGGACATCTCGATCGATGCGGCAGAGCTAGAAGGCATGTCAGAGGAGGAACTGCGCCGAAAATACGAGCATCATTCGCGAGGGTCAGCAGGTGTGCCAGGCGCGAATGGCAGGGAAGATTTCTCGGACTTGATCGTAAAAGAGATGGCAAAGAAGAAGCAGAAGGCGGACAGGGACAGAGAAAGCAGGCGCGAGAAAGAGTTCAAGTTTTGAGCGACGTCTGTCTGTGTACTTCCTGTATGGGCCTTCTCGTGTCGTATTGTAGCTGTTATTATTATGTTTTGATTTGTCGAAGTGCTCGTAGTTGCTTCTCACTTTGCTGTCTCTGAATGATTATACACTACACATATATAGCCAAGAAAATAATCAACATGCATTCATACAGTTTTCACTATTTATTACAACGTATTTTGATTACTTCCTTTCCGCGAACACATTCCTATGCTTCTCATCCACGATGCTCGAGGCGCGCAATAGCGCCTTCAAGCCAGATGCAGTAATATCTGAATCGGTCGCGACCCCCCACGCACTCAGCTTGATCGTTCCACCGTCCGCCTCATAGCCTAAATCAACATAGGATGCAGCCTTGACATCCGAGCCCGTGCCAATCGAGTGCTCTGCGTACTCGCGGATTGTCGCCTGCCCATCAATATGTGCATTAAGCGCATTTTGCGCAGCGGTCAACAGCCCGTTGCCCTCCCCATGCACCTGCGTGAGCTTGCCGTTAACAAGAAATTCGCCCGTAAGCTCCTTGCGTCCACTCTCCCCCAGATTCTCCATCTTGAAGCTCTTAAGCGCGAAGCGGCTACCCTTGTCCGGGACCTCATAGTGGTATGTCTCCTTGAACAGGGTGATCAGGTCCGTGTACGACATCTTGCCCTCCGTATCACGCGCCGCGCGCTGAACTACCTCAAAAAAAGCCGCCTGTAGGCGGCGTGGTAGCTCTAGCTGCAGCTCATTCAAAACCACGGAGGCGATATCTGCCTGCCCGCTTGCTGCACTGTAACCCACGTTCAGCTTGAGTTCGGGGAGGGCCCGATCACCGATCGCACTGTTTACAGCGCTTAGGACAGCGCGTAATCCAGAGCCGGCAATATCAGCATCGACTCCAACACCCCACCAGGACTCTATCGAGCGTCGGAGTTCCTTGACATCCAAGGCCTGAGGTACGAGCTCCACGTATGAAGCTGCCTTGGTGTCTTGTCCCTGGCCAATGGCATGTTCGGAGTACTCTCGGAGGGAAAGGTCGATGTTGAGATGCGTACGGAGGGCGTCCAACAGTGCCGACAGCGGGCCATTACCGTCCCCGCGGATAACTCGCAGGACACCATCGACTGAGATCGTACCGTCAAATTGGCGGCGCTCGTCAACGGCATCATCGCCATTGGGCAAGTCCGGAGACGACTCTGCCGAAATCTTGAAGGACTTCAGGACCAACCTGCCTTCATATGTCGAACCACCGTAGTGGTATGTCTGCCGGAAGGCAGTGGTGATGTCCTCTACGGACATCTCCCGCGCCTCGCGGTCTGCGATCTCCTGGATGACCTGATAGAACGAAACCTGCATCTTGCGAGGCATATCAAGCCCTAGATTTTGTTGCACGAGGTATGCGATGCCGCCCTTGCCAGATTGCGCATTGACACGAATGACAGCTTCGTAAGTGCATCCGAGGTCAGCTGGGTCGATGGGCAGATACGGCATGTCCCAGTATTGTGGCTCGCCCTTCTTCTCAGCCTCAGCGTGTCGTGCCCTCTGCGCCTCGAAGCCCTTCTTGATCGCGTCCTGATGCGATCCAGAAAAGGCAGTGAAGACAAGCTCGCCCGCATACGGGTGTCGCGAGTGCACGGGTAGATCGTTGCACTGGGTAACAACGTCGATGACCGCCTGAATATCACTGAAATCAACCCCCGGGTTAATCCCTTGCGTGTATAAGTTCAAGGCGAGATTCACGAGGTCAACATTGCCGGTGCGCTCTCCGTTGCCAAACAGGCAGCCCTCGATACGATCTGCACCCGCAAGTGTACCTAGCTCTGCAGCCGCGATACCCTGACCTAAATACCAAGCTATTGAGCGAGAGGACGTCGTGAACATAATTTTTGACATACCGCGATCATTGTGGGGGTGCAAACTGACTATAACCTTCTCCCGCTCGGAGATGTGGCGACAGAAGTACTCGATCTTCACATCTATGAGCATGTATCGCACATCGGACGTTTTGTACGCACCTGATCAGCATAGTGATTAGGCGGACCGATCTCGACTGTCGCAGGCAAGTTGAAGATAATGCGCTCATCGCCAGTTCCAGCCTTTCCCCACGCAGCCTTGACTGCCTCACAGATCTCGACCGCAAACTCTGTTTCGGTCTGTGTGAACATCTCTGGACTGTATTCGAACCGAAAGATTGTGCCATGTTTGGCCGTGCACTCTTCCGTTAGCTGTCTGATCATCCTGGTGTGGCGTACTGCAAGCTCAATGGTCTCCTCTTTCGAGTTGCGGAAAACGACCTCCCGGAAGAGACACGAAGTTGCATTGTACATATGGATGATGGCACGCTTTGCACCGGCTACGGATTCGACGGTGCGCTTGATGAGATCTTCGCGAGCTGGAGTTAGTACCTATGCTCAACATGCATTCAATAAATACTCCAGTAATCTAAGGGCCAGGAAAGTAGTCCACGCACTTGAATCCAGACATTATCGGGAACCTGTCCCTCCTCAATCAAACCACGCACAAAATTGAAGTCGGTATCACTCGCGGCGGGGTATGCGATCTCGATCTCCTTGAATCCACACTTGAGTAGAGTCTGGAAGAATAGAGTCTTTTGAGGGATTGTCATAGGGTTCGCGAGTGCCTGATTTCCATCTCGCAGATCAGTAGAAAGCCAAATTGGTGGCTTTTTAGCAACTCGTGAGGGCCATTGGCGATCCGGGATGTTGAGAGGCGTGTACGGCTTGTACTTCTTTGAGGGGTCAGTGCTGAGCCAAGATGCTATTCAGTCCGGATTTTTTACGCGAGGCTGCAAGCACCTACAGCATAGGCATGATGGGTCGTTAGTGAGTGGAATTAGGCGAAGGCGAAGTTAGTCTTAATGGTAGCTGTAACATGTATAAATTCATGAAACACGAGTCACCTCGAGTCAACTCCATGATTGGCGCTTAAGCGCCCGAAGCGAGAGTCAAACGCCTCTTGCAACATGCGCATTCGGAAATAGCAGTTAGCAGTGCACGCGACATTCTACAGATCTCTGTCGACATCTATTGGCCATAAATATTCTCAATTTCTTAAATCCACGATCACAGCCTGCCCGCAATGTGCCAGAGCAGCATTCACGCTGACCCTGCCGTTGGTACTCTCGTTGATCCGTGCGCCATGAGCCTCGTGGATGTGCCCGAATACATGCAATCTACAACCAACGAGAGTTTCACTGGCTAAACTGGTGGCAAGGTCCTTGCAACCGGCCTCTTGACCCCTCTTCGTCTTGTCCAACGTACCCAAGGGGGGCGTATGTGTCAAGAGGACTTCAGTCGACGGTGGTATTCGGTCGTAGATTTCCTTGCCCTCCCCGAACTTATATTGGAATGCACCATATCGGTCTTTATTTCGAGGAGCAGCCTGCGCCTTTTCGTGAGCGATTGTCTACCCAAGGCTAATGCAGAGCATACCGGAGAACCATATACTCTCCAGGTCCGACCGCCGGCAGTAGTCACTTCTACTGCTTCGTGCTCGAGGTAGTATATTCCAGCGTTGCGTATGACGTCACTGCGGACGAGCATTTGCGCTGCGTCTGCGACCTGAGCCGCCATAAGCTATACGTTGTCTATGAAACCCTTATGGACGTACGTCAGAGTCCACTACGACACCAGTGAGGCAAGACAGTGCTCCGTCTTCTCGCCAGTCATTATCCAAACAGAGCTGTCTCGAGGTTAAATGGCACAAGCGTGTATGCTTTCACCACACTCACATCGTGATTTCCTGCTGTTACTCTGTGCACCTCGGATGTCAGCTCCACTTCAAGATGCAAAAGTCTAGTGTTCATCACATTTTGACAGGATGGTGCAAAGAGCTTAGCCACTTGATCGCCAGGACAAAATTCGTGAAATTGCTGCCTGTGCTCAGGTCTCCGGAATGGAGCAGGACGTCTCCAGGTGGGATAGGGTAAATGTGCGAGTGGGTGTCGGAAATGCACACGAAACGCGTCCAGGACGATCCCGGATGAGGCGGGGGGTTGTCAATGTCATATTCCAAATAAATCGCGGCGGCATTTGACGTCAACGAAGGGGAAACGGTGTTAGAATCCACGGTTCGTGGCCTTGGGTCTATTGTGGAGATCATACTGTTGGAAAAGTAGGTTGTTCCAGAGTCCGATCGCGTTTGCAAGGCAACTTGTAGAAGACTGGCGCGAAGCAGTAATGATGTACAATCGTAGTTCTATTCGCTGGTAGATTTGGAACTCTAAGAGAAAGAGGTTCACGAGCTAATAAGCTAGGCACATAGTACGTAGTAGTACGCACAAAATGGTGGTCGAAGTCGACGCTGCCAGCGCGAGCTGTGCTCGGAGCAATCGGTGCCAAGATCTGAGATTGCTCGAAACTCGGAACCACTGAGTACTGGCAACATCGCGGAACAATGGCCAACCTTGGCATTTCATGGGAACTTGTCCTGTCAGCTTTAGCAGTAGCCCAATAAGTCGATTAGTTTGATGAAGGAAAATTAGCTGTAGAGATGATCCCTCCACTCTCTAACATGCCCCTAACGCAGCAGCAACTTTTCTACCGACATGGCTAGTAAAACTCTCATACAACGATCTATCTCTCCCTTTCATCCAGTCAAATCGCAGCTTAATACTCCCAGAAGCACTCTCCTCTCTCATCCTATTGTCACCTTCCTCGACACACACAATCCGACAGACCAGTATCGGCTCTGCACTCGAATCCGGCTCGGTCTGCATAGTGATTCCATGCGCTTTCTTCCTGCGTGCTGCTCTCGACCAGGTATCGCGCGGGGCAGCTATTATGATTTCCAGTCCGGCACCGGCACACTGCTCTCCCGGAAGAGGAGATCGAACCGAGATGTCATGAAGGAGGGCGCAAATCGCTGTGACGACCGACGCCAAATGCACTAGGGACTTTGCTTGAGGGTATGACTGCCGCAACGTGTTGCGCGCAGGCATGAGGTTCTGCGCTTCAGTGCTTGATATCCGCGCTAAGCACTGTTTAGCACACAGCGCCAGTCAGACATCCGGGCACGACCAGGCACCGGCAGACGTAAGAAAGCACGCACGTCAGGAAGCCGGACGTCACCAAATGACCAGGCAATCGCCCAGCGCCGTGTCCTCCCCTGTACAAATTCAGTACATGCGTAATTGTCTACCTGGTGGAGTTTCACTATTCTATCAGTGTCGCATACCACCATACAAAAAGGGTGTTCGCACATGGTGTACGCGCAGGAGGGTCACTATTTCCGTCAGGGACGACAGCTTCCCCAACATGGACGTATACCATCTAATATCGTGAATTCGACATCAGGTCGAAGCTGATAGATGCTGCAACTGTTCGCTTAACGCACCTGCATTTTGTTCGGATCTCAACGCTCTCCTGCACCATTCGGCCGACGAAGGAAACCTCTCCGCCTGGGGCGATCATCTCGACGTCTGCTCCCGTGCACACCTGACCAAAAAGAGTAGAATGTTAGCGTCGACTACTACGGCATCAAGTGGTCGCGTAAGTTAAGCCTGAAGGTATAGATCCGAGCCTGACAGCTCTCCGTGCATCTGAGCGATGTGCGACAGTATCTCAACTGTTCAAAACGATTGTTCGCCATGCTCCACCAGAGTAATTCAATTACTCTTGATCTACAACGTGGATGAAGAGGCTGTGACTCACAGCCGCCGGCCCGAATTCCTTTGCCTCCGCGGAGCGTAATATCTCCTCGCGGTTACGATAAAATGGGGGATTGCACATCGTGAAATCAAAATGGACGCCACTGATGGATCATTAGTGTGAACGCCACTGGTCTGGCGAGATCATGAACGAACTTGGAAGTAGACGCGCCGTCTGAGTTTGATTCAAAGAGATGCAGAAGCATCGATCCTGAGGGTTTACTCTTGACAACAGTGATACGGTCGTCGAGGTTATTCCGCCGAACATTAAAACGAGCGCTCTCCAGTGATTTCTCATCGACATCTGGGTTGAACAGGCGGTTGCCAGACAAGAGTGAACTGGTGAATGACAAAGATGCCAGTCCACGATGTGTAACAACTGACCAGTTGCAACAAAAGTCCAGAGAGGGCGAGAACGGCAGCCCAGAAGAGGATAGATTGTAGAAGCTCCTGTTCCGCTATCAAGGCCTTAGTCACAGCCCCTTCAAAACATCGCGAAAAAGATATACATGTCAATTCCACTAATTTTTCTTTCAGAGTCCGTTGGTTCTGCGATAGCGGTCGCATCGACAACATCTTGAAGCCACAAAATATAGTTCAATCTTAGGCACGAAGTGTATAAACCATCAAGTCATCAGTAGTGCCGCATGCCCTGATATTGCTTGCATCACCTGTTTGGGACCTAGTCGTTCGGGTGAGGATTCCAAAAACACAAGTTTGCATTCCTGGGCTTACTGGCGGGCAGATACGGTCTTCAGGTATATTGATGGTGACCTGGAAGTCTCGGTAAAGAAGCGCTTCGGTCAACCGTCTGTTCTGCGTTTCAATTATCGAATACGGTGGGTAAATAAGCACGCGACAGCCCATTTGTGAAGAGTCAGACCTTTGTGCGCTCTCGTCCATGAAGTCGATGGTGACTCCGTGGTATGAATAAACGAGGCTACAGCACAATTGAGCATTTTCGAGAAGAAGTGTAGTTGGTTACGGACTAGGGCTTAAGGGGCGGATATGCATCCGCTAGCTGTTGAAAATCAGGCGGATTCTGGTATGGGTTTCGAGGATGCATTCGCACGATGGCTTGTAATGTGAGTTATACTTGGAACAAACTGGGTGGAGGTACGCGTATGTGTTCCATATGCAAGATTTCGAATCCGGAGAGCAGTGCGCAAAAAACAAACAGCGTATATCTACTTCAAGTGCACGCTGGGAGTGGTTCAGGAGGGCCCATCAAAGCGCCAGAGTCACTGGCAACTCGAGGGTTAGAAGGACCCCGGACACTATGTGTCCGCGTCCCAGCATTTCTGAATCATACCGAATCAAGTCCGATCGCACTGACTCGAGTCGACTAGAATTGATTCTTGTATTATTCACTCCCGCCTGTACACTGATCGCAAACTGCATATAGAGCAATGGTGGGAGTACTCACCGTTTCTGCAGCATCATTTCCGTTCGCCGCTGCTGCGGTTGCTGCTTACACCTCCAAAGCCGAGCTTGTATTCGACCAGGGCGCATCAATTCCGAGCCTTGATCTCAACGGGTCCAAAACCACTACCGAGGATGAGATCGTGAGGGTCCTTGCCAAGGAGGGCGGCCTGTCCGACGATAGTGCGAAGGTGAGCTGAATCATTGAGGGAGTGATTGACTGATCTGTTGATAATGAACGACTCGGCAGACCCAGGCGTATTTTGCATTAGCAAAGACTCTACCGACAGTCACTGCATTTCCCGAGATCGTCGCAGCTTTAGACTCTCTTGACGACCACCTTGCATTCCGGACATTTCTTGTTGGTCACGACATTTCCGGAGCAGATTGGATCGTTTGGGGCGCACTTAAAGGTTAGTCATATTCCCGTATCCGATGAGCGATGGGACATAACACCATACTCAGGAAGTGTGAAAATCGTTGGGCTTCTAAAGAACAATAAACATCCCCATCTCCTCCGGTGGTACTCACATCTTGAGTCTCTCGAGACTACACAGTTGGCTCTTGCAAGCCTCAGTGGTATGTCTCTGTTGACTGTTCGTTCACTTTGTTCGCTGAGGTGACATAGAGGCAAAATCCAGCAAGGCGCGCTCGAACAAAACTGCGGCATCATTCGCCCTTGGATTGCAAAATGCCGTCGACGGTCAAGTGGTCACCCGTTTCCCACCCGAGCCGAGTGGCTATTTGCACATTGGACATGCAAAAGCGGCCATGCTCAACCAGTATTTCGCCCGGATGTACCATGGAAAGCTCCTCATCCGCTTCGACGACACCAACCCAACAAAAGAGCGCGTAAGTGTCGGAGTGGAGCACATTAAATAAGCCCTGACTTTTCGTGCAACACAAATTAGACAGAGTTTGAGGAGACAATCCTCGAGGACCTGGCCCTCCTCGATGTCCACGGAGACAAGGTCTCGCATACGTCCGACTACTTCGACCAGCTCTACGAGTTCGCACTGAAGGTCATCAAGGAGGGCAAGGCCTACGCGGATGATACCGAGCAGGCACAAATGCGCGAGGAGCGCTTCAACGGGATTGCATCGAAGCACCGTGACGACAGCGTCGAGGACAATATGAAGCACTTCGCCGAGATGAAGGCGGGCACTGCAGAGGGTGTGCGCTGGTGCGTCCGCGCGAAGATGAGCGTTGACAATCCAAACAAGGCGCTGCGAGATCCTGTCATCTACCGCTGCAACCTGCTCCCGCACCACCGGACTGGGTACGTGCCGCCGATCGTGTCGCCTCTGTTCCGTCTTCATTTGCGCATGCAGTGATAAATGGAAGATATACCCAACGTACGACTTCGCATGTCCTATCGTTGACTCGCTCGAGGGTGTAACGCACGCACTGCGGACGAACGAGTACCGCGACAGGAATCCGCAATACTATTGGATGATCGAAGCTCTCGGCCTAAGAACGGTGCATATCTGGGACTTCAGGTAGGCAGTAGAAACAGCCTCGAATTCTCGAGCAGAGTGTTGATTTGCGCGCAGTCGTCTCAACTTCATCTACACGCTGCTCTCAAAACGCAAGTTACACTGGTTTGTAGACTCCGGACTTGTGCGAGGCTGGGACGACCCTAGGTTCCCCACCGTGCGAGGTGAGCTGTAGTGAGGCTATCAGCTGATACACAGTAGTTGACAGTACACAACTACAAAGGTATTCGCCGAAGAGGGATGACTGTTGAGGCGCTGCGACAATTTATGCTCGCACAGGGACCCTCGCAGGCAATCGTCTCGCTAGAATGGGATTCGCTCTGGACGCTGAACAAGAAAGTCATCGATCCCATCGCACCCCGCTTCTGGGCTATCACCAAAACGAAAATGTAGGCCATCTCCATTCATTGATAATCGAGACGGCACTAATGCGGTGAATCTCCAGAGTCAACGTCACTATCCACAATGGTCCCGCGGAAGCCGAGGTAAAGACACTGCCGAAACATAAGAAGAACACGGAAGTCGGAGAGAAGCAGACGGTGTTCTCGTCGAATATTTACGTGGAACAGGAGGACGCAGCGTCCTTCGACGATCATGAGGAGGTGAGCAACTCCGACATTATATCCTCGTGCCCCTTGTTTCTCCCGCGATGCTCGCACAGATCACCCTCATGGACTGGGGTAATGCCATTGTCCGCTCGAAGGTGACTAACGCCGATGGGACTATTACCGCCCTCGTGCTGGACCTGCACCTCGCTGGTGACTTCCGCAAAACGAAAAAGAAGATCACCTGGCTCTCGCAGCCGGCCGGTGCACACGCACTCACCGACGTCACGCTGCTCGACCACGACTATCTGATCACGAAGAAGAAACTCGAGGAGGCAGATGACGTGAAGGACTTTGTCACGCCTGTGTCCGAATACCGCGAGGACGCGCTCGCAGACGCAAATGTACTTGCTCTCGCAAAAGGTGACATCATACAATTCGAGCGCAAGGGGTACTACATCTACGACGGCGTGAACGACGGTCGTCGCGAGTTCATCCATATCCCGGACGGCCGCGCAGCGAGCCTTGCGAGTAAGGCGTCCTCGACGCCCGGCGCGGCAACACCGTCGGCGAAGGGGAAGGAGAAGGGCGCCGCGGTGGGGGGCTCAGCGGTGGGAGAAGAATTCGTAACGAGTGCATTGAGTGTGCCTGTGGACACGAAGATGTATTCGGTCACACCTGTGTACGGCAGCGGGGACGTCGTTGCTCCGGCAGAGACGAAGATGTACAAGGTGACGAATGTGTATGATTCGTAGGGCCCTTGGGGCTGGTAGAAAGCAAAATGTAGATGGTATGGTACCGAAGTCATATATCAATGTATTCAAGTCGGTATGGCTCTCATTGCAATTTGCAGCCGTAAAAAATCGCTGAGAAGTACGATGAGCAGGTATTCACCTATTGGTCTACGGATGATATCGCAAATTGCACATGGCAGCTCAGTGTGTGCAGGATGGAATTCAAATAAGTATATACGGCTAATAATACACAGTCATTGCAACTCTACAGAGTAAGTGCACGTACGATACTACCAAGTGACAATCTGTCCGACATCAGGCGCATCGATCATCGACTCAGCGCTGGCCGTACGCCTTGCTCTCGTACTTGCCTACGCCCACAATAATATTCGCGGGGTTCTGCGCCTGGCCCTTGAAGTAGTTCTCAAGGATCGAGCGCGTGCCCGCAGCGTATCGCGCCTGCGCATCCAGCGTCGTTCCGGAATAATGGGGGACCATGCCGTTACCCGCACCCAGAGAATTCTTCATCGTCCGCCAGACGTGGTCCTTCGGTGCAGGCTGTACGTTCCACACGTCGCCTCCGTACCCGGTGAGCTGGCCGCTCTTAAGAGCCGCTGCGACAGCGTCCTTGTCGCAAATCGCACCACGGGCTGTGTTTACGAGCCAAGCACCCTGAGATAAACGATTGAGCACATGTATGCAACTGACAAGATCGTTCTAGAGCATACCTTCTTGAAGTGCTTGAGGAGATCAGCGTTCACGAGACCCTTGGTTCCCTCATGCAAGGGGGCGTTGACGGTGACAACATCGCATTGCGAGACCATCTCCTTGAGGTCTTCGACACGACGAGCCCTGACCTTCTTCTCCGCCTCTGCACGCCTGTCATAAGTGTGTGCACGCATCCAACGTGACTATATGCGCACCTTGGGGGAGAGCTGCATAGTCATAGTATAGGTGCTCCTTAGTGTCGAATGGCATCAAGCGCTCCAGCACACGATAGCCAATACGACCGGCACCAATAGTGCCAACCACCTTGCCCTCAAGATCGAAAGCATTGCGGGCAATGTCCGAGACCATCCAGTCGCCACGCTCGATCATTTCATGGGCCGGGACAAAGTTGCGTACCAAGAGCAGAATGGTCATGACGACGTGTTCTGCTACAGACGTAACGTTTGAGCCTGTAACCTCAAGCACCTGGATCTTGCGGTCCACGGCGGCATTGAGATCGACATGGTCAGAGCCGACGCCGGCTGTAACGCAGACTTTGAGATTTTTCGCCTGGAGAAAACGATGAGGTCATAGCGGATTAATACCGGAAGAATACTGACGGTGTCAATGAGATCCTTGGTGAGGTATCCGGGGTGGAAGGGTGTCGTGATGACAACTTCCGCCTGCAAAGCACCGTCAACATTGACTACTTAAGCTTGGGCACAATCTCACATCCTTAATGTGCTGGCTCAGCACGCTGTTTGGGCCTTCCTTATCGTCAGAGACCTGGGCGCTCAGAATGAATAATGGCCCAGTGCAAAGAGTTGCAAAGCGCGTACGATGAACTCGTGTCCTTGGGACTCGAGCCAAGAGCGGAGACCGAGCTGGAGACAAGTGTGAGCGCGATGAGCGATACTGAAGAGCTATACACGCACCTCATTCTCAACTGTGCCCAGGAGACGGGGCTCTTGCTTCGCCGCCTCGCCGCCACGATAGAGGATAGCCAAGACCTTGGCCAGGTGTTAAACCACGTCTCAGTATAAGATCGGAAATGTATTCACCTTCATGCCGCGGTTCCATGACGCGGAGGGACTGGCGAGAGTGCGGCTTGCGGCGCGCGAAGCAGCAAGTTGACGAGAGGCGAGTCGGCTGAACATGGTGATGATGGGGAGGCAAGAAGTGTATGGTGAGTGAGAAAGATAGATGCGCTGGACGTTAGCATTATATAGCTGGTTGCACCCGAGAATAGCCCTTGGGAGCTCAATTTCGGCTCGTCTGGAGTCGACTTTGGGAGGAGGAGAGGGCGAGAATAGCTCACGTGCATCCCGAGATGATCCTGCCGGGACGCGGCCGAGGGGGCGTGACCGCGTTTGATCAGGCCATGACGCACCCGTGATGCGGAGGTGGCTGGTCCCGCAGTGGTCCCCCGCGTTCCCTTTCCTCTTTTGGAGTCTCCTCCCGACTCCCCACGAGCTAATCCGATGCGCTTCCGGCGAGCTCGGCGTCCAACTGCCCGGACCCGCAACTCGTCCCGATCCCTCCGTCTCCTCCCCATCCCGACGCTCGGGGATGGCCGCAAGAGTGAGCTGCCATCACCAAACGCCAGACGTTGCCTCAAGGATCAAGCAAAGTCTTAATTTCATCCCGTTATCACGACTCCGTCTTGTACTCGCCTCGTTTCTCGCACAAATCCCTTTGCATTCTCGCATTGATTCTCGCGCTCGACGCAATAGCTGCAGCGAGTCGTGAACCATGTTCAGGGAAACACTTTGCTGCTCTTTGTGAGGACCAAATGATTTTCTGCGTTTCACGAGCGATCAAGCTGGCCCGCCGGGTGGCATAGTCTGCTCTCCTTCCTGGTCGACAAATAGGTCGCTAAATAATATATTGTCGCATTGCCTAGTGCAGATGATCGAATCGTAGGTTTTGGTAAACTGAACTCCAGCTTAGGCAGTATTTCAGCTTATAGACCGATAAGAGTTCAACATTAAAGGCACTCACCGAACGTTAAAACGTTCATTTATCCTTTTCTTCTGCAGCAACGATTCTGCGTATCACAAGAGCCCCCAGCTTGTCCACGAGCCTTTCTCCAAGGATGTCCATCACCCACTGAATAATCGCGTGCGGCATGTACGGTGCGTATCGCCTTCGTCCACAGCCAATCTGGCTCACCAACGCTCGCCCAAAGCGCTCCGTGCTCGGCATCGAGAGCGTCTCGCGCACCCCGGTGCGATTCGTGCTCGAGCAGACAGAACCGACGACGAGGTATGCAAAGCGCACGCCCGTGTCCGCGCCCCAGACGCGCTCGTCCGTGTCCAGCCCGCGCGAGAGCGCACGCAGGAACGCCTTCGTCCCTGCGTAAACTGGAAGGCGAGGAGGCGAGTGGTCGCCGACATGCGAGCCGACGAATTGCACCATGACGGGACCCGTCTTTGCTGAGGAGCGTAGCTGGGGTAGGAGAGCGCGCGTGAGCAGCAGAGGGAACAGCGAATTCCACTGAACTAGGCCGAGGAGCTCGGACTCGTCGAATCCATCTAGCCTGTTTCAGGCAGAAGCAACGGTAAGCCCAGTGGAATGGGAGAATGCGTCAAATCATACTTTCTGTCGGTGATCTGAGCACCGCCAACATTATGGATAACAACCGTGATGTTGAGATTGCTGAGTGGCTCTATCATGTGTAGAAAGTCGTGGCCTGGTTGCGCTGCGTCCGCAATGAAATAGCGCACATCGCGAGAGCTACACGAGCGGATCTCCTCCGCGACCTTGCGCACTTTTTCTTCATTCCGACCGTGAATAATGACGTTGAAGCCTTTCCTTGACAGTTCTTGGGCAACGGCCTTGCCTATGCCATCTGATGCCCCCGTCACCAATGCGTAAGCAGGCGGACCGTGGTGATAGCGACGCACAGTGGAGGGGCGTATGAGGTACAGCCAAACGAAGCTTGCGAAGCGAACAATCTGAGGAGCCAGAGCGATAGCGCCGACTGCTGCGAGAGCGTGTGTAGCACAGACCATGGTGATTGTCAAGAATAAAGAGTCAATATGAAAGCCATCCTCCCGCTATTAAACCACAGCGACGTCGGCGCGCGGATTGGCACTCCGAAAAGCAGTAGTCAACGTCGCTCTGACAAGGCAGGCGCGTCCGACTCACCGCGAAAGCGTAAGTCGCGGTCACGTGTAATCGAATTACCTGCTCACTCCAAGCCTGTCGAGTCAGACTCAGAACGTGTCTCTCACCTCTCATACATGCAAGCTCGCCTTGGGGCAAGGCAGAAGATCAGGCGGTCGGTCTTGGATGGGATGCGCGGTGTCCCAAGTTTCTTGCCCGTCCCAAGGTCCGCTGTGGAAGATAACCTTGGACGTAAACAGGAACGGGTCCGGACGTGCACCTGAAGCTCCGGAAGCCGGGTTTTTGGCGGCGTGCGTTCTATCAACACGCAAGTCTTTCATTTTCTGAGAATACGGTATGGGAAAGGAGCCGCTAAAGTATCTCGCCGCAGACGAAGCACTCCACTGTTGCCTTTATCGATAGCCTTCCGGCTGGACGGGAGGGCCTTCTGGAAATAATAAACCAGGCTTGGGCTTTGTTCAATACATTGTGGCCCGTGTCCATACTTCCGGGACTTATCACTGTATTTTTCACCTTTGACAGGATCCAAAGAGGGTGTATTCCGTCATACTACTAGAGGACAACCTGCCTATTTTTACGCCGTGTAATTGCTCGGAATCTAGGGAAGTGGTGTCGGTGCGTGGAAAGACAAACGTCATACAATCAATACATAGGCCGTTTTTGGTGCTATTGGGGTGAGAAGCGGGCACAATGCAGTACGATATCCGCCGATGACACGACCGGTACAAAAGCATCGAAATGGCTCCAGCCGCGTAACGAGCAGTGCGCATCCTAGGAAGTGCGAAATGTTACTCGCCGCGAGTAAATGGATAGAAGCCGGCTGTTGTACCAGCCCAGCACACCCGCAGATACCTATTCCGCCTCATCTTGCATCTGCATCAAGAGATCTGCGGCCGGGGAACTTCGAGAAGGTAATCTTACGCTGACTTGGATCGCTTACGGCGACAGGAACGGGGACACGGGAGAAGATCCAAGACACAAGAGCCGCGGTGCATATGTGCTGTCCAGTGCGACAGACTCGAAAACCGTGCAATCCATGGCGGGCTCGAAGCACCCGGAGTTCAAACGCTGTGCTTCGCGAACGCCACGGCATTCTCAGCAAGAACACCCCATGGGAATAGATTCGAACAATCAATGAGGCTGAGGTAGTTGGGCGAGACAATGTAGCTCACTAATATCGCCAGTTGTGCTGTGGTAAGGAGAACTATTGATAGCGCATGAAGCGCGTTGACTGGACCAAAGCCAAAGACACCCACCTTTATACAATTTGCCGCGATGTTGAAGGCTCTACGGCACGGCAGATTTCCTCACCTGGTAGACTTGTCAAAGTACGACCCAATGATGGTGAAAGTGGGGCCAATAAGCTGTATTGTGACTGATTACATATCGTGTCGCCGGATCGGGGAGGAGGGCGAGTGATCGGGGAAGCGGAGGCGGTTGTGTGGAAAGGACATGTAGAGTTAAATAAACGACTGAATACCCGAAGCGTGGCGACCGTGCTGCAGCCTGAGGGCTTCTGGGTCGCCAGGCCGGGGCTGCCCTTCCGGATTGGGGCCAAGTGACTCGTCCAGAGAATGGCCCCAGCCAATCCGTCCACAAGTGGCATATCGACAGCAGTCCCCGTCGTGTGCAAGGGTCGTGGCCGTCCCCGTTGGTCGATTTATTCTCCCTTGCACAGAGTCCCGCGACGCATTGCACGCCTCGTGCCACTCCCCGGACTTTGCCCTTCCGGCGTCTCCGCCTCCCCTTACGTAAGCGCCTTCGTTTCTTCGCCGTCAGATCATCTACTAAAACCCCTCGGCCTCGCGTCTCCTCTCAACGGCCTCAACACTCTCCTCACTGCCTTTGCACCCCCTTGATAATCCAATGGCGTCGGGTCGCGGCTGCTTCAATTGTGGAGGCTGTAAGTAACACCCATCTCACTGTCCCTCACATGCTCATGTAGTGCTAGTCGGCCACCAGGCCGCCAACTGTCCCAAGGCAGGGACTCCGACCTGGTAAGTTGCCCTACTATCCATTGTTCACTCATTCTTATCTCCCCAATAGTTATAATTGTGGTCTAGAGGGCCACGTCTCGAAAGAGTGCACCTCCGAAACAAAAGCCAAGGCGTGCTACCGTTGCGGCCAAGAGGGCCACATAGTAAGCTTCTCTCTCTTAAACTTTCAGACATTGTCACTGATTAATCATAGTCTCGAGACTGTCCCGACGCAGCCAACGCACCTCCGGGCGCCATCGGTGGTGCCTCCACTACGGAGTGTTACCGATGCGGGAAGACGGGGCATATTGCCCGCACTTGCCCCGACGCTGCGAGTGGCGGCGGCTACGGCGGCGGCGGCGGCGGAAACTTCGGTTCCAAAACCTGGTAGGTTCTTTTCGCAGTATCTCAGTGTCATAATCTCACTTGTGTGCAGCTACACTTGCGGGGGTGTAGGACACTTGTCCCGCGACTGCGTACAGGGTTCCAAATGCTACAATTGCTCTGGTGTAGGCCACATTTCGCGCGACTGCCCCCAGCCGCAGCGTCGTGCGTGCTACACATGCGGGTCGGAGGGGTGAGTGATTGATTTCTGTTGGTTTTTCGCTGCTTATTTTCGTGCAGCCACATCAGCCGCGACTGTCCCGGGGTGGCCACAGAGGCGGCCTAAGTGCTTGAATGAAATTGTCTATATACGTGTTACATGATGTATTGTCCAACGAGTAGTATCTTTGTACACGAGGCTAGACAGTACGAGGCTCATCCTTGTGCGATCTCGGTTGGCTCGAGATCGCGGGCAGCGCCAAAAAATAAGTAATTCGGAAAATGTTATCGTTTACGGACAAACCCGTGCCGCTCCGCGCCGTCTCATATCACCGACAACTGTCTGCTCCCTTTTCGCGTCGTCTGCTGCAGGTTCATCCTCATTCATCCCATTCCACTGTCTCGTCCGCTCTCCGCCTTTCCTCATGCAAGCACTGCGCCTGGCGCGTCCTAGAGTTCCCCTTCGCCCCTTCGTGCGCTCCATCGCGGCGACGGCAAGCGCACCTCACGCTGCGGCCTCGCCCGCGTCGTCCTCGTCATCATCTGTGCTTCCGCTGTCCAACGTCGAGGCGCAATGGGAGCGCCTCTCTGCCGACGAGCAGCTCGCCGTGCATCAGCAGCTCGAGGAGATCCAGAAGAAGGACTGGAAGACACTCTCCATCGACGAAAAGAAGGCCGGTATGTTCATGCACGCTCGCCCGCTATCTCCGCATGGCAGCCGTCGTTCTCCTCTGCACGTAGAGCATTGCTGATGGACTGTTGTCGTATCGTATGGGGTATCTCTAGCGTACTATGTCGCGTTCGGGCCTCATGGACCTCGTGCTCCTGTTAACCCACCGGGCTCGACGATGAAGGTAATCCTCGGCACCTCCGCCGGCATTATCGCTGCCTTGGCTTTGTTCTTGTCTGTAAGGACACTCGGTACGTAGTCGTATATGTTCCAATTTCGCGTTGTGTGAATAATTTCGTCGAATTCGTCTTTTAGCCGCGCCCCCGCCTAAGACCATCAGCAAGGAATGGGAGGAGGCCGCGAACCAGCGTGCTTTGGAGCAGAAAATGAACCCCATCTCTGGTTAGCATCTTTTCTCAGTCGTCTGGTGTATAGCTTTAAATATGTTTGTTCCTGCAGGTATCACGTCGGAAGGGTATTCTGGCAAGGGATTCGTTACACACAAATAGGCGTGTTTCGCCTCGGCATCCTTGCGATATGCGCGATTCAGGTCATGCCCGTGCTTGTGCTGGCGTTCGGGATGGTGGTTTTTCCATATGCGTCGTCCATTAGAATTCTAGCATTACAGAATGTTTTGAGCAACAATAATGGTAGTTTCTACTCTACTGCCTCAACCAACTTGAGTCGCAGTAGTCCCAGTCTCGCCGTACATGTTTTTTTTTTCGAATTATCGCTCAGCCCACAGGTCTGGATGCAGTACATGGGTCAACGTCGTAACACTTGTATCGCGGACCCGGGTAAGCAGTACCAGTTGCTAACGCCAGCGCGTCACTGGGCCATATCGGAGAGGACAATAGTAAATTATCGCTACGAGCAAACGTCTACAGCCCTTTGCTTGCCAGATCCTTACCAGGGTCCGTTTCCTTCTTATCCGTTTTCTCCTTTGCATCCTTCTTGTCATCCTTGTCATCTTTCTTCTCCTTCTTATCCTTGTCTTCTATACCCTTACTCTCTTCCGCTTCAGCCCGGCCAATTGAAGCTTTGTTGTCTACAAGCGCATGGAGCGCAATGACGGCTCGTAGGAGACTGCTCAGATAGACGACTAGCAATTGGTCATTTGTACTTGATGCGAAGCTCTGAGTGGTTTCGGAGTCGTTGAGATTTGGAAGGAGATTGAGAGCATCTTGCAAGTGGTATACAATTTGGTGGTTTACTGGCATCTTGCCGGCAGCAACGTCGGAGAGGTACTTTTGGATGTCGGCTAGCCGTGACTGCAGTCCACGGAGCGAGGCAAGCTGCTCGGAGACTCTGGTCGCAAGTGTAGTTGTGGTGGAATCTTTGATGTCGCGCAGAAGATGTTCCACCCCGATCTCTTCTGCTTCTTCCGCCTCTATTGCTGAAGGCACGTGCAGGAACGTTTTTCGTGTCTCTGTGCCGTCCTGAATTGACTATGAATAAGTAGTACTAATACATAACAAAGCGAGGACGTACATCCTTGATTTCCTCCACTGCAAAGTACGCGTCTGTTGGAATGCCGACCGTCTGTGGTCGCACGTCTACAATGACCATGACGGGTCGCGCAATGAATCGCTTCAGTAAATCATTAATCTCCTGGTCTGATGCGCGAAGTTTGGGGCCAGTGTGATACCACCCGATCATCCGCTCTCGTGCTGGATTATACAACGGTAGTGTCAACACACGGCTGCCCAGATCTAATGATAACTCACGGACCATTGACCTTCTTGAACATCTCCCACATGCCCTCAATGTAGTTGTGATCCAAGAACCATGTCTTACTATCCTTCTCGTCCTCCTCAAATGGGATGCCGAAGGAGTTGGCGACGTTGACGGTTTTGCCGTTGTCTTGGCCTAGCAAAATGCCGATAACGCGCTTGCTCGAACTCCGGGATACGCTTCGCGCATGGTGATCGGTTACGGAGAGGAGGACAAGAGGGTGAACAACTAATGCTCATTCTGTAACCAATCGAAGCCTGAAAGTACTGTGCCAGACGCACCAACGGTAGTTCCAGACAACGCCGCTAGCTTGTGGCGCATTCAATTCAATTTAAAGCATGCAAAAATTGCAGATTAAACCGACCTGTTCTGATGTTGTGGCAACCATTATGAAGTCAAAGGCACAAAGCGCGAACTGTGAGTGCGTATGCCAGTCGTTAGCGCCTAGACGCGTACGCGTGTGTTTATGCTTGTTGTCCAAAGCCTTCTTCCACTTGCCTTTTTAGACACTGCCACTCGGAGATGTGCAGCGCTAGCGAAAATTTATGTGTTGTGATAAAGCGCCTGGAAAATATTGACGCAAATATGTAGTCCGTTGACTCTGTAACCAAGATCTCATGTAATTAATCCAGAGCTAGGAAATAGTGCTTCCATACTAGATCAGTCTCGGAGTTGCTAATTATCTGCATTGTTGGTCAGCGATGAACACTTCTGAAATTCCTACAAAAGACATGAATGAGCGACTCTCTTAAGATTCATCCATGTCATAGCTTTCGCGAGCATCCAGTAAGTAATACTTAATCAGAACAAAAAGCGATTGATCTCGGAGTCGATCTAAAATATATTTGCGGTTGTTTGCCAGTATGCGTCCCGTCTCATTTTGGCAACTGACCGATCGCACAAACTTTCGCGTCAAATTTCTGCAGGCCCACCGCTCATCGGCACTCCGAGAGACACAGGCTTTTGAACGGGAGACTACAATGGCATTTGGTACGCTTTGATAGTTCTGTACGCCCAAGTCAAACTTGCTGAACATATTTCCACTCCGTTTGACCAGGAGCTTCAGGCGGTCGCGGCGGATTTGCTGGGCGAGGCGGGGGACGCGGTGGGGCTCGTGGTGCCCCAAGAGGAGGTAGGGGGGGTGGCAGAGGTAAGTGCGGTTCTATAAGAAAGATATGTGATTGTTAAAGGTGGAATTTGCTTAGGTGGTGCAATGAGAGGCGGAGGAATTGCCAAGCGCGGTGGAGATAGAGGACGAGGAGGTGGACGAGGGGCTCGAGGTGGTGGTCGCGGAGGCAGAGGCGGCGCAAGGGGGGGTGCTAACGTCGTGCTGGAGCCCCACAGACATCCTGGGATCTTCATCGCGAAAGGCAAGGACAGTATGCTGGTGACGAAGAACCTCGTTCCTGGAGAGGCAGTTTATGGCGAGAAGCGGATATCAATTGATGGTGGTGTCGAAGGGACGAAGGTCGAATATCGCGTTTGGAATCCGTTCCGCAGTAAGCTGGCAGCTGGTGTCCTGAATGGACTGGACCAGTTCTACATTGGTCCCGGCAAGAAAGTCTTGTATTTGGGCGCCGCCAGCGGAACCAGTGTCAGCCATGTAGCGGACATTGTTGGACCGGTAAGTGTATGTTCTTGCATGCAGATGCAGAGTGTTGACTTCTTTGTCAGGAGGGCATTGTCTATGCAGTAGAATTCTCTCCTCGATCAGGTCGTGACCTTATCAACATGGCGAAAAAGCGAACGAATGTCATTCGTGCGTCCCGTCCTTCGCATGGATGTATCAATAAACTGACACAATATGTACAGCTATTGTCGAAGATGCTCGCATGCCTCAGAAATATCGGATGCTTCTATCGTCGGTCGACGTCGTTTTTGCCGATGTTGCCCAACCTGACCAAGCACGGATTATCGCCCTCAATGCCGAATACTTTTTGAAAAATGGGGGCCATGTCGTCATTTCCATCAAAGCAAGCTGTATCGACTCTACTGCGCCTCCTAGTGTTGTCTTTGCCCGGGAAGTACAATTCCTCAAAGAAAACAAGTTAAAACCGCTAGAACAGGTCACACTGGAACCTTATGAACGTGATCATGCAATGGTGTCAGGTGGGGTCCCTTCTCTTCAATTTTCTGCGTCTTTCTAATGTTTTGTATCCAGCTGTATACCAGCGACACAAGTGATATTTCCCTGCGCTCTCTCTGATTATTGTAGGCCTATTGCTTCGTTTAGCGATTCTGTTTCGAGTAAGAGCTCGTGTCTGGCGGATGTCGCTGTATTTGCTGTATATCACGAAAAGTACTTCGCGTTCTTGGCATGCATTGTATAGACTCCTCGTAATAATCCCGTCCCGGCGCTCCAGTGTGAGATTGTGAGGCAGTGAAGGATCATTCGAACAGACGTGTCGCTGCGTACTTAGTTGACGTCAAGCGCTCATTGCGCAGCCGACAGCGAGACCAACAGTTCCTCAGATGCTTGTAGCTTTGTTCTTCATTCTTCCTGCAACTTTGGTGTAATTCGCTGGCCTCGGGCATCACACACTATCCTTCGGCTTTCGGAGCTCCCATCTGGGCTCAGCGGCGTATGAGGCCACCGCAAGTCTCGCTACATATTGGCACACCCGAAGTCTCTCCTCGTACCTCATCCGAATTCGAGGAAGTCCAGTACCCTTTCACGGACGGTTTTCATCGATCGCCTGGGTCTCGCCGAAACGAGGAATTACCGTTACACTATATGGGCGAGGATACAGCTCGCAGGAGGGTCCCGCGCGGACCCAGCGGGAATGACAACTTCAGGCAGCGCCTGGGCAGCGCGGGGACGGAGGAGTACGAGATGTATGATCATGAAGGCAAGGACGTGTATTCCAAAATGAAGGATATGCGAAGTCCTCTGGGTAGTGGTCGACTCAGACGTCCGCCGCCGCCACCACCAACCACTGTGGTACGTGTTCTGTTCTGTGGGTGCTCTTCTGGGCTTTATGGGCGCGTTGCTAGAGCGAATTCTTGCAACAAAATCTTGAACACATCCCGCCAATCGTTTACACCCTCCTCTCATGTTGGACGCGCTTCCACAAAATTGGCCATTCCAATACGGTTGTCTGGGATGAGGCTCATTTTGGAAAGTTTGGGTCCTTCTACTTGAAGCGCCAATTCTACTTCGATGTCCATCCTCCCTTGGGCAAGATGCTCGTCGCTCTCACCGGTCTACTGGCGGGCTACGACGGGCAATATGACTTTGCGAGTGGGTCAACGTACCCAGATTCCGTCCCGTATGTAGCTATGCGCGTCATGATGGCAACATTCGGTGTCGCCATGGTCCCGCTGGCATGGTATACAGCCGTCGAGCTCGGCATGAGCTCGAGGGCGTGCCATTTGGTGACATTGATGGTGCTATGCGGTCCGTCCTTGCGTATTGTCAAATAGACCTTTCGCTCACCGTATCGCAGACGTTGCATGGCTGTGCATATCGCGGTTTATTCTCCTGGATTCCATGCTTCTCTTCTTCACATTCACTACCGTATTCTGTCTCACCAAGTTCCATAATCAACAGTATCAGTGAGTATATGCGCGTACATTGTCTTACCTAGGCCTCACTGTTGTGTCTGTAGGCCGTTTTCATTCGATTGGTGGTTATGGCTGTCTTTCACCGGTGCCTCAATTGGTTGTGTGACAAGGTACTTCTCAGTAGCTATTCCTTGCGGGTGGGCTGACAGTTGTGCAGTATAAAATGGGTCGGTCTATTTGTGACTGCACTGGTAGGTTTGTACACCATTGAAGACCTTTGGGAAAAGTTTGGTGACCTCCGTATGTCTGTGGTATGTATATTTCGTGCGTCCCGAGAGCACATTTGACTGATAACAAATTTAGCGCGACCAAGCCAGACACTGGGGCGCGCGGATAGGCTGTCTTATCGTTCTGCCCGTTGTGCTTTACATGGCCTTCTTCAAAATTCATTTCATGATATTAAATCACTCAGGTCCTGACGATGCCAAAATGAGCTCGCTCTTCCAAGCAAACTTAATCGGCAACGATTTTGCTCATAATCCACTTGGTCAGCCACACTCCGTATCTGCTGCTCCCATATCTGACGTCGTTCCAGAGATTGCCATTGGCTCCAAAATCACCCTAAAGAATATGGGATGGGCTGGCGGCCTTCTGCACTCTCATGTCCAGACTTATCCTGTGGGTTCCAACCAGCAGCAAGTGACATGTTATCATTACAAGGATGAGAACAACGACTGGATCATCTTGCCCAAATGGGATGAGCCTTCATACGATGCTGCTGCACCTATCAGGTTCCTCTCTGACGGCGATACTATACGTCTCAGCCATGTTTCTACCAGACGCAACCTTCATTCACATCTTATTCCCGCACCTGTATCAAAGCTGAACAATGAGGTATCAGGCTACGGGGACGATAAAGTCGGGGACTTCCACGATTATTGGGTTGTGGAAGTTGTCGATGATCTGCGGCGCGGCAGCAAAAGTCACGTCGACAAAATTCATTCTTTGACGACACGTCTCCGCCTGCGCCATCATGCTACCGGCTGTTATCTCCGCGCCGCCAACGCCATCCTGCCGCAGTGGGGCTTCAAGCAGATTGAGGTTAGCTGCGATAAAGACAACAACCCAGGCGACGTACATACGTACTGGAATGTCGAGACTCACACAAATGAGCGATGTAGGCTTGGGGCATATATTGCGATTGTAGTTGACTGATAGATCCTTCACAGTGCCGCCGGGCGATCACAAGTTGTATCGAACCTCATTCATTCGAGACTTCTGGCACCTCAATGTCGCAATGATGACTACAAACAACGCCTTGGTCCCTGACCCGGATAAGGAGGATGTACTTGCTTCTAAACCATCAGATTGGCCTTGGATGACTCTTGGTCTGCGCATGTGTGGCTGGGGACCGACCCAGACAAAATACTACCTTCTAGGCACACCGATAGTATGGTGGGGAGGGACGCTGAGTCTGTTCGTTGGAGTGGCGGTTCTTGCTTTGTATCTGATGCGCATCCAACGCAAATACGTCGACATGGAAGCTAGTGAGTTATTCAAAGTTGTGCACCATCGTGGCTATGCTGACCTCAGTCTTAGGGGAATGGGATCACTTCTTGTATGTTAGTAAAGTTGCCATGTTAGGCTGGCTGCTACATTACGGTATGCTCTATAGTAGTCACTGAGATGCAACGAAACTCAACTCTCTTCTAGTCCCGTTCCTGATCATGGGTCGTGTGACCTATGTACACCATTACGTATGTGTTGGTTTATTGTTCGAATAGTCCCTCTAACTAACACATTTACGGGGATCTTTCAGCTACCGACTTTATATTTTTCGGTGTTGATGGCCGCCCATCTCCTTGACCACTTTTTCTTCACTACACGACGACTTTCTGAGCGAACGAAATGGATAGTATTTGGTTCAGCGGCTTTCGCAGTCGTCGCCTCATTTTGGTGGTTTAGTGGAGTTGCGTTTGGCATTGACGGGCCCATTAATGATCATTGGGGACTCAGATGGCGTTCGGTAATTTTCAAATCCTTGCTCTTACGAATCGAGCCTAATAAGTCATTCTTAGAGCTGGAACATATACGATGATTGAGTATATGAGATGGCTTCATGGCTTGGAGGAGATTTGTAGCATTTCAGCTTTGTATCTGTGTGCATCGTCGTCGCATATTATATTTGATTGCATCTCCCTTTTCACAATTGAGAAAGGGGGATGATAGTAGGTTGCAACATGGCAGCAAGTCTGAATCCATGTAGCATTGCATCGGAAGAAGAATGATTGTGATTATGTCCGTGCTGCACCCCAACTACCCACTCTCCGATAGAACAATAGGTATGCACAACGGTCGTCTCTGTCTGAACTACCAAAGACGTCGTCTGGTCGAATATCGGAAACTAGCTCGTCGTCTATTCGTATCCAGGCCGAGCGAGGCCTGTCACTAAGATCGCGGTTAGGATGAAGAACATCAAGGGTATAGTGTCCTCCAGATGCAGATGATCCATGATGGTATAAGACTGCAAACGAAGGTGAGCGAACGGACTTTGCAAGATTTAGGCACATACCTCCGAATAATTGGTACTTGATAGGATATGTTGTTCGCCGTGTGGGTGCCATGAGGTCTGAACTCAAAACGTAAGTTTAATCGCTTGGGATATGAAGCAGGTTCATACCAGGGCTGATGTCTAACTCTGGACCGTATGTAACCTGTTTTCCGATCTTTACAACGTCTCCGACGTTGGTATCGTACAGGAAACGTTTTAAGTGTAGTATTAGGACGGAAGGAAGTGCCTCGATAAGTGCTTGTTGAGCCGCTTCAACAACAACACCGGGGCGAGTCGGTTGGCTGATTTGGACAGGTTGAGGATGCGATATATGCTGTAACGCATCTTTGATAGAATGTACTTGTTCTCGCTATTTTATAAAAACATGAGTATTTTCGAGTAGTCCTCGAATTTGAGTGAGCTCACTTGAATATCCAAGCGCAAGGACCGCCAGTCCTCAACAGTGATAGAGTCTTTCTGATGTGGCGCGCGAAGCGTCGAGCGAAACTTCCCTCCGAAGATTCGGGTAATGGATGATTCGGTCGATTTAGTCTACGAGACGAGTCAATTAAACGTACAATGCCATTGATGCTGCAAGTGGACCGACCGTTCGCGTGACGACAGACCTATTCTTTTTGCCAACCTCATACCAACCGTCATCTTGTTGCGGTACTGGCTCTTCATCTACCTTAGGCGGGGTCTTAGATAAGAGAGATGACGAGAGTGACAGAAGTTCTTCTTCGAGCGTGTCTAAGTAGAACCCCAAGAACTCTTCCGCATCTTCTTGGTGACCGCCCTGTCGAGTCGATTTAACTTAAGTAGCCTATCGGATATTACACGAGTGAAAGATACGTACGATCATGCTAGCAAAGCGCTTCTTTTCCTTCATTGCATCGTATACATATGTCGGAATGAAAGATTCCGGCTCGTAGAAATCATCGTCGCGTTCCTTACCCTTAGCCTTCTTGTCTAGGCTACTCTCTGGGACGAATTCTTTCATGAATTGGATCGTCGCATCTATTAATGGTGTAGCTCTGGTGCCCTCCTTCTGTGGCCCAACCACTGGTCCAGAGAGGTACTTGCTGAGCTCCGTGAGGAGCCTGTGGAAAGGCGGACAATACACCAGAATTTGTAGGACAGCATTCGCAAAGCACATGTTACCAGTATTAACGAGACCACGAGGCTGAATTTTGAGAGGTGCGGCAGGTCCCGAGGGTCCACTGCTCAACAAGTTCAGGAGCTCATTACGCTGAGGGAAGAGAACGGATGATCCCGTCCCACCGACTCCAACACCCGACATGGCAGTGGCAGGGATGGAAAAACCAGTGACAGAAGAAATCGGAAGACGGGATTTGGATGACGAAGCTGCAGAACCAGATTGTAAGAGGGAAGCCCATGATTTTTTTAAAGGGACTGGCGTTGATGTAGGTACAGGAGACGGTATGGTAGCAACGACCTCGGGCTCTGCTGCTGGACGAGCCTCCACGTCGGTAGGGGGCAAGCTCTGAGGCGATGATGAAGCCCCCAGGTTTATGTCCGCTTCTTCCGTTTTGTTCACTTTGGGAGAGCCCGCGATTTTGGTGTCCATGTCCGCGGGAGGAGAGGCAACATGGAGTGAAACAGACGTATGCGAAGATGCTGGGGAACCCGGCGTCGGTGTGTCACCCGGAGTAGACGATGCAGGTGTGGTCTCAGTGGCCGATGAAGATGTCACATCAGCCTCATCTGCAACCTGGGAGACATCTGGAATGATATCACACGTTGGGAAGATCTCCACTTTCTTAGGCTTGGGTGAGAGGGGTGGCGTAGATACATTTAGAGCTTTGTGAACGATATCTTCTGGGGGATACGCCCCGGTCGAAATGATCACTCCTGGTGCTTGTGAAGGATCCTCAGGGCGTCTGGACCAGATCACCCATCCAGCAGGAGCAGGAGAAGGAGAAGGAGCAGTGACAACGTCACCAATAGATTGTGGAGAGGTCTGAGGAATCTGAGGAGACTCATGAAGAGTGTGTGGTGATGTGGGGGATCGATCGCCATATAGTTCAGGAGGATCAGGCTGAGGCGACAATGGTCGCTGAGCTGATAACGGAGACAGCGTAGAGCTGGGCACACCTGGAGACGCAACGACGAATTCTGGCATCTCCTGGCTGGCAGGTTGAGCAAGAGGTGGCTGTGGTAATACAGGAGGAGGCATGGACAGCTGTTTTGGCAAAGGCGACAAAGGCTGTGCGGGCCACGCGGATGGAAAAGGACTATTTGGTTGAGGGGGATATGGGGGCGTGAACGATAAATGTGACATGTGCGGCGAGTATTTTTGAGGATAAGAGTAATTATTGACTGGCGACACTGGTGGCGACAACGCGGCCGCAGAGGGATGTATACCATGTGGAGCTGCTACTGGCAGAAAATGTTGTTGGTAATGATGGACGCCTCCTCTTTGTGGATTAAATCTTCCCCGACCAACGGCATTCGCTCTCGGAGAGCTCGGAGGGTGCATCGGAGAGGCATGACCGTTCATGGGAGGCATGGGATACTGATAGTAAGGTGCGGGGCCGGGGGGACCATTACCATATGGATATTGAGGAGGGGTATGGTAAAAGGACGATGGTCCTGGGCTGGAATACGAAGGATGTGGGCTTGCCATTCCTGCCGATGAAGTTGAATAAGATTACGAAAATACGAGCGTGTGTAACCAGCACGGGTAGATAGTCACGAGCCGCCACACTTACAGCGAAGATTAACAGGATATTTTTCTCCTCTCGATTTCCAAGGCTGTGTTGTTAGAGAACATACGCTGAGTGTTCTATTTATTATGGACAGGCAGACGAGCAAAGGAGACGATGGCAATCAATCGACGAGTACAGTAGTCAATTCGACAGCTGAGAACAGAGGCTAGTAGCAATCTAGATGATACAAAGACTTTAAGAGAGCCGCCGCTGTAGCCTGTAGACGAGAAAAAGCAGCAAAGGACTGAGTAAGGAGAGTCTGGGCTTGAGGCAGGGAGGGCAGTGGGCGTGATTCGGGCGCTCTGTGTCTCCGCCGACTCGAAGGAGTTGTCACAACCAAGTCACAGAGTCTGCAATGTCTCTCCTTCAACGTGTCGTAAGGCGACCACCCGCCCTCAACGCATGGTATCCAGCTCGGAGGTGCTATGCTAGCGAGAGCAAGCCCGCAGCGTCGTCGTCATCGGCTAACGATAGCAAAAAGGACGATGTAGAAGGTATGTATTCCCATACGTTCCGTCTGGTCCTCTGACGAGTTCTTATGCAGTTGTGTCGAAGTCATCGTGCCCCGAGAATACAGTCCTCGGTGGCATCGCATATCTCAAAAGCCAGTCTCCAGTCTTGGCCCAAGCTGATGATGCGTACCCAGACTGGCTGTGGACGCTTTTAGAACCAAAGAAATTACCTGAGGATGGGCCCGGAGGAAAGGCTGAGAAATACAAGCTTAGAAGGGCAAATCGTCAACGAATACGGGACCAAAATTTCATGAAGACGCAGTAATTTTCACTGGACACACTGAACGCGGAATACAGTACATTTCGGGCTAAGTAGGTCATTCATAGACTCAAGCAAGCATTTATTAACAATAACTTCACTGTCTTAGCGTAATTTGGCGTATGTCAGACATCTATATGGCACTACCTCATGCCTAGCGCATTTTCGATGAATAGAAGTTTCATGGCGCAACATAGATGTTCGTCGCCCATCTTACTGGTTTGCAAAGCCTCAGGTGGTTGCAGCGTAGCATTAGTCAGATGTCATTGGCACGTTCTGCGAATTTATCATGCATTCTCTATATATTGTCTACATAGATGCGTATATATCAACCAGAGGGCACAATCTTACGAGGGGAACGAGCCGAGAGTGAAAAGCGTTTGTTTTTGCTTTCCCTTTCCTTTCTTGCCTTTACCTGTGCCAGATTCCTGAGGTGTGGAATTGCTCTCCACATCCCCTTCGCCGGGACTTGCTGTACCACTAGCATTTGTGACGCTGTTCCATGCTGGTACGGCGGGCGTCGAGTCACCAAGAATATTCTTTAGGGACTGGTTCCCCTTGATTGCTGCTCTTGGAACGCGCAGCACGTTCGAGGACGGAAGCTCAGGGAAAGCGGACTTCGACAAGACAGGTGCAGTTTTACTTGTACTAGCGCCAGGTCCAGGCACTGAGGATGGACCTCGAGGGGGTGCGAGGGTGCTTGCAGCTGAAGCCGCCCACGGAGTAACACGCTGTGATTGGCGAAAGGGTGCAACTCCGCCTGAAGAAACACTGGGCTGTAGAGATGGAAACCGTTCTGGAGGACGAGATGGGCCCTGCGGAGGTGCTGAGGAGGACGCAGCAGCTTTGGCTACGCGGTCCCACACCTGCCGTGACGATTGAGATGATAAGCGCGCAGATGTGGAGTGCTTGGCATTGAGAACGCGACCGCTCGTTACACCTGCCCATTGTGTGCCTATGGATGTCGGTACAAGGTCAGGAAATTGACCACGTTGCTATCGAGATACATTAGGCATCGAAAGACTACTGACAGAGTACTGCCTACCTCTATCTTGAATCCATTCCAAGCAGCCAAGAGGTCTCTCTTCTTGTCGTCCTCCTCGAGAGATTCGACTAACAGGTTTACTACATTCGCTGTACCATCGAGATTACGATCCAGAATATTCCAGATGGTCGATATGAGATCCCTTGCAGCAGATTCAGAAGCGCGATACGATCGAATCGCTGCCTGGATGGCGGGAACAGCAGTGTTGGCGTGTGGTGTCAAAGATTGAATGCGCGCTACCAAGGCAAAATTCCTCCTGAGAAACCTATTTAGTTGACCGCTTCGCATGATCAGGAAGCGTACTCACTCTGCATCTCCCTCAATGATAGGTGGTGGGGAGGGCGACGGTCGCCTGCTGGCATGCGGGTTAGTAGTAAGATTCCCATTTACAGTGCTGCCATCGACGGTCAGATTTCCATTGAAGGCCTCCCGTCTCCGACCTCCAGCGCCGTTGGGACGAGACACCCCTGGGGGTATGGGTGCAGGAGGAGGCTCTCTTTCGCGTTCGCGATCTCGTCTGTCCCGCCTGCCTCGTCGGTTGCCAGTTCCAACCTCCTCGAACTCGAATTCTGCCTGAATGCGCCGAGCGTCTTTTTTATCTCTTGTTGACATCTCAGCGCCGTGCTCCTCTACCATGTGGGCTTTCAGGTCTAAAGCAGATCCGAAGACCACGAACTTCTGAGTCAAACAATGAGGTTGGTTGCATGGAAAATGCGCATGAGTAAAATGTTGCTCCTGGTGGGAACTTAAGCTCAACCTCAAAGATAGAAAACCAAACTGCCCACCAACGCATCGTAATTTCGGAAGCTATTCAAAATAATCAGATTTGGAGAAAAATTTTATAAGGCACAACAGCTCACTATTGATCCCGGACTTCATTACGCTTGCAGACGAAGCATTCTTCATGCTTTTCTCGCATATGTGTGTACAATTCATCATCGCTGAAGAAGCATTCCCGACAAAATTCACACAATGGATGGATCCCACCCTCAATTTGCGATTTGAAATCGGGATTGCGCGCATGAGACCTCTGCATAGCCGGCAGATGCAAAGGCAACTGATTTGGCGCATACAAAGCATGCTCATGCGCAAAGATCTTCTTGAAGCGAATACATAAGTCACTAGTTCATCAACATACATAAATGTATCACGCGAGAAGAAAAACGACTTACCACATCAGCTTTCCATGAGCCGCCCGCGTATGTAGCTTCAAATCACTCCAACCGTTGCCAATATAGTCGCAGTCTGAGTCCGGGCAATTGAAGCGAAGGAGAATAAGAGTTTCTTCCATCATCTCTTGCGTCTCGAATGATACAGATAACTTTGAGTCTTTGTACGGGATAAGATCTGGTGTGTAGGAGGACCATAACATATCCGGGGACGTGGTGAATATCACGGAGGGCTGTGATTCCTGCAAACAGTGTATGTTAACCTCCTTGATCTGATAGCGCAGCCACAACAAATCGTAACAACACAGTAGATTGACCTTGCAAAATGTGCATTCTTGCTTCTTGTATAGTGCACGAAGTCGAAGAGCACATACATGGCAAGTCCGGTGATTACACTCGGATAGCGAGTAGTACTTGACGGGCTCCGCGCATATCCAGCATACTGCGGCTTCATCGACCTCCGCAGATTGAGCTCCATGGGAGGCCGCTGTCTCAGCAGACTGCGATGGTTTCCTGGCATCTGAATGAGCATCGTCAATAGGCGATTTGGCTGCCGTCTTGTCTCGATGAGACCCTCGGGCTCCTCCGCGACCTCTGCCGCCCCTACGGCCACGACCTGCAGTGCGAGTCTGTGTTGTGGTTCCAGACATTAAAACCTGAGCTTGAAGAAAGTTTTGAGCTGTAACGTTTGAAGAGGGTAAAGTATACTCGATGCCCACTAGTGGCGAAGACTCAGTCAAAAGGTAGGTTTCAAGGAAGTCTACCGCTGACCACGTCAACAATTACTGTATTTGGTATATCTCCGAAAACATGTGGATCTCCATGAAGGAAACTATCTCGAAGCAAAACTTGCTTTTGATTCGCATAGATATTTCAAAAGGTCCATAGTCCAAGCATTCAAATAATCAAATCATTCTACATCAGAACTCATCTCGTCACCATCGGTAGCACCATGGTCATTGCCGTTATCAGCAGCTTTACCCAGCCTGAGCGAGCTCACAGAAGGAGATTTCTTCATAGGAAGACTGCCGAAGTTGAATGACTGAGAACGAGCCCCAAGGCCCAGCATATACGTCCCAGACGAGACACGCGGTCTCGAAGTTGTTGGAGGAAGGGGAGACGAAGCAATAGTAGGCATAGGTATACGTAAACCCAGGCTTATAAAAGGATTCGGACCATGATCTGGAGAGTTGTCAGACGGCTTGCGGGGGTGAGAAAGCGAGGTGTATCGTAGCCGGGGAGATGTCATAACGGATCCGAACGTTTGGGCCGGACTGACTGGACGAGAGGGACTCAGCAGACCTGTTGTCCACGTTGGCCAGGATGGAGAAGCTTTCGTAGGAGGTGATGGGAGTTCGTCTACGGCCACAGACAATTCATGCAGGGCACGTTTTAACGAGGCAATGTCATGTTCAAGATCGTCTAGTTTGCGAGCAAAAGACTGCGTTGCCCTTACAACGGCTTTATCGGTACCATTGACGAAAGCCTCAATTTCAACCTCCAGTTCAACTTGATTCACTTCTTCTGACATTGCCCCAGGGATGGTTAACAAAGCTTCGTAGCCGGAGATCATACGCGCTTCATCCGTGATACGGATCTCCAACTCAACACGGACATCTTCGTTGAAATCGCCAAGTCGCTCGACTGCTTTCTGGAAGACGAATATCATGTCAGACGTGGGAGGTACAGTCTTGAGATCCTTCTGGAGGTCTTTTAAAGCAATGTCACAGTCGTGAAATCCGCGCTGCACGTCGTCGTATCTTTGCTTGACCCTGGTTAAGCCCACGAGCAGGGGATTTTCCGGACGGTCCAAAAGATTCAACAAAGGCGCTGTCGGTTGCTGCAATGATGATATTGGTTTACTAGATCCACCGGAAGATATCCCGGGATCTCTTACAGAAGACAGTAAGCCGACAGCAGAATCTACAACGGGGAGCGGAATCGACGGCACATCTGGCTGTGTCTGTGCCTCAAATTTGGACATTCCGAGCAACGCCGCAGATGCAGGGATGCTCATTGAATCCTCCTCACTCTTCTCCGACAATGTAAGAGGGTATTGCCGGGGCGGCTTTTCTTCGGAAGGCGAAGATGTGGGCAAGTCAAGTTCACCATTCTGAACGATGGGCATGAACTCCAAATCGGCAGCTTGTTCGACTTCATCGCTTTGTGCAAGGATTTGTTTGGTAGAGGGTCTCGCCGCTGATGAATCAATGCTCTGCGATATTTGAGGTTGCATAGGCTCGATAGGTTCAGCGGGCCCTATCGAGATACCTGACCCAGCCTGCGATTTATCGACTAGCACCGAATCGGGCTGCGAGATTAGAATCAGAGGCTGTTGTATAGGTGAAGAAGCGTTCTGGAAGCTCAGACAGTGGTCCAAGTCAAGGCGAGATAGCTGAGTGTCGGCTATTGGAGGAGTCGAAGGCGGTCGCAATTCCTGATCGAATACAACAATAGTGCTTGATTGTGTCTCTTTGATCGATGTATCTCCGTCTCTATTGATTGTCGAGGCCACTTCGGGGTGTTGAGACAAATGTAATTCGTGAGATATCTGCGCCAGCCGTCGCTCCAAGTCCAAGCGACGATCTGTCTCTACCTGAAGTTCTCGTGACAAGGCAGATATTGCATCTTGTGCCGCGACAACACGCGCAAGGGAGCCGATAGATCCATCTTCCACAGTTGGCTGGCCATTCAATGACTCCAGAAGTCCTTCTGCATCTTGGATGACATGATTGAACATGGGTTGTATTACTCCAGCTACATCCTTCGTGCTGTCTGTAGAAATAATCCTGCAGAAGGTCTCCTTAGCTTTCCTAGTCCACCTCCGTAAACCTTCTGCAAGACTTTCTTCGCGTCCCAGGAAGGCAAGCCTGAGAGAAATTTCACGTCGCCGTCCATAAGCCTCGCGTGATATGTCCTCTGTCAGCTCGTCTAGGGCAAACCGGAGCTTTTCTGACTGACGACGCTCTGTGAACAACGCCTTCTGAAAATGATCGATTTCTGTACGCAGGCTTGCAGTCGTAGCTGTATGACGCGCTTTCATACTGTCCATGGCTTTCTGAAGCGAATCAGTAGATGACTGAGAGAATTTCCTGTGTTGACAAGCCATTACCGTGCTATTCCGATAATAAAGGACAAGAGTAACTGACATATAACGCGATACCATCTTTGCAGCCGTATTGTCGTCGATCTTGTAAGCTTCTAGCCTTAACAGAGACTCAGCTAACTGTGCACGGTCACGCTCGGAACGACCGCGTTCCGCCTCCAACCGAGTAGAAAGTAAAGCAATCTCCCCATGCAGCCGCGTGGTTTCCGCCGCCAGCTTCTCCGTCTCGTCATTGAACTCCTCCAGCAGCTTTTGTAATCCGGATTTCCCTTCCGAGAGGCTGTCCACAAGTGTGGCACTTGAACTGTTACTCTCATTTCCGAGGGGGAGTGAAGGACGAGGACTTGTCACTTGTCGAGGTCGGCCTTCGAGCGTCCGCACGAGGTCAGCGTACTCCTGAACCACGAGATCGGCAAGCTTGCGCTCTTCTTCTGCAGCACGCGCTTTCCGCTCCAACTCTCGTTCTCGGGCTTCTGCTTCCACAAGCTGTGCACGAGTTCGGGCCACGAGTTCATAGGCAGCATCAATGTCATGCTGTGCCTTGGCGAGATCGCTCCGAGATTGTGTGAGCTCCGCGATGGTTCCCTGAAATGTCTCTTCGGTTAAGGTGAGCTTGTCAGAGAGACGGCGGTGTGCCAGCGTAAGTTCCTGGACTTGAAGGGAGGCAGGATGAGGCGTGGCTTCCGGAACCGTCCTCAAAACCACGACTTCTTCCTTTAACCGAGCGTTCTCTATTTCGAGGGCATGCGTGCGCTCAAGCGCATGTGAAGTATCCAGAGAGTGCCTTTGGAGCTTGACAGATGTCGCGTGGGCTTCGTGCTAGTAATAAAGCCTGCGAGTTAGTAGATGAGCATGACATCGATGATAGAGAGCGACGCTGAAGGACTACCTGATAGCGAGCAACTGCAGTACGCAGACTTATGAGTTCCAGAACAAGAGGATGGTCATCGCGAATGGGGAACTGAGCCTCTGCCATCATCGGAGCGTCGACAGGTTAAGTCCATAGACATGCAATTGCAAGTAGCGGCACTCCGAGCTTGAGTGGTGATCGGTGGCGTGCATCCGCAGTACCTTCCAACCAGACTCCTCCCAGATCCCAGTCCGATGTCTAATGCCCTTTACAGGCAGCTCTGATCACAGCTGGGGACTACTATCAGAGTCTATTGCTCTGTGGAGCTTGACTTCCGAGCTCCATAACCCAGAAATACAATGCGCCTACATATGTACAAAGCCGAGGATAGTATTTAAACATCAGATTATATCGAAGTAATGTACAGGAAACATCTATGCAGATACAGGATAGAGCAGGCGTCGTTGGCATTGCTGAAACACATCGAATCCATCACGATCGACATGCAGCTGCTTGCAGGACCGAGTCTTTACGCATTGCGACTGAGGGGAGCAACTGACGACGATGTGATGGACGCCAGCGAGACACCACGCCCTAAAATACGTAGAATACGCCACGAGTTGGTCATCAGCCACGAACAACATTAACCCTTCACACGCACCGCGACCCACGCTGACAAGGTACGTTTGTATCGCATCCCGCCACGGTTGGTTCCCTCTGGACGATGCGTGGATGAAGTAGAGGGGAGGATCGGTGATATCTCAATTTCCGTTTCATCGTCCTCGAATATGTCTGACTGCAGATTTCAGTTAGAACAAGCAGGAGATGAGATTACTATGAGCGGAAACCTACTAGGACAAAACTTGAACGATACTCTTCTGATTCCTCGTCATACCTATAGTCTACAGTCTGCTTTGTGAAAAGCGGTTGGCGCGTCAATTCCATAGAGCAAACATGCACCAGTCGATCCGAATTTACCATGAGTTCTCTCGGCGAACTAGCCCTGGCTTTTCGTAAAGAGTGGGGTTTAGAGACCTGTGGAGATCGAGGGCTGCCGTATAGAGGGATTCGGTGGATAGTATGGATCGGCGCAGGCAAGGGGGCCGAATACGACTCTTCTGATCGCAGCTTGTAGTCGATATGGGTTAAAGAGCGCATTTGTGTTGATAAAAATGAGTGAGGGAGATAACCAGACAGATGGCGACTCGTTAAGGGGAAAGAGCAGAGCCCGCTTGCTTTATATCAGCGAAGATGTGAAGAGACAGCACGAGGTGCCTCAAAAAGTGAGATCATCCTCATGGAGCCCGGTCATGCTGTTTTGGGCGAATATGACTAGGACAATGGTTAGTTACACATTCGGCACACACGGCCACACAGGTACGGAAGTACGAAAAGGACGAAACGATTCTATTTGAATCTATTTGAAACGTTATCAGTGCTCATAATGTAACTCTTAAGACTACAGACAGCACATATAACACAGGGATGAATCATATCCAATAATTGAGATGACTGCCGTGTCCACACAGTGATGAGGTGCGCTATTCCAGCTCAGGATGATAGCACGAGTATACACGAGAAGCCACAATAAATGTACATAGGCAAGTATTGCCGAAGTACCTGCAAGCTGAGCATTTACAGGACATGCGAACGCAGATCACAAGAGCAACACGGGCATCTAGGGTAGCATTCTCTCCATATTAGAGAAAGAGTATCTCACACAACCTCCCCAGAAATCCAGGGCATCCCATTTAGAGATGATAACGTGCCCGCACATACCGAGCTCAAGCTCTGAGGGAGCTCAAAAATTGATCCTAACTCCACGAGCCATTTAGAAATGAGCACCATTGTACTCGATCTCTACGACCAACATGTTATAATCAACCGTGTAGGCAGACTTTGCGTAGCGTCGAGACACCCGTATTACAATGACAGCATTTATGCAAAAATCTTGACCGCAGAAAACCCCCCTCGATACAAGATAAGGACGCACGCACCTTACTGCCTTCTCCTTTTCAAAACATGGTACAAGACCCCGTCCCGATACTATACAGCAATTAGAGTCAATCAGTAAGAACAACCAGAACTGCATCCCGTCGCGTCGGATAACACAGCCTGCCAGAACAGATGCGAGAGGAGCTAGAGGAATACTATTTTGAGAGTTCCAAAAGACTATACTGTGTCGACTATGTGATCCAGACTGCATGCGTAAACACCAGTATAGCTGAACTCTCGTAGCAAGGTCATAACCCAGAAAAACAGTGTAAGCCCTACGGCGATCACTGTCTTAGAGCAATAGATGGGGCCAGGGGGAGTGACACGCAGAAGACCGCGCCAAGGGATCGGCGTGATCGCGGTCATGAAAACAACTCGACAGCGGCTTACCCCGCTTACTTTCCGATTTCCATTAGCCCATCGTCAGACATGAAGTAATTTCTCTATAGGACTCAGACTTTTATCGTACCAAGCCGGAATCAAAACAGTTGGCAGATCTCAACGCCGTTCTCAATAGCACCGGCGAGTATCTGAGAAAATCCAAGCTCGTTGAGTGAGACCCACACTCTGAGTGGTCTCGTACCCAAATTCTCTGAGTAGTACTTATCACAGACGTGTCTTTGATCGATGCACATGATAAATACCATGGATACAATATCTATACGAATAGACAAATCCTAACCTTCATCACGTCTCCATCACTTCATTTACTGAAGATGGTTAGGACGACAAAGGCATGCGTGCCATAAGTCGAATCCTACGACATAAAACATGGCATAGCCCAAAAGTATATAATTTGGCAGTGTGACCGTGACCTAGTCGGATTCTTCTCCATCATTAATGACCCTCAAATCCTCGCCTCTGATTCCTGTGATTCCATGGTAGGGGACCCGGTCTTTCATCCACCTTCCTAGGAGCCAATCCACCCGACAAAGCCCGGCGCCAGTGGCGGACGCGAGATATGGCGCTCCCGCGATTCCATTTCCAGAGTTCCATACGACCCGATGAACAGCAATCTCACGCGGCCAGACACCCGTTCCAACTGGAATGTGCCTATTATTGCGCCCTGCCGTTGCACGGTCCACTGTCTCCTAGAGGCAGGATGAGGACTTTAGAAATGGGGCTCATCAAAGGGCAGATGAATTTGTTAAAAACCTTCGGTAGAAAATGTTCTAACATCCTCCATTCGGCTTCCTTCCGACTATAATCAAGTTGATAGATCTTGTGGACGAAGAAGGGCTAGTGGAAACAATTGTTCGTCGTGACAACACACACTACTCTACTTAAAGAATAGTTACCTACCACGCTGCCGCCCCTTCTAGTCGACCTCAAAATGTTAGTGGTCAAACAACTGCCGTCTGTGGCGCCAATGGCTAGTTGTGGATGATAATCAGATGAATTGAGACTCTGGAAGGCTGCGAATGAATGACTAGTCTAGAAGCGCAGTGTTCAAACTGCACGTACCCAGATAGGACCATCAGATTCCAACAATACATGCCCTTTTCCTAGCATACTTGGAGAAATAGAATACACTTTTACACTGTTCTCGTGGTCGATTGTGATCGGGCCACCGCAATAGGTGGAATAGCAAACGGAATTCACAACATCTGTCCATAAAAAAATATTTCAAGATAGGTTATCCAAAACTTTACGCCCCAGTATGACTTGCGGCGTACCACGTGTGCGGTTTACAACATTTCCTGAGAGCTCCCGAATGTCTGAGAGACACTCAACACCATCATATCCACCACTCGCAATCACGGTTGGATCATCAGTTGTGCGCCTTCCTGAGGCGGAGGCAGTTGGCGCACGGATCCATGCAAGTGTCCTAATTGCGGACTGATGAACGATGAAATAGTGAGTGGGTAGAACATCTGGGTAATGCTCAGACCATGAGTCAAAGCATCCATGAATGTAATGATGAATACTCGCTTTGAGTATTTTGTAATGCCTTCGCGATGTTATAAACAGCAATGGATCCTACAAAATGCTCAAAGACAGGATGAGAGTGCTACACGGAATGCTGACCGTTAGTGCAGCCCACTGCAATAAGTTCGCTATTAGCCCAGTCTATTGCCCAGCAGAGAGTGTCTTCCAACTCGATACGAAGTAATGGCTCGACCTTCACTGAACGATGGGTGAGTATGCGGCCTTTGCCAGTGCAAAAATAACAGACGAACTCACCAAAAGTCGGCGGAGACGTATCATCGTCTTTGGGAGTGAGGCTGGCGGGATCAGGGACAGCGAAGAGAGACAGCGACCCATCTTCAAACGTGCCCGCCAATATTCCCAGTTTGGGGGAAGAAAATTTGTCCTTGTGATTCCGCGTCTACAAGGCGCACGAAAAGCACAATCTCATTAGTTATCATGGGATGGCGTATGTAAAAGTGGATAACCTCATGAAAATCATTAGATGGTAACGGGCACCACTTTAATTCAAATGCCGGTCCACAATCAACGCACAAGACCATTTCACATTGCATCTCTCCAGCATCAATAGTAGCTTCGGGCCCATGACTGCGATGCTTGTCTTCATCGCCGTCAATATGCATCGCGTCCAGGCTCGGTTTCAGGGACCAAATTTGTATACATGAATAGGCGGGTCTATGTGCACGTTTCCCAATTGTCGGTGCGTATGATCTTGTGGGAAAGGGTGACACCGCCAGATATTGCTTGTGTGAATGGCCTGAACGTATTGAGCTGATTATATGCGAGCTTCTGAGTGGAAGCTTACTCGAACGGTCATCAACATGAATAGGACACCAGTCTATGCCCCACACTGGAGCTCCAGGATTGAAGACGTGAGACTTGCTCTCCGGAAAGAGGTCGGCTGTACAACAAGGGGGATAGGTGGCAACTGGATGAGTATAAAGAACAACCCATACCAAGTTTGAGAGTTTCAAACATCTTTAAGTCCACTCGCTTTTGTTTTCCAAACGGCCCAAACGAGCACGGAATTGGGGATGGGAGTTTCAATGCTCCCTCTTCCGTAGTAGTCACATCGGTCGGCAGATACGAAGAAGCCTCTCTTCATTCTCGTCAAATGTTGATGATGCAGAAACATAGCACTCAGTCAAAGTCGACGTACTGTGCAGTAATCACTTCGAGCTCCTGTACCCTAATCGTCTCAAATACCCTCGGTCTTCGATTCCTCTCAGCCGCCGTCTCTTCGCCGCCTGAACTCATTGATTCCTTGTACCATCCCCTGTCCTCCATGAGCTCCCATAATGGTCCAGGACCGACATTGAAGCCCCACGACTTGTTGAGAATATCAACAATCGGCTCATACGACCAGCTATTAGTGGGTACAGTCGACGGAGAAGAAAATGGCACAGGACGCTTGACAAGTCGTTCCACTGGTGCATCACGTCTATAAATGGGCACCGCTCTATGTCGATGATGAAGACTGGGGAAGACAGACGGTTGCTGAGTAGAGAGGGAAGAAGGCTCAGAAATAAGTGGGACTGTTCGAGTTTTTCGCGTCTGAGCAGTCCTCTGAGCCTTACGCCGAGTCTCAGGAGCCGCCACTGCCGCAATTGAAAGCTCGCGTTCTGATTCTTGGTTTGCGAAGTCTTCGTCCTCTTCTTCCGTTGCATCCAAAGGTATGTCTTCATTTTCATCCTGCCCTTGCTGGTCTGGCTCGAAATCGCTGCCGCTGTCGCCCTCTTCAGCTACAGGAGCGGGCGCATTGGAAGGACCTGCACCAGCGTCTTCGGGTTCATCAAATTGAAGCAAAGCAGCATAATTGGGACGCGAAACTCGAGAGCGTAGTTGCCTGGTCATTGCAATACGGTAAACAATCCAGGACAAGCATGTCAGTGACTGTGGCTTGACTGTTAATTCGATCGGTCTTCGCCGGCGTCGAGCCTAATATGGCTGGTGAGTTGCCATATCTGGCAGCTCGGCGGTTTACTCACGACCGCGTGACCCGGTCATTACCATCGCATTTACCATTCGCACAACGGTGATGAATGCTGCCCAAGTCCCTCAGACACAGGCTGCTCTTTGTTTACCGGCCTTTGCAGCGTACGAGCAGCTTACCAACCATGTCTGCATCTCATCTCCGTCTGTCTGCTAGGTCGACACAGGCTATCGTTGTACAGAAGTCACCCCCGGGACGCAATCCGCTCTATCATGATGCTGTTATGGAAGACAAACCCCTTCCTGCGCTCGGAACGGGTCAGATACTCGTCAAGATAGGCGCGGCGGGATTTAATCATCGCGACGTACGCTCCGCTGTACACAGCGTATCGTGTTACAAGGAAAGGCTGAGCGCAATATTCTCAAGGTTTGGATACGCAAGGGCCAGTATCCCGGTATCACATTTGGTAGTGTCTTTGGTGCAGATGGCGCAGGTTTGTGATATCTCTCGTCTTTATCGCTCGGTGACATGAACTTGGACTGTGTAGGTACTGTTATTGAATCAGCGGACCCTAACGACACACTACTGCACAGGCGTGTCTTTCTTGTGCCCATGCGAGGCTGGGAGACCGACCCAAATGCTCCCGAATCGACGTGAGTGTATTCTGGGAATCGAGTTTGCACCGAGACGTGCGAATTTATGCGCCGCTGTATGACTAACGATAGCATTTCTACCAAAGATTCGGAATAATGGGTGGAGGAAACTTAGTTCCCATTGGCACATTTGCGCAGTATGTGGTAGTCGAACGAGATCAGGTAATTCCAACGCCGGATCACCTGGATGATGTCCATGCAGCCGCTTGGCCAGTGGGTGGTGTCACAGCCTGGAGGTGCGTGCATTCTTGAAATGCTTTGACTCAGCATATTTACCTATTTTAGAGCGGTGGTTGTGAATGCACGGGTTGAAGCCGGAGACAACGTGCTGATTACTGGCATTGGGGGCGGTGTTGCCCTTATAGCTATGCAAATCTGCCTTGCACGCGGCGCGAGCGTTTATGTCACGAGTGGTTCAGACGAAAAGATAGACAAAGCCATATCACTTGGTGCTAAAGCGGGGGTAAAGTACAGCACTAGTATGCTTTTGTCTTTAGTGAGTTGGCCGACCCTGACCAGGACCAATTATCAGAGGGATGGGAAAAGGAGCTTGAGCGGATTCTTAAGGAACGCAATCCGGCTAATGCCCTACTTAGCGCAATCATTGACTCTGGGGGAGGCGACGTGATGACCAAGACGGGAAAAATTCTGGAGGCCGGAGGCAGAGTGGTCGTCTACGGAATGTAAGTATTCGTATTCTGATGTGTCAGATAATAGCCTATCTATTTCACAAGGACTGCACATCCCACTGTTACATTCACCATGCGTGAGATTCTCAAGAATCAACAACTCATAGGTGCGTAAAAGTCTCAAGAAGCCTATTGATTACACTCAAAGTGATGAAAGGATCTACCATGGGATCCCACAATGATCTTATTGATGCCACCAACTTCATTGCAGAGCACCGTATTGTCCCCGTCATCTCCCACGTACTTGACGGCCTTGAAACAGCCGAGGAAGGTTTCGAACTGATCAGGCGAGGTGAACAGTTCGGCAAAGTGGTAATGAAAGTCGGAACGTACAGTGACAGCATTCTTGATCGTGCTAGATTGTGAATCGACTCTCAGTGAAATTGTGAGCTTTTTCTGCCTCAAAGTACTGCGATGAGCTGTGCTTGGCGGCCTACGAATTACTTGAACGTTTGGCCCTTTTATGAGCGCGGTTATGTGTGGGTATGGCGCAGATGAGCGTTCAATACCTCAAGTTTCTCTCGCCTTCTGCTGTTGCTGGTACCCTCCCCAGTTCATGATGGTTTTTCCTTTGCCGTTCGTTCTCAAAACCTACATAGTCGCTGGTCGCTATTCACATGTATACTTTGACACCTCGCTCATTCGCCAAGATGATGAGGGCCGTACCAACACGCACGGCGGTGCGTATTTCCGTGTCCGCCTTTTTCATGTATCAATGCCACTGAATACCCGTATAGAATTTATTTCCGACCAAAGTTGTTCACTTGAGGCGCAAAGGGGAGGCTATTAAGGATGATGACCTCGACACAGAAGAAGCAAGTATCCATGAAGTGATTACGCCATGATGCATTCCATAATTTTGCGCATATCATCATTCATCAAGGAGGGGTGCCTTTGGAAGTGAGATGATGTATGAACCCACTAACTTCGAAAGGACGCTCAAGTGTGTTACTTTATTTTGCGTGACTCTATTCTGTTGACCCAGCATTGTCACGTAGAATATGCTTAGGACAATCAATCGCTCGGACGTGATGTTTTTCGACTTGATGATTGCTTTGATCACTGAACGCTAGAGTCGCGGCGGCTCAATCTGACGGCTGAAACGATATCACCTTCGAATTCGACACCTCCTCGTCCTATGCGCACGAGAGAGTATCATGACCCTTCTGACTTCTCTCCCACCTGAACAATTAGAGGGCGCTGAAGTCTCACGGGCCTAGTTTCAAGGTACCTCAGCAATTGCTGTCGAGGTGGCACTACGATTACTTCGAGGAGTGCGTTCGCATTCGGTCGCGCGCCACCATAGGCTATGTAATTCTGAATCCCTTTTCAAGTTCGAAGCTTGAGACTTCGAGCTCAGTTTGGGCTGTCTGGCGACCTCGGCGTCAAGAAGTTACGATCACGCGTGAAGATGCCGCGATGCTAACCTGTGGCCTCTGACAGCAGGGATGCAGAAAGTCCTATACGGCTCTGAACGGGCAAAATACCGACTAATCCAACCAGCGGCTACGGAGTCCGGCGTCTCCGTCCTCATTGTACTCGTCCAAGTCTCCTATGGCTTGTAGTGATTTGTTTGTGAGTTTTTCATCGCTCTGTGCTCGACTAGATCTACGATGTGCATATTAGTTCGGGGACTCGGATGAGGGAACGGCGTCGAGACCGTGTGGCGGCGTGCGCTCATTTTAATCCCAGTCGCGCAACAGGCGGAGATCAATCGGGAGTCCGGCGGTGCGCGCGGATCGCTAAGCGCTGAGCAAGCCGGCTCTAACTCGGTTCCAACTTGTCATAGCTGCAGGTACTTACAACGCAATCCATGGTGCCAATTCCGTCCATTCACTATCCGACTCACCATGGGCCTCTGTGCACGGAGAAGTATGTAACAGACTGCGTGTACTCTTCCTGCACAAAATTAAATTGACTGCTTCGGAACACTAGTAGGAAGGCGCGGAATTATTGGCGGTCAGAAGCGACCTATTCAACTCCGGCCAATGACAGACTGACAACGCGCAGTGGTTGCTGTGCATCTGGTTGCCACCAGCCGCCCTGGGAATCACTTGGTGTCGAGTACGTGACGCGCTTGACCTCTGAGCGCGCGAGGGGCTCATCGTCCGGTTGTCAGTGGTATCGGGTTGACTTTCGCCACCGACACGGCATGGAAGCTGCTAATCAGCCCTAAATGGGCATCCAGATGCCAGCAAATTCGCCTTGGAGTAAAGAATTCAAGTCCTCTTGTCTTCACCTTCATATCCAGAATTGCCATTCGGACCGCTGATTGTGCGGACAACCGAACGTGGTCAATGGCATGTGGAGCCATGATTACTCGCGGACGATAGGTGACTGAGCACCAGCGCTTGGTCACGCGTCTGACACCCATTCATTTCTAAAGGGTCCGTTTCCCACTGCCTCTCTGTGCCTTGGACTCATACACGACTGGCTGCTATACTCGTACCCCTGTGGCTCTCGACAGTCTGTCGACCTCAATATATATAGGCGATGTAGGATCAACACCGCTCATCCCACCTGCCTACACGCCGACAGCGCTCCGCTGCTTCGCGCCAATGAAATTACATCGGTTCCGAGTGGACTTTAGATCGCGCAGTGGACAGCTTGATCAGATTAGTGTCACAGGCTTTCGCTGCGAAAAGTCGGATGACCTTAGCAGTCACGCCTCTCGACTTATTCTGGGCCGCTTAGGAACCCTTTCGTCGTCTGGTGCCTGTGCCATACCTTCCAGGGAGTCAATGCATTCCGCGCTCCAGATTTGAAAGATCGGTCTGGGTTCCGAACGCGCGCATGTGAATGGCAACTGAAGCCGGGGTGTCATTGCCGACAGATGGGAAAAGAGATCGAGTGGTCTGAGGATGCATTTCAAGGCAACCCGCAGTTACAAAATTTCCTTCTCTCCTTCTTTTCTACCCCAACCACACTTCTACCTCAACCACACTCCCTTGAATTCTAGCGTTGCCCTGAGCAACATGGTAGGCTCTTTGTCGGAACTCGCTCTGCTTACACCTATCCTCTATGCGGCATACTTACTCTACATGTCGCTGAGACGAAGGGTGAGTGCAGGATTTGATGATGTCTTGTAGCGCGGCATACTAATTCCATGCTGTAGATGGGTAACATTCCGACTGTGGGCGGCACCTCCTTCCCAGTGCTTTCTTACCGTGGCTCCTTCCATAATATCTTTCATGCGGCTGAAACTATCCGAGAGGGCTACGCCAAGGTGAGCCGCTCGTCGTCACTGGCTGCTCCTCCGCCATCTTACGCCATTCGTGATAGTACAAAGGCCATGCGTTCAAATACGCCGAGCTTGGCAACTGGAGGGTCATTATCACAGGACAGCGCCAGATCGACGAACTTTGCAAGGCGCCGGACACCGTTATCTCTTTTGCTGAAGCTGCGAATGATGTGAGTTGTCTATCATCGACTTACAAATATGCTCACGCGCTAGCTTGCAGTCGGCACAAATCGTGTATACTTTTGCGCCTGAGGTGCACCATGACCCGTATCATGCGCACCTTATCCGCACACAGCTCACGCGTAACCTCGCTCGGATTTTCCCGGAGATGCACGATGAGCTCATGGCTGCCTTTAACGATGAGGTACGGGTTGTTGGGGAAGGTACGTGTGCAGTAGGCGTGCAACGAGGCTGCAACGTATTCAATGGTTGTCTGACGTGTGTGTGCATGCCAGACTGGACGCGAGTTCGGCTCAAGGACGCTGTGACCGAGATTGTATGCAGAACCACCAACCGCGTGTTCGTAGGGCTTCCATTATGTGAGCTCTATGGTCTTATCAAATACCCTCATCGCTAAGGCAGAATCTGGTGTTCTAGGCAGAAACTCAGACTATTGCCTCCTTAACAAGACATTCACTAGGGATGTCATTGGTGGCGCATTCATCATCAAGCTCTTCCCGCGGGCTCTGAGACCGTACGTCGTATTCGACTCGTGTATGCAATCTTACTCGACGGGCTGATCTGCCACGTAGACTTGTTTCCCGTTTTTGCACGAGCGTTCCTGCAAGAATAAACCGAGGTATCAAGCACTTGGAGCCCACGATTAAGGAACGCTTTGAGCAAATTGAGAAACATGGCAAGAATTGGGCTGATAAGCCGGTATGCTGTCATACAAGCTGGCTTCTAAATTAGCTTATCTGACTTTCGTATCTTGTGCTATGTTGACAGAACGACATGCTTCAATGGCTGATTGATGCTGCTCAGGGCAAGGAACGCACTGTTCGCGCATTGGTCTTACGCGTTTTGGCCGTCAACTTCGCGGCCATCCACACTACTTCTGTGGTGCGTCACTTTAAGCTCATGTTTAGCGCTGATGTTTACGTGGTGTTCTGCGCGTATCGGACAGACGTTTACCCAAGTGATGTATTACCTTGCCGCTCATCCGCAGTACGCCTCGGTCTTGAGAGAAGAAATTGAAGCTCTCGTGCAGCAGGAAGGGTGGACGAAGGCTGCCGTGGATAAGATGCACAAAACGGATAGCTTCGTGAAAGAGGTTCAGCGTTTTACCGGTCTTGGCGCTTGTGAGTATTTTCCAGATTTCATTCGTCTTCATTGTTTATTTATTGAACTACGATGCCCAAGATGCTATCAATCGAAAGGCCTTGAAAGATTTCACGTTTGCTGATGGGACTTTTATTCCGGCTGGCACCATGATCGCTGCCTCTGCTCGACCGATTCACTTCGACGACGAGAACTATGCGAATCCAGACATGTTTAATCCTTGGAGATTCTCAAACATGCGAACAGATGAGGGTACCGGGCTCAAGTACCAAATGATCAGCACTAGCACCCAGTATTTGCCGTTCGGTCATGGTAAGAATGCATGGTGAGTAACAACCTCTTCTCTTATCTGGAATATATGTTTCTAATCCGGTCGTGTAGCCCTGGACGGTTCTTCGCAGCGAACGAGGTCAAGGCGATGCTTGCCCACGTCGTCATGACATACGATGTGAAGACGGTGGAGGATGGCGTTATTCCGCCACCGTTTTGGGTATTGGCGTCCCTGGTCCCAAACGGCAAGGCCGATGTCTTGTTCCGGAAACGGCAAACGTAACGGAATATGCCTTCGTGATTTAATATAGACTTTTTATTACGGTGTATATCGGGTGGTATAGCGCAGTATTCATGCAGATATTAATATCATTCTATTTTCCAGCGGCACTATCCGAGCGTCAGACGATGATTTTCAGCAGTGCGCCATTGTCTGAAAGTACTGCTCTCAGGGCAAGCACAATGGGATACAAGGTAAGTAGTGTATATTGTGTGTGTGTTGTGTTCGTTGTGTTTCGATTGTGCATCCGGCGTTGTGGGTATAGCTGTGCTCAACATACGCACGTTGTTCCAGCATGGTTACCTTTTGCCTCACGAACATAAATACGCAATATCATTTTTCAGCATCAACCTCATGTTCAACCTGCACTGCTACGGTGCTGCTACTGTGCCGCCACACTGTGACTACCTCCAACTATCAACACTATCTTTCAGGCCGCTGTTGTAGAATAAATGTATCCAACGTATGGTTCAGAATTCAATGTACAAAGGGGTTTCTGGACAGGTTTTCGACCTCTTTTCACAGGCCTTCCTGTCACCATAGGTTTCCCTGTTGCCACTCAAACCCAACTGTCCGGGCACCGCTCTATGGGTAGGTTGGTAGTATCATCTCCCGAAAGCGAGCCGTTGACAAAGTCTTGGCTGATATCACAGCGTTAGTGCACCAGTCACGACCTCTCCGTCTTCCGGTCGAAGTCTGTGAGCATGTTATGGAGCAACTATGGGACGACCGCAGTGCGCTCTTTGCATGCTCCCTCACATGCCGTGCGTGGTTACCTAGGGCGCGCACGCTCATCCAATATGCCTACGTTAACATCACAAGTTACAACGAGTATACACAAATCGAGAAGATGCTCAAGAAGCGGCCTGTGATTGCCCAATTCATCCGTCATATTTCAATTAGCAAACCTCGAGCTTCCGGATCAAGATCCAATCGGGTTGACCGCGAATGGCCTCTGCTTCTCCAGAGGCTTCCTGCCGTTGAATTCCTCATGTTACGGAACTGGTCCTCCTGCGCTATGTCGAACGCCGCCTTGAAGAATTTGCACCTTTCGCTTTCGAGAATCCGGACGCTCAGCGTTGTTTACAGCGAATTGACGACTCAAAGGACAGGGAATCATTCTCGGTTCACCGAGCCTATAGCACGGCTCGTGTGTGCCTGTCCACAGCTCACTTCTCTCAAGCTCTCGCATAAACTTCGGCGGTCCAGCGAATCCCCAAACGTACAGGATCCTCATCTACACCTGGCCAATGTGGTTCCTGCATGGCCGATACATATAGAATCACTGGAGATTGCTGGAGTGGCCGTGCCTCTTGACTATTGGCTGTTGAGGGGGCCTATTCATCTAGCCCCCAGACGATTATTACTGCAATTTTCAAATCGTACAGGCCTTTATCATATTGAATGGCGACACGCCGGGTATCTTCGGCAGGCTGGCGCAGCATTGCGCGAGCTGGTCCTTGTCTTTGAGTTCATGTGGAGGCTTCAATCCCAATCCGACCCCCGCCTCAATGCTTGCTTCAGTCTTGTAGAGAATGAGCATCTTGAAACTTTGCATTTACAATACAACTGTGGAAACCATGAGGTTGGTGTTCGTGAATTCAATCTGGAGTATGCGGCCTCTGCACTTTCCCATATTCCAACCCATTCGCATCATGCACTGCGACACGTACGAATTACGTTCAAATTATCGACTGTGGTTGCAGAAGGAATATACAATATAATGCAGCTGTCGCCCGAGGTAGCAAGTGGGTGGGCTGTATTAGACGATGCGCTCTCTTTGTTTATCAGAAGGCGGCCCCAGACGGAAGTCGAGATTGAAATTTACGATGAACATCCTCAGGGATCCTTGACCGCTGGATATGGGACAGTGGTATTCATGATGATCTTTCTTACAAAGGTGCAAGCAGTGCCACATCGAGTGAAGATTATCTACGGGAGGAAATGGGACCCAAGTGCGGATTTTGGCGGACGCACCACTGGAGAGCTTCTCGAGCATTGGTTGGAATAATGGACCTGCCCATGATGCTATTTGGGATCGTATTCTACAGTTTCCGGGCCACCTGCGGTTGAATTCTTGACTGTTCGTCCCAAGTAACAGATCTGAATAGTCGAAACTTATATCGTATAGTGTTTTTTTTTCTACTAGTATACGAGTTCATATCTACACTGAACTGCATGACTGTATGTCAACTTGCCGAAACTAATCAAATTTAAATAATATAGTACTTGAGTTCAAGTCCAAACGTGGGTATGTGGTGTAATTGGTTGTCACGCTGTATTGCGCGACGCGAGGTCACCTCTCGACCATCTCTCGCGTGCAATGCGATGTCCCCTCTTGACTATCTTCTCGTGCAACGCGATGCTGACGCTCTCTGAATAATTTTTACAGAGCTGTAGCACTGAACTACTAAACGCTCGTTTTCCGTGTGGAACAACGGGACTGTACATCAACCATGAAATTGATGTGATATATTAGTTTTGTGCGAGTCCAAATATGGGCATGTGGTGTAGTTGGTTATCACGCTCGCTTAGCACGATCCAATCACGTGATTTGCGAGAGGGGTCCGGTTCGATCCCGGACATGTCCATTCATTTTTATCGTACTCGAACAAACAGATACAACGTAGCTAGCTACATATGAATACTTCGATCAACTTCAGTATCTACAGTTTTGATGGTCTGCACAGGGAGATAACCCTTGAACAGTGTATCTGTAAACAATACATCGTGAATGACGCGAAGAGACACATAGTACGCACGCTCTGTGTTTGGGTGCTCGTCGAGGGCAGTCGAATTGTAAATCGTGTGTGGTCCATGCGATGAGAGGCATGGTGGTCGAAAGCAAAGAGCGGATCGACGGTCGTTGAGGCTGGTTATAAGCGCCATCGCGCACGATGACGTCATGCGACATATCGTATACATGACGTCATGTGCGAGGGGAGGCAACAAAACAAATAACTCACCCTTTCCCTTAGGAGCAAATGACAAGAAAACTTACTTTATAACCTAGTGGAGCAAAAAGGTAACTTTCAGCTATGGGAAAAAGGTAGATTCCTACAAGTACATTGTGTTATTTACAGCAATCTCAAAATCGATGTGCCGCCCCTGAGAAAATACAATGGAGCATGGGTGGCATCGGCTGGTGTCAGCACCACAGCGGCTCGCTGCGGCCTGCAGCCTGGGCGTTGCCCCGCGGCGTGTGCTCTCTTCCTCCTCGAGTCGGCGGTTGCACTCTTGGCGATATGACTGGACTCAGACGGTACATTCATCCCTCTTAAAAGGAGTTGCAATGTCAAGGCATATGCCCAACAGCGCGATTTCCCGTGCTATGTGTATCAATGAGCAGAAATAAACTGTACAGAATTTCATCACTATTTTCGTTGCTGCTATCCTCAACGAGCGCGACCCAACGCCGAGCGACCCGCCACCACAGCGTCGAGCCGCCATCAGCCAAGGAGCCACCATGCCCCACTATATCTTCCCAGACGCGGCACATCGATTTTGAGATTGCTTCTGGTCACACAATTCTAATGCCTTTCGCGTGCCTTTTGATGGCGTCGAAAAGATCATGTTTTTGTGATGCGACACCACCGGCAATATCACTTCATGACGTACAGAAACACACTCTCCGCCGATTGGCCTCCAGTGTCCATTTAAAAACTTCAAGATCTGGAGGGGTATTCCATGGTTCATGTATCTTATCCCATTCTATCATCGTGATATTACATCAATTGATGAGCAGTCGTCGGTGACTGGAGACATGGCACAGTGCCCGAGTAAGTAGTCGTACAGTACATATGCACAAAGGTACCGGTGTATTGTGGGTCACTCCGTAGACTTGTGAAAATGGAGGGCTGGGACACATCTCCCGCTCCTTATGACTTGGTATACCCCGTCAATGACCAGCCTGAGATCACATAGGTTTCATCTTCTCATTGTGCCTCCAGATTCTGAATACTCCTGTGGACCTCCTTGTCAGAAGATGGTTTAGATGGGCGCTGTACACACTCACCTAGAAGAGTACATAAAGCTGTTTCGCAATCATACGCATACAGTGTATAAGCGCGTCGCGCCTTCCGATCGCGCACCGATCGCGTCGCCGTCGCTCGTGGCGCGGCGCACTACTGACCTCTTCGTTGTCTAGAGCTACTATGCCTGGGTTTCGCGCTCTTCCACTGTCTATCTCGCAACTTTCCCTCGCCGCTGTTCTGCAATGCGGTCAATCATTCCGCTGGTGTGTCTTTCCTCTTGCCCAAACATCTGCTCAGGCGGAGCACAATCCCCCTTCGTACGAGTATCGCCTTTGCCTCCGAGATCGTGTCATTTGTCTACGCCAAACGTCTGATGCTCTGCTTTACCGTTCAGTGTTCCCTGGGCCATCGCCAGATCCGGACTTGGAGGACCAGCGCGAGGCGGAGACCCTCAAATGGATACATGACTACTTTCAGCTTAAAGTCGACCTTTCTGAGCTATACAAACAATGGGGAGCTCGAGATGCCGTCTTTCATAGCCGTAAAGACCGGTTCAGCGGCATAAGGATGCTCAGACAGGATCCATTTGAGAACCTGATCTCGTACGTGGTTTCTTGAGTTCTAAAACTCTATGGTCATGTCGTCGGACAGGTTTATCTGCTCATCCAATAACAACATAGGTCGTATCACCAAGATGATTCAAGCTCTCTGCCGACATTACTCCACTACGTTGGTCACTCTTCCACCCCCAGCAGACTTTTCGAGCACCTCAGGACAACCATCGGGCGAATCTCATGCATATCATCCATTTCCACCACCGTCCGTCCTAGCGGCTCCCGGCGTCGCAGGCACTCTTCGCACTTTAGGATTTGGCTATCGGGCCGATTTCATTCAGAAAACGGCCAAGATGCTCGTAGATACTCATGGCGGGACTGATCGAGATGCGTTGGAGCCCGCCGAGAGATGGCTCCTCACACTCAGAGAAAAAAGCACACAAGAAGCACGGGAAGAGCTGCTCAAGTTTATGGGAGTAGGCAGGAAGGTTGCGGACTGTATATTGCTCATGAGTCTGGACAAAGTAAGCAGATCAAACGTAAGATGACCATTCTCACCATAAAGTCCTGTCAGAACGAAGTGATACCCGTCGATACCCATGTTCACCAGATTGCTATGAAGCATTATGGCGTCAATGGATCGTCCAAGGCAAAGACTGCTATGACACCAAAGTTGTACGATGAAGTGAGCAACAAGCTTGCCATTATCTGGGGTAGCTACGCCGGGTGGGCACATTTGGTACGTCTTCGCCAACCTTGCCAGCGTTGACTGAATGACATGCTCTCTAGGTCTTGTTCACATCTGACTTGAAGTCTTTCGCCTCGTATGGTCTTCCTACCCCTTCTCCCTCTCCATCAGTCCAAGTGGAAGTTGGCCGTATTTCGCGCAAGCGAAAAGTAGGCCTTGCAACGCTGCCTACCATCCCACCTCCGCAGACCACTAGCAAGAGCTCCCGCGCCCGAGCAGGGGCGTCGCTTCGTACAGATGCAGAGGCTGGGTCTACTTTGCCTGTCTATGAGGAATCTGGTTTGAGTATGGCAGATCGCGTGAAAAGACGCAGACGCGCTGAGAAGGCTATCAACGTGGCTGCTGCCAGTTAGGCTTACTCTCTCGCAATCATGTTTCACCTACACAGTCGCTGCGATGGATAGTATCTCAGATTGTTGCTAGTACATAGCTGTATCATGTATGCACTTCGAATATCAAGACGGCTATCGTGAGAGATCTGCGATGAATTATCGTATGGATGGGTGGGTGTATGCGTCATCCTGTGTGGACGGTGCGCATTCAAGATTCAGCGCTCGTCCTTTGACTCCACACTTTGTTCTCGTCCAAACTCATACTGAGGTAACCATGTCTCCCTCTCAAAAAGCAAAGGAAAAACAAGTTGCAGAGCCGGAGCCGGAACAGCCTGGACATGACGACGGGGAGGAGAGCGGTTCCGACGTCTCCGACGGTGAACAGACGGTGATCGGCAGCGCGCTCCCCGAGGCGAGTACACCGTCTACTTCGAGCAAGAAGAAAAAGAAGAAGCGGTCGAAAGCCCTCAAAGCCCTCAACGCGATCCGAACAGGCCACAAGGATGGAATCCCAGAAAGCCTCGTGAACGTTGTTTTGGACAAGGTGCGAGAAGGAGGCGATGAAGAGGTGGCGAGAAGTGCGGATGCCGCGACAGTGCGACTGGCTCTAGAACAGATGAAAATCAAGGATGTCTTGCAAGGAAAGGCGGGCATTGGGGGCAAGAATAAGAAAGATGCGGGCGATCACAAAGTAAGCCTCATCGTACCCGTCCGCAAGGGTCCACTTGACGTTTATATTCTGCAGTTCTGGACAACCCAGCCTGTCCCTCAACTTGGCGAAGAACCTCCGACTTCTGACGGTTATATTGAGCCATCTAAACCGCCAGAAGAGGTCAGGCAGGAACCATATCCTTTGCCCAAAGATTTTGAGTGGTCGACCATCGATGTTGATGATCCTGTCCAGGTGCGTCGGCCAGACATCTCTACACGCGCATTCGCTCATTAAATCGCAGCTGCGCGAAGTATACGAACTGCTATCGGCGAATTACGTCGAGGATGACGATGCCACCTTCCGTTTTCTGTATTCTGCAGAGTTCCTGCAATGGTACGTCTATCCTCAGAACGCAAAATTAGACTCAGATAAGTGACATGCGCAGGGCTCTCAAGCCTCCTGGGTACCACAAAGAATGGCACATAGGTGTCCGTGTAGCTTCAAACAAAAAGCTCGTTGCGTTCATCTCGGGCGTGCCACTGACGGTCCGCGTTCGAGAAAAGTGAGTCATGACAGCACTAGCCAGGCATGAGATATGAACTCACATCTAGCAATGTGCAGTACTTTCAAAGCCAGTGAAGTCAACTTCCTCTGCGCGCATAAGAAGCTCCGTTCAAAGCGATTAGCACCTGTACTCATAAAAGAGATTACGCGGCAATGTAATCTCAAGGGCGTTTTCCAGGCACTCTACACCGCTGGTGTATTATTACCGACTCCAATTTCGACTTGCCGGTAGGCTCTCCTCCATCGTCCCGCGCGAGTTCGCATCAAGGTTCACCATCTCCCCATGTTAGATATTACCATCGTTGCCTCAATATCAAGAAACTCGTTGACATAGGTTTCACGATCGTTCCCCCAACCATGACAATGGCTCGTTTAATTCGTTTGAACAAGCTGCCCGATATTCCACGTCTTCTCAGCCAAGGGCTTCGTGAGATGGAGGAGCGCGATATACCCAAAGTAATGGATCTCTATGCAACATACACACGACGCTATGACATGGCACATGCCATGTCACGGGAGGAGATCAAGCATTATTTCACGAGTGGTGGCGGCCAGGGACCACGGACTGAGGACAGTTGGAAGATTCCCCGTGAAGGTCAAGTAGTATGGACGTACGTTATTGAGGTCAGCATGCGCCTAATCATCCTCCCTTCAGGATACGGATTCTGACTATGATAATGACTGATGTAGAATCCTACAACACATAAAATCACGGATTTTTTCTCGTTCTACTCTCTGCCGTCGACTGTCATGAATTCGAGTCAACACGATCTGCTCAAAGCAGCGTATCTATACTACTACGCCACTGATGTAGCGTTCCTTGATCGCTCAGAGAACGATGGTCGACTCAAACGACGTTTGGAGGAACTCATAGGCGACTGCCTCATCGTCGCTAATCAAGCTGGCTTCGATGTGCTCAATGCATTGTCAATGATGGACAATGTCCAATTTCTGACAGATCATCGAGTGAGTCTTATCAATAAGAGCGTCAAGTATGAGTCTAAGTGGCTGTTTGTAGTTTGGCAAGGGCAATGGCATGTTGAATTTTTACTTGTACAACTGGCGTACTGCCCCACTGGCTGGTGCGAATCCGATCGATGGCGTACCAGCAGGGATGGGGGTTGGTATCGTGATGTTATGATTGTGTGGGAACACTCGATGGTAATTTGGTGGCATATCAAGCACGGTAGACACATTGATCTATTCTGTGCTATACGATATACAATGCTGACAAATAATACATTCTACAAGACTTCTCTGCTAACATGAAGGCAAACACCACTCCGCAGCGTCATATTAAACACACTGACGCTAGTCGCTGTCAATTACAACGTCTTCATCGTCATCCACACCCCAATCTGATTCAGAATCCGACTCGGGTGGGGGCTGCTTTTGTGCCGTCGAACCTCGTGGGACAGGTACTGGGGCACCTCCGGCTCCTACCGCTTGCGGCGCCGAGAGTACAGGTGGTCGTGACGAACGCGAACCAAGTGCTTGACCACCTGAGCCCCATGAAGCTGTAGATGCAGCAGTCTCTTTACTTTTGCCCTTTGCGGTAGACGACGACGACGACTGCGACTGCAGTTTTCCGCTTAATAAATTGCCTGTACCCGCAAATATATGGGGCTAAAGCACGCGTGAGAGACACATCAAACGGCACAGGATTCAATGTATACCTGCTCCCCGTCGACATCCTTCTCCTTAGGAGGAACATAAGGTGGGATATTGAACCCAAAAAATAGCTTCCCAAACGGAATGTTGAGAGGTGCAGGAACAGAGACCTCGGAGTCCAGATCGTCGGATGTGATGATGTGCTGCTTGCTAGATCACGATGCCCAGTAAGCACACTAATTGTGCATTATAAGTTGTGATACCCACTCTGTTCGAATAATCTTGCTGTCTTGTGGGGCTTCCTCCACTTTCCTGTGGCTGACGCCCTTGCCCTTCGTCTTGCGACCAGAAAGAGTTTCTCCTTTGCCCTTGAAACTCTCCCAATGATCGCCTCCTTTGCTGACCGCCGCGCCGCGGGTACCCGAGCCTGCAAAAGTCTCGCCCAAAGATGAAGACGGGCGCGAGGATCCTGGCGTTTGTGAATTCAGGTCAATGTTGAGCTTGGACGCCATAGTCGGAGGTGGTGCGGCCTTGGGCCGCTCAGGTTCTACATAGCCGACAGGAGGAGCAAAGTCCACTTCGAGATCCGTGTTGAGAACGCTGATACCCTCTCCACCCGGATGGGTCTCCATCACCAGAAGTCCAAATACGATGGAATTATAGGAGATCTCAATTATGTCGCCTTGAGTGAGCGCAGAAAAATGTCTGAGTGCTTGCTCAAGTCTGACACGACGATTAAGCACCCGAACGGTCTATGCAATTTGTTTGCACTCACACAGCTTTGGGATCCGAGATCTCGAGGAAAACAGTGCTTTGTGCTTGTAGCTTGACCATTTTGCCTTTAGGTAGTTCAGCACCAGTGATCCGGATTGGATCACCTTCATCGAGGCGCAATGTCTTCATCATCCATTGTGGCAAATGAACACAACCTTCCTCCGCAATGAATTCCAGGACGCCCGCGTATGTGGAGGCCGCAGAATTTGTTACGTTCTGCAATTTAAACATCCACGGCGACTCGAGCTCCATCGTGGTCAAGTTGGCAAGCGCGGATGGTGGCATTATGACTGTATTTATCGGACTATGAGTCTGGACTTTTAGGAGATCGATGAGCGCACGCACTTTGGCCGACATAATTCAGATTATCTCGCGTTCTTGGAAGCATAGCAACAGAATAAGCTTTAAAGTAGTCCTGGTAGGCACGAGCCGGAGGGCCACCCATCCGATGCCCTCCACCATAACCCCTGCGCGTAGCTTAGATTCATCTCACGACTTCTGCAGTTTGAGAAATCACGTACGCAAACTGAGCGAATAAGTTGGCAGGTCCTACACCGAAGGGATTCTAGCAAAGAGACGATGACTACTTGAGGTCCAATAAAAATAATCGGGCTCACCATGTCCATGTTGTAAAGACAAACGATACAGAAATGTGGGAGAGCCGAGATTGCTTACGGGCCACTACAGTCTGAGGAGCCGCGTATGCGCATAACGCGTGAGGTTACCATATTGGTATGGTCACGTGCACCGTGCTTGGAGCTGAAGTCCCCGGGCCGACTCCCGAGAGCCGAGGCAGTGTCTCAGTCTCCAACTCAGTCCTGGACCTGAAGGCGTCGGCGAATGCAGTAGAATATCTTACATAAATATCCACTTGCTGATCTCGCACATACTTGAGAAAGCCGCTGAGCGGCGATGACAGGCCCTCAGCGATTAGCCGTAACTAGATACAAGTGCGCTTTATACTTAACACCATTGTAACAGTGGATTCCAATCGTTATGCTCGCGAGGACAGTATATCAAGAATGTCTAATTCTCACTATGTCTCTGACAAGAGCTCTTTGACGCCAAAGCGTAAACTTTCATCGCGACATCGAAGTTGCCAAAGACAACTTTCATCATCGTTTGTTTTGAGTCGAAGAACAGCATTGTTATCAGTTATGTTGAGATCGGAAGTCCGCGATATAATCACTTTTGTTTCACCTGCGTAGCCAAGTCAGCAACTGCATTATTGTTTAGATGACCGTCGTACCTCTGAAAGGCTCCTGGATGTCTAATATCACTCTGACATTCTGTTGCATGCTCCGAAGCCGCTGTACAACATCGGTGACGGACATCTCGCACCAGCCACGGGCATTAAAATTTTGAAGGCTGTCCCATATAGACTCAAATTCCGTCTCTGCGGTATTCGACGCTGTAGACGTCGAGGGCGCTGGCTCTGACATGAACGGTGAATCAAGGGCAATCAGGTCAACTCGAGTGGCCTTGTATCATGGTAAGTCATAATATCAATGCCCATGAAAGAAAACCATACTGAGTCATCTTCATCCAGAGAAGGTACAGTGGGCAGAGGTGATCCCTGATGGCGTATATATTAACAGAGGTTCTCTCTGAGTTTTCAAGATGTGGCTCACAATCGATAGTGCCTCCAGATCTCTCTCACCAGCAGCGATTGCCAAGTCTCCAGGAGTGACAATTCTAGCAAGTCGATCCGGCGAATCACGATCTTGTCCCAAAAAACCAGAGTTGTTATCGTCGGAGACATGTGAAATACCGCCACTGCTCAAACGCCTGCGCCGATGTGGGAGCTTAGGTGCCTCATATGCGTCATAACGTAGCTTATTACTACGTGGCATTGAACGCTCTTGTGACGTAGAGGAGTGGCGAGACTGTGAACGGGTCTCGATGGTGCGAGTGACTGCTTCGTGGATATCTAACGCGGCTAGAAAATCTGGAAGCTGTGACTGGATGAGAAGGGGAGATTGGAGCACGAGTAAACAGTACACACCGAAGACGATCGCGCAGCTGTCAACACATCCTTGAAAGCTCCCTTATGGGTCAAAAATTTCAAAAACTGATCACATCGCTGATACCGCAACTTAAACCCTTTATGCAGGATATTTGACTTTGACACCCACTCGTCTGATATATCGTCCACTGCGACCATGCAACGACCTCACATTTTCGATCACTTTGAGAGGGATTTCGTCGCATTCCGCGGCGATACGCATGATACATAACAGAATAACATCTTGGATGGAAGCTGCATGAGAATACAAGCCGAATAAGGTTCGAATTTGTTCCCAGATAGACCATAGACATACCAGGATATAGGGACACCCGCTCTGCAAATGCTTCCATTAGCTTCACAGGAGATATAGCACACACGTTTAAGAATTCCGCCACAAGGGCAGCAAGAACGACCATCATTGTTGATACAATTGGAACACCCGTCTCCACGAGGCGAGAGAAAAAAACACCAATGCATCCGCTTCTGAAGTCGATTCGCGCTGCACAGGAATAATTTAAAAAGGCACAAGTGACCAAGGTGTCAAGCATACCATTCTGAATCTTTGTAAGTATCACCTCAACTGTGTCTTGCAGGATCGGTCGTTGTTCCAGATCTGCTTCCTGTTGTACTACAAGCAGCATGCTCTGTGCATGCTGTGCGTACGTCTCACCATCCTCGCCTGACATTACGCCGATTATCTCCAGTAATCTCGCTGAGAGCCCATCGATGTCTTGCGAAACTGTTAATGAGATGCTCTCAAGTTTCCGCGAGTAATACCCTTCCACAAGGCCGGGATCTATACGTTGCAGTATACGCAGCGTCTAGTAGACAATTTGAGAATGTTTGGCCGGACAACGCAGTCACTTCAGCTGACCTTTCTGCGAATGTATTGATCATCCAAGTTGAGCAGCGTCATCACCTTCTCCACTTCCCATTCCTCCAGCACAGCAGGGGTTCCGACTTTTGTGCCCGCCCATAGCTGTGGATCTAAGCACTCAAGACACGACAGAAAGATGTAGACATCATTGGGCTTGTTGGACGTGAGAAGACTACGAATCGCTGAGACAAACGTCACCCCAAAGGACGTTTGCGCTAACAACAGTTTTTCCGTCGACGTATTTAGCAGCGAAAGGAAGCACTGATACAGAACACCTGGAGGATAGAAGTGTGGACTAACGCACTCTGCACAAGATACCGGATCACTCACCATTGCCCGAAAGGCGCCCTTGTGATGACATACGAAGAATTTGAAGAATAGTCCGCAAGTTATCCTGAGACAGTCTGTGACTCCAGTTTTAAAATACAGAAACTGACGAATAGGAGAAACTGACGAAAATGTATGCAGAGCCTTTAGCAGCTTATTGAGGAGCAGGCTCGTCGTAGATTTTACGTCGTCACTCCACGATGATGTCAGCAATTTGGACAATAACGTGTGATAATATTCGAGCGTGTAAATCGAGGTCTCGACGAATATAAGCCCCATTTCAAGGCCTGTGGACTGTACACTTACCTGAGCCAGATCCACGCACACCGTGAGACCTGCACTAGCTACCAAAGGATCCGAGTCCTTCAATCGCGCTGGTATTTTGCCCATGACCATCTTGAGAATGTTGCCATCGTGCTTTGATAGCTTGTGGAAGACGAACAGTGCTCGCCGTCGAATGTGAGGCCTAAGACGGTCATCAGAAAGGAAGGATCAGGTCGAGGGACAAAGCACATACTGACGAGCTGTGAGATACCAGATCTGCCAAGCGAGCTTGAATTGCTGGAATTACGTCTTCAGTAGAGAACTGGATGAGCGAGTCAAGCGCAAGGCATATGCGCGGGACGGCAGCGCTTTCGAGATCCTGGAAAGGCTATCATTAGCAATACATGGCCCGAAGCCAATGACGAACCTTGCGCAGGGTGTTCACTAGCATGAGCTGTAGTTCATGGTTTGGCGGCATGAGTTCAGAGCAAAAGAGATATCCTGGAGGACGATTCTTCAACACTCTTCACGATTTAAAGAGAGCGCCGACAAACCAATCCGTTTATCCTTCACAGTCGTCCCGGCCTCTGCGAGATTCACAGCGTGAGCAAAGGCAAAGTCCAAAGACATCTTGAGATTGGAGCTAGCATTCATTGAGCTGTACAATAACAAAATAAGATGCTCTCTACATTGCTTCTACTGTGATGTGAGGAGAGAGGATGTCGCTGTGGAGACATTTTGTAACTTACCGAAGTCAAAGTTGACCGGGTAAGTTGATGGCGTATGGTATCGACTTCAGCTAACAGGTACTGATCCGCTACTGGGGTAGACAGGGCTGTTTCCACCTTACGCACTAGAGCATAATGTGTTCTGCTAATTGCCCCTGAAGAGGCGAACGACACATCCATTAGCACGCAGGCAATGTTGTCACTGTTGTGGGCGGTCGCAAGTTCGATCCGCCTTAGTTTGGCAACTGCGTATCACCCATGTCTTCCTCCTCATCCCCCTCCTCCTCTGCGTCGGCAGCTGCCCACTCATTCAATAAAATTCTCAACCAGTTCAAACACTCTTCGAAGCTTAGGACAGCCCTTGACGTAGAGGACTCTATTAAGAAGCTAAGGAGGTTGATTCTAGTCGATGGGATTCCTTCGGCCGCAGTATGTTCTGATTTCCCTCAGTACAATCCTTTCCCTATATCTCTGGGCTCCTTTCCAGGATTCAACATTACGACCTAGAATATGGAAGATTTTACTTCGAGTACAGGATATTTCCGCCGATACCTTCCTCGAGTATGTTGCACGAGGACCATGTGAAGTTCGAGAGAAGATTCGTAACGATACATTCAGGTATGCATACACGTTCTTCATGTGTCACTTTTTCTAACGAGCGGGCTGCAGAACACTAGCCACAGATCGCGGCTTCAAAGAGAGAGTACGTGAAGACATGCTCGTTCGTCTGCTGGATGCTTTTGTATGGAGAAATCACGGTCAGTCAAGCCGAGCGTTCTCCTAGACAGTCTCAATGACTCTCAGTGCAGATAGGCAGGAAACGCAACAGCTTGGGTTCACGTACGTGCAAGGCATGAACGTACTTGCTGCGCCTTTTTTATACACAATGCCCTCAGAGCTGGAGGCCTTTTTCTGTTTTGCAAAGTTTATCGAGGAATCGTGTCCGCTTTATGTTCAGCCTACTCTTGAGGGTGTCCACAGGGGTCTCAAGGTGGCGTATTTCGTTCAGTGTTTCCTGCACATCTGACCGTCTTTCAGCTATTGGATCGTTGTTTAAAGATTGTTGACCCGGAGCTATTCGCTCATTTACGCTCAAAAAATCTCTCCGCAGAGATTTATGCCTTTCCATGTGAGCTAGTTGCAGCCTGAGTCATATATTCCTTCTTTGACTATGTCTATGAAGCGGTGTTGACCCTCTGCGCCTGTACCCCTCCGCTTGATCAAGTTTTACAACTCTGGGATTTCCTACTCGCGTTTGGTGTGCACCTTAACGTTCTGTGTGTTATTGCACAGTTGCTCCTTATGCGAGATGAAGTCATGAGCTCGTCGAGGTCCGCGGGCGGTTGCCTCCAATTGCAGTTTCATACTGATTTGACTCTTTCTAGTCCTATGCGACTGTTGCGCACATTCCCACCCTTGGAGGCATTGCCCGTCGTTGGCATCGCAGTTACTCTTGTTCGCGACCTCCCAACCGACCTGTACGACGAACTCGTAAGACATCCGTTCGCTGTACAGGAGGCATAATTGCCATTCCCATCTGTATCCGTTAGCACGTCTTGTATGACTTCTGTATCAATCCACGATGTGGTATCTCGTAATCCGGCGGTCCTCGTATTGCTCGATATGCTTTCAAGAGCAGTGTTTTATGGCTCACCTTTGACTGGGAAGTCTTGAGCATATAATATTCAGGATGGTACCTATTCGACACAGGGAGAAACCCCGAGAAACAATGTCGCTCCCACAGGCTCGAACCTTTATACACTATGGCAAGGCATGTGAAGTATATAATAATTTAGTAAGGCGTAATCATCGTAAGCCGGGATAGCTCAGCTGGGAGAGCAACAGACTGAAGTCACGTGTAGTGGATCCACCATGTGATATCTCGGATGGGACCCGTTTCGTCAACACTGAACGCTGACTCCAGCTAAGTGTGGGTGAGTGTCAGCGATCGTGCATGTGTGCAGCCTTCCCCTCTCATGTAGATGCCAATTCAATCATACCAATCTCATCATTTTTTCTACATGTATTTGCGCCAGCCACTTTGAGTGAGACTACAACAGGTTACAGCAGCAAGAAATTACTATTTAATAGCCATAAGGAGCGGCGGCACCAATGCGTTTCGGATTGCCTTCATAAACGTGGCCCTTTTTTTGAAATGTGTCCGATCTCTTGATCAATTCCGCCAAACGTAAAGCCTCGTCTGCACAAAGACCTACTTGAGAGACTAAAACGTCAAAACTAGGAATGTGGTCTTCACGAAATTCATGAGCAATGCGCCAATTGTTGTAACTTCGCAGTGTTCCTATAGTGATCGCTATGATGTAATCGAGGTGGTGTCGCCCGAAAAGAGTGATATCATATCCATTTATGAATGTTGTATCGGCACTAGTGTAAACAAATGGGTGCATTAATATAGCACAATCTGCTATGAAAGAGATTGCGCACGGAAACGCGTAGCCAATGATTGAAGTTGCGCACAGTTTTGCTGTTATGGGAACCCAAGCGACAATGCTGCCTCTCGGATCACACCCTGGGTGAAAGATGAGAATACAAGTCCGCACATTCCGAGTGGACTCCAGCCGAGCAATCAGTTCGTCGCCCCCATGAAGGATCGGTTCCTGATCTTGCGGGAAGAGATTAATCCATTTAATAGATCCTAGTGGCACGTTCAAATCGCGTGTCGAATTGAGCTCTTTCAGGGGAGGAATGAGATAGTGAGTAATTTTGGGAAAACCTTTCCGAAACTTGGAAGCAGTGGCAGTAACCGCAGTAGCGTTGTGGGTCGCACGCACAAGACTTTCAAGACCAGCAATAATGGGTAGCAGAGCACGTTCATAATAAGAGAGAGCGCGAGACTTGGGACTTTTGCGATTGAGGGCGCTTACAGTGACAGTGAGAACTTCCGTCGGCGAGATTCGAGCAGGAAAAGGAGCAGGAAGAGCACCTTTGCGTTCAAGGCCATAATAGCGCACAAGAGGTTGAGTACCAGCAGAGCCCCCAGAGTCAGGACGATGGAAGAAATGAGGCATGGTGTCGAAATATTGGCCGTCCGCTTCAGCTTGTTCATCAAAGTAAGGCGTGAGAGACTGGATGGCTAGCCTGAGTCGGGCAAGAGATACGTCAGAAAGGCCCCCATCGGCTGCAATATCCTGCCGCAGGCCTGGTTCGGAATAGCTATCATAACATCACATATCGAGACACAGCATATATTCATGAGAATAGGACACTTACTTGATTGCAGCACTTTGGCGGTAATGCTCCTGCATATAGTGACAGACTGCGAATACTGGATGCTGCATGTATCGCACACGGTATACCACATCCGCGCGCCATGTAACGCAATCTGGAGAATGCTTCGTACTTCCAAATTGGCAAACGTGTGCATCTTTCCACAATGATTCGCAGCCATTGTGAAATAGGTAGTACAAGGATCTTGTGGCCAGACTCCATGCAACAAGGTCAGAACCTGCATTCGGACCTACGATGAGGTACGAGGCCACACAGCGTGCAATCTGCAAACCAGTATCAATCATGTGTTGTTTCCACAGGCAAAATGCATTTACTCACATCCGCACACAATATCTCAGCCATGCGATATATAGAGAGAAGCCAGTGGCAAGATGAGAGGACAGAGGACAGAGTGTGCAGATCTAACATGGGCACGAGGACGCATATATTCTGCCATATCGGCGATTGCCGAAATGAGATTGCGCGGCAGTTTGTGGTGGCTGAGACTTGAGTGTGCGGCTGTGGCTCGAGTTCTCAAACATTCAATTGTGAAGTCAGTAGCACTACACTTTGCATGAAAGTAGATATACTACAGTGATCTACACAACATACTGGACCCTCTAAAATACATTACCAACACATATTCAGGAGTCCCAGAGAGCCTCCGCCGGTGTTGGTAACGGTCGACCGCCCAGGTGGGATCCAGGACAATGGCCGCTCTGAACTGAAATGGGGATGAGTGTGCACGAAGTCGAACGGTCGCGTAACAAGCAAGGCGCGAACGTCCTGCCTTGCCTATCCAGCGAGCAGCGCGTGTGCCCTTCGCCGCGGTTTCTCTACCGCCCGGTGTGGTGGGCTGCTACGCAGCTCGTCGAGCCGCTCTCGCCGACGCCTAGCGCGTCCATGCCCGGTGCGTTCCCCCACTACCAACTGGGTTCCGGGGAGGAACGAGGTTAGATATGACGATCTGCGCTGTGGCTGACGTTGTGAGGGTGCCATGCGGTGGTGTCACTGAGACGCCAGAGCCTGACCTGTCATTTGGGCGGGCACAAGTGCCGCCGATCATGATAGTCGATTACGTCCAGCCACTGTCTGGACATGCTGCAGTAGCTACAGACAGCTTGGTGGGTATGCATCAAAAAAGGACCGCACAAACGCTGCATCATCATGACCCCCCACAGCTTCCACAAACAGAAGCACAAGTTTTCTGGCATCTTCATGGTTCTGAGCACGATCCGGGTTGTGTGCACGCCGTGTCCGCCCGAATGTTTCACGCATGCCCTTGTACCAAGAGGGGCCTCCCAAAATGGTTTAAATGTCTTTCAAGATATGCCGACCCAAGATTGGACAGCAGAGGCAGAACGGCAACCGGAGCTATGGGTATCCATTTTACAACAAAAGGGAATTCTTTTCTTCTTTCATTTAACTTGTTCATGATGCGATGCTAATACTCTCAGGCGTTTCTACACTCGAACGCTCGATGCATGAACGTGGAGCTCCAAATCGTCCTCTATGTCATCAATGCCACAATCTCTTCGGGGATA